TTCAGCTGATGATACTCAATTATTTATCTCAATCTGAACTGATCAAGCAATGCTGTTAAAGCCATGTCTCAATAACTGACAGCTGTCAGAATCTGGATTGGAAGAGAAATATTTATGCTGAACTTGGAATGGCTCTGGGTCTCCTGGTTCATCCAGGAGTGAGGGGAGGGGGAGGGATCTTATCAATGTGACAATATTTTATCTGTCATTGTTTTCAATTTGTTTTGGCTTACACTGTGTTGAATGTTGTTTTTAACAACATTAGAATTTTTCTAAGTTGATTGGCTAAGAAATCTGATTCATGAATTAATTACACACACACACACACAAACACAAGAAAAGAGAAAGTTTGTGTGTACATTTTTCTTTTTCCTGAAAAACTAACATAGACTTGAGCTTACTTCCACTGACAGAAGTATTTCTGAAATAGTTTCTGCACAAAAATACCAAATAATTTTTCTATATTTCCACAGGGTATAAACCAGATAATCTGGTGTAGGAAGTTAGCACCCACCCCTTTCCTAGAAGAATTAAATATTTTAGGAAATATTAAAAAGGCAGAATATTATGTTTCCCTGTATGAGAAATGGAGAAGCATGTTTTAAAGACAAAGCAGCTCCCACCTTCCTGCCCCCCCACCCTTTGTTAATGGGCCAGAGGCAGAAACTCAATTCCATCTTTGTCAATGGACCATCATCTGCAACACAATAGACCCATCTAGCAGAAGAAACTCACCACATGGCACCTGGGAAAATTACACCAGCCAGCAAGGCTAGCTAAGACCCCCACCCCATGGGAGTCTGACAACTAATCAGGATACTCTTTCTGGGCCCCAGGAAGTTCAAAGCCAGAGAGGGCATAAAACCCAGGGACTCACTGCTTCTCGCCGCTTTTTTCTTTTCAGGAACTCAAACCATGTGATCCTGTCCACCATTAAACCATCTTTCCAAGCAGTCTCCATGTTTCCAGTGTCTTTTTCCCTACTTGGAGCTGAACCCAGAAGGATATTTCTTCCTACACTGGGAAGTGTCCATTCCAAAATAGCAGGGCTTTGAATAGGCGTTTCCCCAAGCAGGGAGATAGGAAGAAGACTTGGGAACATCATTTTATTTTTGTTGTATTAATTTTAGATTCATATTCCTCATTCCATCATAAGAGCCATCATTTGCTGCAAAACTTTTGGATTCTCAGTCAACAAAATCAAACAATTTACAAAGAAATCCCCAACCAACACAAATATTCTCCAACCAACCAATACAACACAAATATCCCCAACCAACCATCACAAATATTCCCTATAAATTTATCCATAAATACATTTTACAATCAAAGGGAGACATCAAACATTCTTGACTTGTTGGCTTCTCAGTGTTGAAGCACTAAGCATTCAATTTATTGTAAAAATGCTTTACTTCCATCCTATATTGTTCTTATCACATTAAAAAAAACTTTCAACAGTTGTGAAATTGCCATATTTTCTTATATTCTATATTCCACATTTCAAGCCTATTTGTGTTGTATTCTTTCTATAACTCAGTAAATATGCAGTAAATTCTTTTCATTGTCATATCTTGCATTCTGTATTTGCCAAATATCTTCTCAGAAACACTTTCCAAATTAATGATCATTCTTGCCTTCCTTTTCTTTGCATAGGGCAGCAATAAGAGCATCAAGTAATTATGAAATCTTCACAAATTTATTAATTCATACAGCCACCCTATAAGGAAACTACACCGATATTTTAATGTTTCTCCAGTTACACTATCTGTACTTGCAGTCTTACTATTTTTCAACATTCTCACAGCATTTTTATAACACTTGTTTGAATTGCACTCTTTGACATACCACTATCATTCACATCTAAAAACTACTCCTTCCCGCTTCCCTTCAGTTGTCATTTCATTCTAAATAATTTCATCATTTTGTTTTTTCATTCCATTCATTTTGCTGGGGGCTCTTTGTTCAGATCTCTTAATTCACTCATCTTAATTTTTGTATTAAAAACAAGACATTGCTTGAAAAAGGAGAGGGCTTCATTACAATAACACCCCAGGTCTTAATAATCTTGAAGAGAATAGTTTGTGGATCATCTCTTTGGTTCAACATAAAGACAAGTCTTTTTCATGATGCTACCTCTGTTATGGAATGGCTTCCCATTTATAATACATGACGGCTCAATGTTAATTTGTTCTAGGTATCCTCCTGAAACCTTGCTTTTTATGTTGCCCCTTCTTAGTTTATATTTATATTTCCTGCTTGTCCAGTTGATTAAATGGAATACAAGCATTACTAACTGTAGTGGAATTAAAGTCAACATATTTGAGTAAGTAAGTAAGTCAAAAAGTGCTAATCTGTTCTTCAGTGCCAGAATCTTAGACAGCAGCAGCCATGGCAACTAACTCTGTATACAGAATCAATGAACCAGTAAACTTCCTTCAACCTGCAAGTTGTTAATCAGATGCTAGTGGGAGCTGCAAGAGATTCCACAATTCAGGAAAGAACAAAGACTTTCTGCATGTTTTACTATGTATTTGAAATATATATAGGTAAAATAGCAATATTTTTGCAGCAAGTTGAGGTAGTCCTCAACATATGACCATAGTTGGGATCAGAACTCCATTGATAAACAGTGTGGTCATTAAGTGAGTCATACTTTTTATCACCTGTTTGTTCTGGTGGGTAAGTGAATTATGTAATTGTTAAGTGACTCTGGCTTCCCCCATTGATTTTGCTTGTTGGAAGGCCCCTGAGAAGATCACAAAAATGGCAATCATGTGGCCCTGAAGATGCAGCAACCATTGTAAATACATGCTGGTTGCCAGGCACACAGGTGTGGGAATGCTGCACTGATTATGTGAGGATAGGTCATAATTCATTTTTTTTAGCATCATAACTTTGAGTAGTTGTTTAATGGTAATAAGTCACGCACTACCTGTATTTGAGCACAGAGAAATAAAGTTGTCTGAGTGCCCAAGAAAATTAGAAAAGGGTTAGATGCAAAAGCATTTCATTTTTTGCTCCATCGTTCATTATATAGGATGCTGCCCTGAGCTGATCTCTTTTGTGCATGTGGTAGTTTGGGATGGGGATCAGATGGTTTCCTTTTTGGCACTAGTAGCAATTGATTGACATATTGGGCTGTTAATAATTTCACTCATGCAAGCTGTATGGTACCTAATGGAACCTGCAATCACAACCCTGTTCATACACTACCTTGTGCTAAGAAACCTACTTGGATAGTGGAGGAATGGAAGAATGGGTGCAGAATGCAAGGGTCTGACTTTCTTTTGGGGGGGGAAGGATCAAACAAATTAGGCATTTGCCTTAAAACTATATTCCTTCAATTTTGTCTTAAGAGTGCAAGAGCCTTTTGCATCTGCACATTTGATTGGATTAATATTTGTGTTACTGTTTCTATTACATACATTTTGAGAAATCATCACCATTAAAAACAGAAATTGTTTAAATGTATAAATGTGTTAGGTGGGCCCTCATATCAGGTATTAAATACACTGGGCAGGAGAATCAACAATCCATACCACTGCATGTAAAAAGTATACTATTAAAGATACTGATCTTTCATTATGCCATGTGTCCATTTTCTCTCAAGTCCATTTTACAAGCAAAGCAAAATGTAACAACATCCTATCAAAAGTAATGGGTAGAAAGCAGGGGTATAATCCAGCAGGTTCTGGAAAACCGGTAGCGGAAATTTTGAGCAGTTCGGAGAACTGGCAAATACCATCTCTGGCTGGCCCCAGAGTGGGGTGGGAATGGAGATTTTGCTATATCCTTCCCCCAGGAATGGGGAGGGAATGGGGATTTTGCAGTATCCTTCCCCCAGGAGTGGGGAGAGAATGGGGATTTTGGAATATTCTTCCCCTGCCACGCCCACCAAGCCACACCCACAGAACCAGTAGTAAAAAAGTTTGGATTTCACCACTGGTAGAAAGCCATTACAGATCCAACCTGGAAATAGGGAGAAATTTCCTGATGAGAACAATTAATCAGTGGAACAGTTTGAGTCCAGAAATTGTGGGTCCTCCAACATTAGAGCTTTTCAAGAAGACATTGGACAACCATTTGGAATGTCTGGAATGGTATAAGGTCTCCTGTATAAGGTCTCCCGTTTTGAGCAGGAGGGTTGACTAGAAGACTAGAATGTCCCTTCCAACCCTGTTGTTCTATGTTCTAACTCATCACAATTTCTTAAAATTCCCTCAGCCTTTTTCTATTGATCATTTAAATATATTTCCTCTCCTTCTAACTTCACTGAATCAACGGGATAGGGAAGAAAAAGCAAAACTTTTGCTGAACTATGGTACTACCACTGACTAAATGGATAAAGGGTTGGTGAGTAAAACTAGATAACATACAATGTAATAAAAAATTAATCACATCAGTGACTTCTGAATTTACAAATAAGTTCGCAACATGATTCTGCATTGCATTAAACCTTTTTATCACTCACCTTTATAGAACATTCACCCACCGTTTCCAGCCGAGTCCCTCAGCTGGATATTAGATAAATAATGAGCACACATTACTTAATTACATCAGTTATTCTTGTGTTGAACTTCTTGTTCCATGAAAAGGCTCCTACTCTGCATGTAACTGCTTTCAGCAATATAAGCAACATAACTGATTGGTTTAAGATATGCATCTCAATGGCAACTTCAAAACTTAATACTGAAATGTGGGCCATGTGGAGCCCCCAAATATAAGTGCTGTTTCTTCAGTATTAAACTTCAAACAGTGAAAACCTGAAATCTAGTATTGGTCCAAACTTATATCACATGTATGCATATGCATATTGTCTCTTGAATTAGAATAAACTGATGGCAAGGTGGTGATATTCACAAACAACAAAACAAAACAAAAAAAACAAAGAATGCCCCAGAAAATATAGTGATTCCATGTCCAATGTTAATATTCAACAGTATTAACCAAAGCCTTCATCTTCATTCGAGTGAAAAAAAAATATTCAGAACTCAACAAGGTGTTTGAGACAAAAAAAAATTTTATTAAAAAATTAAAAGGTAATCTTTTTATCAATTAACCCTCTTTTAAAAAACAGTGCCACTTCAAAGGCAGTTTTCTTATATTAGTACTATGTACACTTAAAGAGCAATGACATGTATTAACTTAAACATACAGGCAGTAATCATATGCAAATTACAACCAAACACACTAACAACTTCAGTATTAGCAGCATCAGTAAGGAAAATCATAATGTAGGAGACTAAGTTTTACCTAAGGGCAGAGAGTGTGTGAAATAATAGCTAGAATTTTTTTCTTAAATTGTTTATTTCTTATAGAAACCAGATAGTACGACTGCAAATCTTAAAACCATTTAGTAAGTGGAAGAGCTTCATTTGAATGGGCACAACCTCCTCCCACACTCCATGTTAAGACTATGCTTTCAGTGGCATCTATTTCTTCCTTCTTTCCTTCTTGTGTACCTTTTAAATAGATGAAAAATTCTAGAGAAATCAAAAGCTTATTCGTTGTTTTGTAACCTCAGAGTTAACATTACTTTAATACAGATTGTATAAAGAAAGGCATAAGGGCTCCTATCAATCATGTGACTTTTTTCAGACCTGAATTTCTTCAACAATAACCCAAGGAATGAAAAGCTTTTTAAAAATTTGCTATCAAGAGATGCTATTGCACTGCCATAGACCCCCAATGAGAATGTACAGCATTGCTGACTTCTCCTTCCTTATCCCATTTGTGGTGTCACCACTTCAGTCCAAACCTAGTATGGAAAAACAAGGATTATGCAATTCAAGGACTCAAAACAAAAAGTTTTATTTAGTCATGACTTCAATCATGGTAAAGTGGTCTATGTTCCATCAAGACCACAAAGGGGAAGAAGAGACACAATTGTAGGAGCCATATGGTTTTAGTAACTGATAGGAAAGTGAATGATCCAAACATTGAAAGAGCAGTGAAATTGAATGCTACGAGATAATAGAAATATTTTGCAAAATAACAAAGGCCTACTTCAAAGGAGTTTGCAGCCAACTCATTCTTTGATCTGCATATTTCTTTTAGTATATTTCAAGAGTTCTAAAAAGAAAAAGGCTTCAAAACAAGGAATGAATGAAGCTAGTTAATTATATGCAGTAAAATTATATGCAGTAAAAAGGGGAAAAAATCGATAAGGTAGGATTTCAAAGTACAAGAAAACCAATAACATATGTGGAAAGGCACACTACAGTCGAGACATAAGCATGTATTAATGCATCACAAGTACAAAATACTGAGCTAAGGCACATTCACTTAGAATTACTCTTTCCCACAGAAACTGAGTATTTGCAGTGTGATGGTAGAAGAGCTAAGGGGGACTATCTTCATACAGGCAAGAGGCCACCCAATGCTAGCCTGCAATATTGGAGTTATTGACATTATGCTGTGAAGGACAGCAGTTAATGCCAGATCGGATATCCCTCTTTGCACAGTGGTAAACTAGTCTTATTGCATCAAATTCAAAAGGAACTACTGTGTTCAAAAAAAAAAATGTTCTATGCAATACTGCCTTTTAGCCACAGCATGTGCTGAATGATCAGAACATCAGGCAAGGCTACACTGAACAATTGTCCGCTGGAGTACTGCGGTATCCAGAAGAAAAGGGTCCAGCAGCCTTGTTGAAATACTAAATTAAATTGTTGTGCCATTTTGCACAAAAAATTTTTAATAAAAAAAGGCTGCCCTCCTTTAAAAAGCCAAGTACATTCTAATCATTCTATTCATGTTATACAGCACACATACTAGTATATAACATGAATAGTTCAGAACCATTTTATGGGGACCTGATTTAGAAATGTAATCAAGAGTAACACTTGAACACATAATAAAAAATGATCAAGAATTTATAACAACTGTTGCTATCAAATTATCTACCTATAACCCACTGAATGGCTACTGATGTCATGAAGTCTTCCTGTTTCCTTGCATCAGGGGATAGAAGAAACAGCAGCTTCTAAGCACAGTCATCTCTACCTGCTATTTCTATTTTTCTATTTCGTTCCTGTATATCAGAGGTCTTCAAACTTGGCAGCTTTAAGACTTGTGGACTTCAACTCCAGCATAGCTGGCTGGAGAATTCTGGGAGTTGAAGTCCACAAGTCTTAAAGCTGCCAAGTTTGAAGACTCTCCTGTATATGATTACTGAGCCTCTCATCACCAAATAATAAATGGATTCCTACCATAGGAAATATACCAACTGTTACAATGATTTTCTACAATGCTCAATAGGACACATAAAAGAAACCTGTGACTTTTTATCATTATCTAAAGTAGCCTTTCTCAACTTGCTTTCTCAGTTGACCCATTGATCCCAAATATCATAGAGATTGGCTGTGTTTGTGTAATCCCAGTTGTAATCCCAGTATATTTGGAGGGTGTCAGTTTTCGGAAGGCTGCAAATGATAAAATTTGAAACCAAACACAACTCAAATGCACTGTGACAATTATTAGATTAAGCCAGACTAATAAATACAGTTGTATTTCCTTTGGTTTTTTTGGATTGGGACATCTAAACTTTACTCAACATAATCATATCATGGGGATATTAGCAGTCTCCCTGCCAACCAAGATAGCCAATAAATGAAGGATGGCATGGAGAATAGAATTTGGGAGGCTTCAAAGTTTCATACACATGCTAAAACGAATTACTGGAATACCTCAGTAACCTGGACATAGGTCATCAATGTTAACTAGAGCTGAAGCCAAATTCATTCTAAAAAATCCTGGTGCATTGCACAATAACTGAGAGTGAAATGTTTTTCAGTCAAATTGTTTTTCAGAGTTTCTTTCCCATGCAATCACAAAAATTCTTCCTCTATCCAGCTGAAGAGGTTGGTTCTATTATCAAGCTGCCCTGAAACTACAAAATCTTTCTCAAGATAGTGTAGTATAGCAAGAGGAAAAAACTTCTCAAAATAATTATGCCTTTAGCAAAGAATAACCCAGTATTACCACTTATTTTGCACAATCTACATTCATTCATGTCAGCTTTCCCTCAGGTGATGGGATAAATCAGATCAATGCCAGCGTTAGCAAATGCTCTAAGCTATTATGTAATCTAATGCAGCTTTGCAGCCTTGCTCAAAAGGCATATCAGAGGAATTTAGAGCTGGAGACCAAAAACTTAACATCACTTCTCTTTAAAAAATCCTTAGAATAGTGGTGTAATGAGTGGAATGTTATAATTTAATAACTCTATGAGTCTGCTAGGTAATTGTACGACTTGCTTAACTGCAACTAGTAGCTAGTGCTGAGAGACAGAAGTATTATGCAAAAATAGAAATAACTAGTGTTTTGTCTTAGAAGAAAAGAATGCACAGAAACCTGTAATGCTTCAACCAACTGAAACATTTAAGTCCAATTATTTAAGATCAAAGTAAGAAAGAGATGATTCTTGAGGGTATATATGTGTACACACAGAGAGACAACTTCCCTTTAAAAACATCATAAATTATTGGTTCTGAATGATCCCATTTGCAAAAGACCATTTTTTTAAAAGCACAGTTGATATTCCCTGTTGTCATGTCACATTTGAACAAAGATAGATTGCATAATCTACAGCTTTTTGAAACACATGCATCCTCAAAATCACACATTATGACATTGCTGTAGATTGTCTTGATAAGACAGCATGAGTGTTTAAATATTGCTTGGACAGTTCAAACTTTAAAGTAGCAGCTGGCTCAAATGACTGGAGCAATGGACCTTTCTGTCAGAGGTTCTCCCACACTGTTGCCTCCTTCTTCGATAGTTCACTGTCTCCACTCAGAAATGTTTAAGAGAAGATTCTTCATATCAATCATCAAATGGACGGAAATGTTTGACCACGTCTATTCTTCCATTTTATTCCTTTTTTTTTTTTTAAGAGCTGGATCTAAAACTCCCATGTTTCCAGCCATTTAAGGCCTGCCATTGAGCTGCTAGGATCAGAAGCCAGAGGTCCCGTCATCCCGTAGGATAGAGGATGGAAGAGGTAAAAGCTGTGGAAAATACACATACACATATAAATAATAAATTAAATTCCCCAAAACACAGGGTCATAAAAGCAGACGGTATCTCAGCATCCGCTAGGTTGGCCTAACTAATAGTACATAACATTTATAACATATGACAGAGTTCATTCAATTGTATTGTTCACTGAATTCTGAATTAAAAGAGAAAACGGCAATTGTGAAAGAAAAGCTGTCTACATTACAATATTTAGGGAACATCTCAGAATAGGATGACCTGGATTTGGGGAATATTACCATCAGTCTCTTGCCATAGACTGATCACTCCTTGTTGACTTAAGAGTTCTGTGGTGTTGCACCCTTTATGGGAAGATAGGATCTATTTAAACAGTCTAATGGACACTATTTGGTTTCAGTGGAAGCTTGGAATTGTTCCTGGAGCTCTAGAACCTGCTTTAATCTCCACTTGGGACAAGAGAGTGGCAATGGCCTTAGATCTAATTGTATCTGTGTAGACTCTCTAGGCACATGGATCATGCAGGGTTCCCTGGTTTCCAGAGGAATTCAGATGATGAAATGGCATAAGAGATGCTTTAAAGTGCTGTTGGAAGAAAATGAAGAGTGAACCCAATCAAAAGTAAAAGCTTTCCTTGAGAATTACCTGGTGACATTAAAGGCAGCAAAGGTAGCTTTTCTCGACTCTTATTATATCTGCAGAGAGATGGCTGGTGGCCCTTTTAAGATAACCAAGTCTCAGTCCCCCAAATTCCCACCAGGTGAATGTTTACAGGCTGCTGTAAGTTCTGTTCTAGGTGTCTGCCTCACAGAGTTACTCAGATTCACTCGGAATTGGAATCTGATTGCACAGATCCTATGAGCTGCATAAGGTATAGTCTTGCCCAGTTACCTGGGAAGAGTTTGAATCAGTTACTCTATTGAAAAGAACAAGGTCCTTTAAAATGAGCCGTGAATTCAGTCATCTGTTTTAGAGCCATTGAGATTGGCCCACCCCAACTGTGCTGGCAGAGCAGGCATGCTTGCGGACCCTATTGGCCTGGTGGGGTCCAGGAGAAGGGCCTCCTCTGCCGTTGCACCTGTCCTCTGGAACATGATTCCCCCCTCCCCCCGAGTAAGATTGGCTCCAAGCCTTCCAACCTTCCATAAGAACCTAAGGATCTGGCTCTGCCAGTTAGCTTGAGGCACCAATGGGGGTACATCACAGTGATCAATTAACAAATCCCCCATCCCCCTCCCCATCCTGCTCCCCTCCTCCCCATCTTTAATTGGGTTTGCTTGTGTATTAATTTATGTTTTTAATTTATACTATTTTTATCTTTTATGATTGTAAACTGTCCAGAGTTACCCTGAGGTAAGATGGGTAGCCAGTAAACATTATAAATAAATAAAATAAATTGGTTGATTAAGTTTGCTGGGAGGTGACATGTGGATAGATTTGGGCAATTAATTAAATATAATTAATTAAATATATTTTTGAGCAGCTCAAGAACTGATTCTCACCTGTACATACTGAGCACGACCAACACTGCTATTCCATAGTTATAAATCTTCCTAGCTTGGATGCTGGTTGAAAAAAACGAAACACAGAATTTCAAGAATATATCCCACGTAATCCCTGAGGGAAAAACAACAAATTAAATCTGATTTGCAATTAAATTAATACAGTTTATATGACAACCATTCATGCATTTAATCAGTTTTCCCCATCTCATTAGAAATCACAATTTGGTAGAAACTTCTGGAAGATTTATATGGGGAGAGAAAAATCTGTGGAAAAGAACATTCAGGCCTTAGGCAGGGCATTTGGGGACAAATGATGGACAAATGATTGGCAAGATATAAAAAGACTTTTAAAAGAAGTACCTGTCGGATTTTATATCCTGAGACCAAAAATAAGAATATTTAAAGCTGAGCTTTTAACAATATTCTTAACCAATACACCTTGAAACCATTGTAAAAATAAAGGATTTCTGCAACACATTTGAGGGAAAATTGATTTAATCTTTATCAAACTCCTATTTGAAACAGTTCCTGATCACTCTAATGATCATTCTAATATCCACATTATCAATACAGAAATGATGAGAATAGGGCAATAGATTGCACAGGGCTATTGAATAACAGCTGGTATGTTGTATCCTAATCTCCTAAATTCAATTCTAGATTACAGTGGTCTCAATACTGATTTAAAAAATTGTTTCCTGAGAAACTTTTGAAAACATGCAACGTGTTAAGGTAAACAGTGTGATCTCTTACACTCATGCTTTTCAAGACTCTCTGTAATCTGATACATAACCACATTTAATTTCTGATATATGAAGATTTATAAATCTTACCTGTCAACATGATGGAGAAAAGCATGGCAGGGAAGTAATGATGGAAATACAGCACTCTGCCCATCATGAAGAAAGGAAAATAATGGAGAAACCATCCTAGGATAATCCTTCCCCCACCATGCAGCAAAACTTGAGCAAGCTCTGTAATATATGCATATACCTAAGGATGTTTTCACTGCCATTTAATCTCAAATTGCATACAGTACAAGCATTGGATCCTTTGAAACATTATAGAGAGATCTAATTCTAGGGAATGTGTAAATACTAAATGCCATATTTACCACATTAAGGGTTCATTGGACAGAATTACTGCTAAACCTTGCTTTGTGGAAAGCTTTCAAAAATACCAAAACAGACCACACTATTAATAATCAGATCTATTTTATTTATGCATGATAGTAAACATTACAGTATCATGCTAGCTAAAGAAAGCCACTGGAACACCAACAACCATTATGAATAAGTATACGAAAGAACATTTTGAAAGCTGATATGATTCCAAGCAAAAACCACATGAACTTTCATGATTACAAATAGTTCTCGATTTACGGCCACTTGTATGACCAGGTTACAAAGGTCCAACAGACAGCCCCCTCCCACAATCACATGACTCCATTTTGTGCACTTGGCAACCAGCCCTCATTTAAGACTGTTTGCTCTGTCCTGTAGTCACTGACTATGATTTGGGATTCCCTCCCCCCTAAAAGCAGCATTTACATCAAGTTTTCAGTAAAACTGCCCTTTAGCGAATAACGGGTTTGCTTAATGGTTGTAGCATTAGTTTAACAACCACAGATTCACTTGATGACCATGGTAATTCACTAAAGAATCGTCACAAAAAAGGAAGGCCATAAATTTGGGTCGGGCACATGATAATCCACTTTACAATAACTATCAGAATTTATGACCATTTTGCTTTAGTGCTTAAGGCACCAGACTAGAAGGCTGGAGATCATGTGCTCAAGTCCCACCTTAGCCCAGAAAGTCAGCCAGGTGACCTTGGGTCACTCTCTTCCTCTCAGCCCAACCAACCTCAGAGGTCTGTTGTGGTGGTGGTGGGGGAAATAAGAGGTGGAAGGTTTGTTGGAAGCCTTGAGTAATTTGTAAAAATAATAAAGAAGGGATATAAGAAATAAAATAAAATAAATAAAATAAAATAAAATAATAAAATAAAATAAAATAAAATAAAATAAAATAAAATAAAATAAAATGGCAGACTCCATTACTGGTATAAGACGAGGATTATCTGCATCTGGATAAGTCTTCTCCAGTTTTGTGTCACACACATATATTTTGTGTTCCCATAATTCCAAACTCATATGACCAAAATTCATAGAATCTTATATGTTGAAGCCCAATCCAATTAAGGGAAAGGGAAAAGCTATTGTTATGTACTTAAAAAGCTGGGACACTCTAGTTAAAGCCATCTGAACATGAATTTCTATGAACAGTGCAGTGTTAGTGACATCACTGTATCCAACTATTAAGGAACATAAAGTGCATAATTAACAAGGAACAGTGAATAATTCTTAATAGCCCTCCAACTTTCCAGTTTTAGTTTTTTGTATATGCGTTTCTGGATCTCAGCATCAGTGATAATCCCCCTTTTCTCCCTTTTCCAATAAACTCCCTCTGAAGGAAATGTAATATAGCACTGGCTACATAGCATTTATTGTTTTAAAATTCAAAGCAAGAATTTATAATAACAAGAAGAAAACTGATCTTACCTTTGTGTTCAGTTGTTAGCTGAACTCCTCGCTTCACAGCCACGGATATAAATATTATCATCATAAGATATAATCCAATAGCAATTAGACTCACCCACCAAATCACCTTTAAAAAAAACATTGTAATTAAGCCTATTCAGTGCAGTCTTTTTCTTCTGTTCAATTGTGTCCTATTCTAGGGGACTGCCTTGCAATTTTCTTAGCAAGACTTTCCAAAATGGTTTGCCATTGCCTCCTTCCTAGAGCTGACTGGCCCAAGTTCATGCAACTGGCTTTGTGCCGAAGGCTGATGCCTTAACCACTACACCAAACTGGCTTTTGCAACATAAATGATAAAGAAGCAAAAGATAAAGATTACAATTAGGAAAAAAAGATTATAAAGAAAACCACTCAAGTGTAATAAACACTCAAGGGAACTCAAGACAAAGATGACTCATCCAATTTCAAGATAAAGAACCAAAATGTAACTTACCGGGTTTCCCAGCAAATAAACCCTGTAGTCTGTTTCATTGACACCAGAAAAACGCAGACCCTATGGAGAAATGGATGGATGAATCAGAAGTGATCAAAGTATTTAACTTTTAGGCCTCATTTTTTAATTAACTGAATTTTCCTTCCATTATAAGAGAAAAAAGTAAAGGTAGTTCTTGACTTATACTGTAACTATAATTGAGGCCAGAATTATGTACATAAATCATTTCAATTGTAGTTGAGGCATCACCTGAATGGATTTGAAGTTATGACCATTTTTCTGCAATGGTGGTTAAGTGAAGGCTGCAGTCATTAAGCAAACATTGTGTTCATTAAGAATATCCAGTTACCCTGAAATAAATGCTAGCAACCGGAAAAAATGTCACAAATTGTGGTCACATGATTGTGTGACCCGGCAAACTGCCATAAAAGTGAGGCAGTTGCCAAGGGCCCAAAGTACGACTATATGATCTTCAAGTGAGGGTTTGTAACTCCAAAAACAGGTTGTAAATAGCTCTGGAGAGATTTGTTGGAACTTCAAATGGTCGTTAAATAACCAGATGTAAGTCAAGCACTACCTGTATTTCGTATTTATAAAACAATTCAAACTTTCAATTAAAATGTGGGTTTAAATGCAGTTAAATATTTTTCAAGAACAATTTTGCATGAGCTTCATAGGTCTTTGCTAACCAGCATTCCAGAAACATCTATCTAGATAACAGCCTCTAAATACCGAAGATTTCTATTAAGCAATAAGAACTACTGAAGAAAAAAAATAAGATTTGGGTGTGCAGATGTCATTTAAACATGCATCCTGAAAATATGCAAAAAAAACCTAACAGCAATTCTTCATGCTATTCTTTTAAAAACAAGATGAAGTCAGAGCTCTACAATATTGATGCTGATCACATACCTGGTAATTGATTGGCCAATGCCAGGGTTTTGATGTGACTTCATTCTCCTTTGGTTTAAGGCCACTGTTTCCCTTCCAATGACATGAAAGGCACAGTTATCAGTTACATTGCAAAACCTTTGTAACTTCCCATTTACCTTTTATCTGTCTGTCTGTCTGTCTGTCTGTCTGTCTGTCTACCTGCCTGCCTGCCTGCCTGCCTGCCTGTCATTATACCTCTCATATTTAATAATGCACTATCCATCTAACTGATTTCATATAATAATGCATTAGCCACCTCTGGAAAGTTTATACAGACATACGTGCACACACAACACATATTCAACCTTTTACTGCTCTTTCTTATTAAATATTCTATTTTTCCTTCTGGTGGAGATAGCCTAACCCAGCCCACTTGGGGTTGGGAAGATGCTCCATAGTGAAAACTATGGGTATTTTTTTTCATTATTGTTCTTTATTCTCAACAATTATCCCCAAAATAGATTTTGCTTTTACACTGCCAAAGTATCTTTACTTTTACAAAAAGAATTATTTCCCCTAAAGTGAGTTAGAGTGTTCATGAATAACACTAAACCATGATATCATGGTATGTAAGTAGTAAGGAGCCCAATGCAATCTTGGGTTGATACATTCCTCACTCCCTGCTGCTCATGCAAAGTGAAATGAAACGAAAACAGAAAATTATCTTAGGCAGATAACATACTGTCTTCTCCTTACTGACGAATCAGGAATATAAGAAAAGCAAAAATGTAGCTCCAATGCACAGAAATGTAACTATCATCCAAAAACTATACTAATTCTCTAATATGGATGGCTTTTGGAATATAAATAACTGCTTTATCTAGTACCACACCAATAATGTTTACCATGAAAATGGATTAATACCAAATTGGTTACTTGTAACAATTCTGACTAACATTTAGAAATTAGAAAATGCTACTTATGAGCAACTCAGAGCACCTTGATTCTCAGTCCAAATCAAGCTGGCAGAAGTGTGAATAAAAGGATGATCTGCCTTTTATGGCCCAACTAAGGAGCTATAAAAGTCTGAAGATAAAAATACTAAGTTTCCAAATTCTTCCATTCATCTGCAATTCTCTCGCATGCAAAGAAACTCAGATTAGTTTTTAAAAAATATTTCCTCTTGCTAAAATATTATTAATAAACTATATAAGATAATTTATCTTTCTTTAAGTATCTACAGTATACCCCAAATATGCTTTTTCAAGAGGCAACTGGACTTTCTGGGTTGTTTTTTTTTAAGACGTTTCGCTTCTCATCCAAGAAGCTTCTTCAGCTTTGACTGGATGGAGGGGAAGCTCAGAGCTGAAGAAGCTTCTTGGATGAGAAGCGAAACATCTTCAAAAAAACCCCCAGAAAGTCCAGTTGCCTCTTGAAAAAGCACCTTTGGGACAACCATGACCTGGATGACTGAGAATCTCCACAGACACATCTACAGCATATTTTACAGGTATATGCTACTATCTAAAATATTTAATCTTCCCAGATCACTGAAAGTGCCTTGAAAACTACTGATTAGCAGAGAGACAGACTTATTGGATTGAATCTTCTGCTATTTTGGACCAAACTGTTGTTTTTAATTAGAATGTTAAACAATAACTCCCAAACAATCTACTTACTCGGATCATAACAATGTGAGATTCCAGTAGTATCTCTGGAAAGGAAGGTTTCAAAACATCCAAACTAATATTGGGCACTGTAGAAAAGAAGACAGTTTAAGATGAATCTTATACATTAAATCCGCACAATCATTCTCTTGGCACTCAATTAAATTCAGTGGGTCAGCATTATTGAAATAGCAAAGCGAAACAAAATATGCAACCAAATCGTGACTGGTCAAATTCTAGTAATATTCTGAAACATTAAAACTGAATCATAGGATGTTCCACTTTTCATTTTTCTAAGTCTCTGAGATGAGGAAACAAGGGCTACCCTAGAGTTGATGTGCCAAATAATTTAAAGCAGCTTTTTTCTGGTATCACTCTGTTCAACCATGTTTCTCTGAAAATAAGACCCAATACTCCCTCCCTCAAAAAAAAAAACCAGCATGATTTTTCAGGATGCTCGTAATTTAAGTCCTACCCAAAAATAAACCCCAGTTACAATTATCAGCCAGACAGATGCATTTAGTACTTAGTATTTCCCTGAAAATAAAACTTAACCAGAAAATAAGCCCTAATGAGTCCTTTGGAGAAAAAATTAATATAAGACCCAGTCTTATTTTCAGGGAAACACAGTGTGTGTGTGTGTGTGTGTATTAATGACATGTTACAATCACATACATCTGGAATTAATGTGATCTTCAATATTCCAAAGAGTATTTGGAGTCTCCTTCTGATATGGAGTGCAAGTGACTTCCACTTGTTCCCAGCCCCTGTGAAAGACAAATAGTTTTAATCAATTCACTCCAATTTGCAGTCATATTTCTTGACTCTTTTCAACACATCTTTTTGTAGAGATCTGTTTTTGCTAGGAAATAGGTAAATGATGATTTAAGGGAATTATTTATCTTATTTGTTGAACAAGCCAATTTAAACATGGTAACATCTTGTATAATAGGACACACATGGTGTTATTCTTGTATAGGATAACTGTAAAGGCTACATCTGTAATACTGGGAATACGTTCCGGGTGCTCATGATCAGGAAGAATAAATTCAAATGGAAAGAAAACTAGTTCACAATATAAGCATTTGGTCAAAGTCACTTGTGTTCAGTGGAGCTTATTTCTAGATAGGTTTCAGCAATGGAAACTTCCTATAATGTAACAGCAGATATGAGCTCTTTTCTTTTTAAGGTCACAACATATTACAAGTATATAGAATAGAATAGAATAGAATAGAATAGAATAGAATAGAATAGAATTTTTCATTGGCCGAGTGTGATTGGACACACAAGGAATTTGTATTGGTGCATAAGCTCTCAGTGTATATAAAAGAAAATACGTTCATCAAGAATCATAAGGTACAACACTTAATGATATTAATGTAGGATAACAAAGAATTAAATTAGCTATTCAGGCTAAAGGAAGACTATGGCTCTAAAATATATATATGGCCATAAATTAGCTGTTGTTTAATTTAAATTAAAAATTAGAAAACGTAATTAGAAGAGTAATGAAAAATGGTCTCTTAAAATAACTGTAAAGCAATGTTTTAAGAAAAAGTTAACTTAGACATTTGAACAGTTACCATTTGGGCAATGTCTTTCCCGTCGAACCCAAGATACAGGTTGTTGCTAGATGAATCAATCGTATTTGACTTCGCAGGACTTTGATACGTTTCCCATCCTTTCTTCCGACAACTTCAATTCGCCAGAAATCATTGGAGTCTCCAGATCCATTCTAGGAAATATATATATATATATTACAGGATGGGGCAAGGAAGAGACATTAAGAAAATCTTTGTTTCTAAGTAATTGAAATTGAAATGCATAGACCACTATTCCTTTTATCCCCACTAAAAAAACTTTAACAATAGGTTGGAGGAAAAAAAAGAAAAAATGCCTGGCTTATTCAGCATTTCCCTATTTTTTTTATCCTCACAGAAGGGGAAACTCAGCATCCTGACTAGCTCCTTGGCTTTAGTAGTTATGTATTTTGGGGGTTCTGATTGCATCCCCCAATTACCTTTTAGTGCCTGAGCCTCTTGAAGTGGAATTTCCTGGCACACTACAGAGTCACATGATCACATAGCAAATTGAAAAAAATTAATAAAATTCTTTAGAAAAGCTGAATGATTTGAGGCCCAAGAAACAAGTATATATAAGGTGACACAAATTCTACGGTGGTATTTCAGTGCTTCAATTCGTTAGATCTGCTTTCCTCATATTTTTTTTTAGGAATTCTATATAAAGCAATATATTATTAACCATAAAATATCTTGTGCTCTTCTTGTTCTTCTATGAAATATCACAGATTTTGAACAATTTAAAAACAAGAAAGCTACAACACAAAAATGCAACCCTTTGCTTTAGCAAAATGTTTATTACAAATGGAAAGTAGAATTCTGTTTATTCACTTACAATCCCATATCCAGTGACCTGAAGATGTTTCCTTGTCAAGGGGGCTTCATGTTGATGACTGTGCAGATTTCTTGATGTCCTAAAGTTAAAATAAAGTTAAACTGATTGATCCAATTTTGGGGATAATCTGAAGGATGACAAATGTTAAACAAAATGAGAGCAATATAATAATGCTTTGTTAAATATCAATTTATCTATCAATATACAAATATCATAATTTCTATAGGGTGCTCATTGATTTCCATGGAAACAATTTTCAAATGTGCAGCCATGTTAGTTAGCTGTTATTGCTGCTATATAAAATCAACCAAAGAATCTCTATTGCCTCAAGGAAGCTGATCCTAAGCATTTAAAAGTCAAGTGTGTAACTTTACAAATAGAAAACATCCCAGAATGCACCTGAAGCACAGAAAACAAACCAACATCGGCTTCAAAAGTTTACTTTAGTCATGGCTTGCAGATAAAAACTTCTACATTCACTTTCAGTTAGAATAGTTAATTCAGGCAAATCTAGAAAATCTTCCAACTTCTTTTTTCCAAATTCCTGTGCAACTTACTCTTTGTGCTCCAGACGAATAATATCTCCATGTTTTACAAACTCCACAGGGAAGGAAGTGTCTGAATAATCTGATGAAAAGAAGGGGTTTCAGCATGAATTTGAGGAGAATGGACAAAGACATTAGAACACTGATACCTAAATATATTACCAAATTAATATAAAGAGGGGAAGCATACTTCCAAGCTCTATGATTTAATTCAACTGTAGGAACACTGGATATGTATTTATTTCATTGCCCTGTGACTAATCTACACTTTTTCAATTAATTAGAGAAGCTGCTTAGAAAAGCTAAGTTGCAAGTTTTGAAATAACTACATTTTTTTGTCCTAATTCAAATCGGTTAATTATTTCTCTCTTTTATTATAACAGGTACCCAGTATCTGCTAGACATTTAATCCTCATTTATATGTACTTATTCCTTGCTGATATCTAAACTAAGCAATTTGGGAGGGAGAGAGAGAACAATTGCCCAATGAAAGCCACCCATTTCGAATCCTGGAAACTGTCTCTGCCACTTGGGCTCACTGTGGCACGTGTGGCAATTAGGAAAGGACCCTTGGATCTATAAGTAATTAATGAGGATAATTTAAAGAAACATGGTTTTTCTTTATATTTTTATTCCACCCTTTTTTCATATATTCAGTTTGTACATATACAACAGTTTGTTTTGTTTTGATCAGTATCAAAACAGTATTCAGTATTCATCCTGCAAATACTAAGTTTGTCAGCAACATCCTGCAAATACTAAGTTTGTCAGCAACACAAGAATTTCAGAACACATTCATGAATGCACTGTGATAGAATAATTGTAATAAGCAACTTATTTAATGTAATACTGAATGAAGTATACTTGCATCGGGACAAAGGAGGAGTAGTATAAAATACCATGGTTAAAGAGAAACATTATTAATGTAAACATTTAGAAATGTTAACATTAGTTTCAAAAGTTATTACAGCTGATAACAAAAAATAGTTGGATTAATACATTTATTTATTATGTGCCTATAATGAAGTACACCTACAGACAGCAGTTAAAACAGCAGTTAATGCTATAAGGTACAATGGGCAACAGTAAAATTGCAATGTAAAATAAACAGACTTAAAACTAAGGCAGATAACATATAATACATGCAAAATTGTAAATTTTGTCACATATCACCAAAATGAAATGAGAAGTTTTCTTTGGCAAGCTTTTATTGGATCCAAAATTTCATTCATGCTTTTTGTATCAAAATGCTTTGCCCGGCAGAGAAAAGGGTACACTTCTATGTGCCTCCCTCTTGCCATTATTGAATTCTTTAAAACAAAGAAAAGAAAAAAAAAAGATCGGTGGGATCTGTGAGCTCTTGTAGTAAAATCCAGCAAAACTGGTGCATATTTTCCAACTCATAAAAAAGTGAACAATAGTCTTCAAACAAAGAATTGGATTTTCTGTTCTAAAGTCTGGAGGTTTTAAAAAAATCTTCCTTTATGTAAGATCAGCAATCATCATCTCATACTTCCAAAAGTAGTTTGCTCCATTGTCTGAGAGATTTTCAGAGAGAACATTTGTTCAAAACCTTAATCAAGATCTACTTCACTGAAATGTCCTATCACTTTTTCTGGTCATACTATCTGAAATATAGGAAAAACACTCCATTTCAACTTTTGTGTATTTAAAATTAATTGAAAGGCTGTCATTTTTTAATTCAAATCTATTTTTCTAAGTAAAAAATGTATTTATATTTTTTATGTATTTATATTTATATAAATATAATTTATATTAACTTTATCTAAGAAGACCTTTTCACTGTCCTTCTGCTACACTTCCTTTTACTAATGTCCCCCAAATGAGATGTCCAAAACTAGATACATTCTCAAGTGATACAAGCACATTCCACTTTACAACTATACTTTTTTTAAAGAAAGCCAAGATTTAAATATAGCAAGTATTTAGTACAACCTGGGAAACACCATTGTTACAAGTATGATTGGACATAATCCTGAGAAAAGAAACGTTTTCATTGAAGAAAAGTAAAATGAATAATATAATCCATTTGGGTGATTTTTAATTTACCTCTATTGAAGTTATGTTTCCTTATAATCCATAAGTTATTCAAGTCTTTGTGTAAATATGCAGTGACCTAGGAATACATAAGAGTTATTAGACTTAATTTCTTAAGTAAGTTAATGAAGCTACGCTTCTTTACTCATTACTAACAAATGTGATATCTTACATATAGGATTATATAAAATAAAAATGAATTTATCCCACTATTATTCCATAATTGTTGTGAGCCGCCCTGAGTCCTATGGAGATAGGGCAGCATATGTTATATTAAGTTATATTAAATAAATAATCATCATTCAAAGTCATGTTGATTTTGATAGTTGTAAGGATCTTAAGCTACCAAGGAACTTAAACTTAAATCATCACAATAGTCTCATGAAGATTAGTTCATGAACCTAAGCAATGCAACACTGAAGCCTTTAACATCTATATTTAAAGACTAAATACATATATTTGGTCTATAAAGAGTGAAAAATTAGTAATATTATAGTATGCCATTAAATATTTATTAAATATTTTTTTATTGTAAAACAAAACTGCAATCAGAGCCATTTCATACTGGTTACTTAGTCAGTGACATTTTTAGTTGATTAAAAATTTAATATTATGTTTTATTAGCAAACTAATATTTAATAATTTGTCAAGACCAATAATTGTTCCTGACAAATTAATAAATATTAGTTTGGTAATACAGGTATTACCAATACAGGTGCCAATACAGAGTGGAGAAAATGATTTGGAAGATTGTATGTACTCTTCAGGCTCTAAGTTTGAGATTCCTGATTTAGACAGCATGACTAGTAGCCATTTTCCATCCCAGGAAAAACAAGTCTTGAAGGCTATCGTACATAGTGAAAAAATTATTAATGTCCACATGTTTTAGTCAGCTGAATGACTTATGGAAATATCAGTAGAATGATTGAAAATGATATTTTCACACTTGACTGACCTGCTGCTGCCTTGCTCCCACTCCTTCAGGATACAGGTGCCAGTGGGAGTGAAGGTATCCTCCTGCCATGCGAAGGTTCTTCAGTGTTATCACAGAGCCATATGCTACATCTAAAAGAGAAACAAGGGTTGAATTTGTAACCATCGATTACTGCTTTTTCCCCCCTTCCATTCAATTGTGTCTGAACAACTTCTTGCAGTTTTCTTGGCAAGATTTTGCAGAAGTGGTTTACCACTGCCTCCTTCCTAGTGTTCCTTGTTCAGAAAACTGCTAAATAGATATAAAACAGATCAATCTGTCTAGATAATTCAGCCCCATTTGAGTATCTTTCATGTAAACGTAATGTTGTTTGACAACAACTTCATGAGACTCATCAACCTGATTCATGTATCATACTAAGCTACAATTATGGCTTGTTGAATAAGCAGTAACTGGCTGCTTTCTCACGAACATGCTGTTTATATAATGTAATTCATCTGACTTAAGCATATAGAGTTTAAAATTTAGCTAGCAAGTTATTTAGCAACCTAGACTACTATAAATTATTAAACAAGTGATAACTAAGTCAAACAGTTGTACAATATGTACAATCACACTGCTGTACAACTTGGGAGACTACTATCAATAGTTTATTGCTACTTACTCAGAGTCATAGACATTTGTACCAGTGGTTTTGGACTTAATCTGCTGTATAATAACATATGACTTTTGTCAGGATGATGCTCACAAATAGCAATAGCACTTAAGACTTTTTATACCGCTTCACAATGCTTCACAGCCTTCTCTAAGCGGTTTACAGAATCAGCATATTGCCCCCAACAATCTGGGTCCTCAGTATGTTTAATCTAATACAGATGTGTGAAATTCAACTGTATTATCAATATATTGCCCTCCCAGACTCACTATGAAGTACACAATTTTATATAAAACATTAACAAAAGCAAAAATTGCCTTTTAAAAACCTTTTTCTTAAAAGCTATTAATTTCCTTTGCTTTAAACTATCTAAAATGTTTCTAAATATAGGAGACATTTATATAGGAAATATAGAAAAATTTTGTTTACAACATTTTCTACACTGTAGAGTTACAATGTTGGCTAGAGCATTTGTCCCTGCAATAACCCAGATACTCACATTCTGGAACAGAAACATTATGAAGATTGTTTCCAATGAGCCGGGATTGAAATCCAGAGCTGAAAAAACCATCACCAGGTCCACTGAGAAAAAAAAGGACTTGGGCTTTCAGTACACAGTATGATTAAATAAGGAGCCAATGTAACAGCGAAAGAAAAATGCTTTCCACTTCTTTTAGATGTCTACAAGGATCTAACGTCCTGAACCATTAGAACTATCATTTAGTTTAGACATACTATCAGATCAAGCCATGGATTAGACTTTAGAGATCTTTACAACCTCTCATTTCCAGAGGCAAAGCAACAGCCAAAATTGTGAATGATCACATCAGTTATTGTCTCCAGCCATAATCGGCAGTAATCTCAAAGCCTGGTTGGCTATCCTTCACTATTCACTAAAAATCATGTTTAGCCAGTTTAAAAATAAATGAAAACTCACTGAAATCAAGCTCAACAGTTCGTGAGGTTTTCTTGGCAGCAATAAATAAGTAGTTCACTATTCCCTTTTTCTTGGATGTGTGTATGTTGTTGTTGTTGTTTTTACTTTTCAGACTACTCTGCATCCTTGAGGTTTCTAATCCTGCTTAGCTTTGGTCTGGTGCTGCAATTAATCAATGTAAACTCTACACTGAATCCAATTAAATGTCTTTAAGAAAGGTTAGGGTCCAAATAAACACTGCAGCAATTACAGTGCAGGGTTTCTCAACTGTGTATTTCCTCTCTGACAGAATGAGATGAGATACCTTCTGTTTAACACTGCAAAATGCACTGCAAAAAGAGCTGTATAGAGGACAAGAGGCAGTACAATGAGGCAAAGTGCACGAGCCAAGAAGTGCTTTCCCAATGTGACCTGAAATTTAAAAAATGAAAATAAAAATAAGACAGATGCATTAACTTTTAGGCAAGATTTTTTCTTTATCAAAACAAGTTGTCTCTATATATTTCCAGTGCTGAAGCAACAAAGCTGCAAATTTGTACGCTTACAAACTTAAAATTAGACTAGAACAAAGCATACTCAATTGTTTAAAAAAGCTTTATCTGATGTATTATCTTCCCATAGTAAATCATGCCATGAGTACCTCAATATGGCAACAGAAGAGAAAAGTCGTATATCATTTCAAAAACAATTTGATTGAAAATAAACAAAAAAATTTTTGGAACTGTATATATGAACTGTATGTACCCCCCCAAAAAAAATCACATGGCATCTACCGTATTTTTCAGAGTATAAAACGCACCAGAGTATAAGACACACCTTAGTTTTTGGGGAGGAAAATAAGAAAAAAGCTGATTGACAGGTGGATCCACCTCCCGGAATACCCCCAATCACCTGTTCCCAGAGGTGAATTTTAGCAAAGGTTCCTTGGTTGTGAGCTCTGTGCCTTGCTTTTTTTTGCTTTTTTTCCTGCCTCTGAAACTTCTGAAACTCTGTTTCAGAAAAAAAACTTTTTTTCCTGCCTCTGAAAGCCTCCGAAACAGAGCTTCAGAAAAAAGCCTCTGAAGCTCTGTTTGGGGGTTCTTTTCTGAAGCTCTGTTTGGGGGCTTTTTTTTCTGAAGCTTCATTTCTGATGCTTTTTTCAGCCTCTGAAACCTCCGTTTGAGAAGCTGGGTGGGGCTACATTCGGAGTATAAGACACACCCAGATTTTCACCCTCTTTTTTGGGGGGAAAAGGTGCATCTTATACTCGGAAAAATACGGTATCTAAAAAATAAACATATTAATTAATCCAAAATTTGTTACTCATTCAAACTTCAACTTTTCCCAAAATAAGATTTTCTGATGGGAGAATGAATTGGGCTGCAATTTTCCATGTTCATTCAGTATATCTTATCCCTGAGTACAGATTCGCACTGTTATTTCTAAATAAAGATATAAAAGATTGTATTTTGAGGCTTTTATCTTATGTACATGTAGAAGAATAGCTCTCACAGGCAAAATTATTTCTAGCATTGTTTGCTTACATACCTAACTGAAAACAATTCTGAACAAAACAGATAATTCCAATCAAGTTCAAGACAGGCTTCTGAAATTACTTATTTTCAACTTCAAAACTCCAAATACTGTGACATGCAGTATTAGCTTCTGTTTAGCCATTCATCTATATGCCATACAGGGAAAAAAGTTGGAGTAAACTACTACATATGCTGGCTAAAACGTCATCCAATTATTAATATTATAGTACATATTTTCAAATAACCATGCATGAAATGCTGTCCAAATCCACTATTTCCCACTCATCCTTCAACTCGGTCAACTTATATTGTTATTGCAAGAGTTTCTTCTTAGGTTATCTAAGAAGAATGCAAATGGCAGAAAAGGATTACTGAGTAAATTGAATATCCTGTCAGAGGGAGATAATTAATACTCTCGATGTAATGCTTTTTCAGTTTAAGTGGGGAAGGGCTAAAAACAGTTATTCTGTCAATCCTGATCTAGAATTATACGCTGCTTTGCATAGTTTAAGATTCAAAGAACTGTGTTGGCAACGGTGCGGCTTAAATTTCTGAGCAGCTATCTGCAAAAGGAAGTTTAAGCAACATGAATTTGCTTTATTTCATTTGCAATTGATTAATAATTTTTGGAGTGGTTCTTTTCAAAAGCTGAAACTCACATCCTTGCACTATATATATTTTAATCAAGAAAATAAATCACACAGAAATAAAAAAGATCACATTTTCACATATAAAAGAAATAGAAACAATTGGTAAAATAACTAAACTAAAACATCATCCAGAAAAGACAGGCTTTCGGTAATTTATATACTGTATGCCAGAAAGCCACTTTTCTTGCTGTTAATGAGCAGCCACTTTAATAATGTCTATTGTCAATGTCAGTATATTTCATATTTAATTTCTCCTAAGCATTGCATAGAAATAATTTACTATCCAGAAATAATTTAAGTTCTTTCTACCATGGCAAGCTATTTATGTCCAGAAAATAAACTCTTAGTGATGAATGACTTGCAGTTTTCTTCATTTTTAAAAAAGTAACTCAATATGTAAAGGCCATTAAATCCATCAGGCATAGCTATAAACCAGTAATTTATTGGGTAAAAAATCCAATTTGTAGGCTACATTTATTGCTTCACTAAAGTTCAAACAATTTCCAGGCTTCCTCCCCAGCTCCCCAACACACATCATAGCTTATTAAATTTAAGGCATTTCAGCAGTAAAATTTATCATATAAAATCACTTCTAGAACTTTACACATGTCCGTAAATTTGGGTACTCAATAACAATGCTAGATATGTATGTATACAGAATAACAGAGTTGAAAGGGACCTTTGAATTCTTCTAATCCAAGCCCCTGTTTAAGAAGGAAACTCCATACCATTTCAGACAAATGGTTGTCCAATCACTTCTTTAAAATACCCAGTGTTGGAGCACCAACATATAAGACACACGTTTTTTCCCCAAAAAAGGGGTGAAAATCTGGGTGCGTCTTATACTCTGAATGTAGCCCCGCCCAGCTTCTCAAACGGAGGTTTCAGAGGCTGAAAAAAACCATCAGAAAGGAAGCTTCAGAAAAGAAGCCCCCAAACAGAGCTTCAGAGACTTTTTTTCTGAAGCTGTTTCGGAGGTTTTCAGAGGCAGAAAAAAAAGTGTTTTCTGAAACAGAGTTTCAAAAGTTTCAGAGGCAGAAAAAAAAAGCAAAAAAAAAGCAAGGCACAGAGCTCACAACCAAGGAACCTGTTGCTAAAATTCACCTCTGGGAACAGGTGATGGGGGTATTCCGGGAGGCGGATCCATCTGCCAATCAGCTTCTTTCTTATTTTCCTCCCCAAAAACTAAGGTGCGTCTTATACTCCGAAAAATACGGTAAAAATATAAAATTTATATTTACTGACAAAGAAATAAAATTAAATATAAATTTAATACAAAATAGTTTGTCGTGATAGCAACTGCCTGAGGGCTCCTGGATTGGGGCTGAAAGGCGAAAGGAAGCAGTATGCTCCTTCCCATATTGTCTTGGAATGAACTACAACAATATTTCAATATGTAATGCAAGTAGAAAGCTTATACAGTTCAGCCAACTGTATAGTTTGAGGATGTTTTAACCTGAATTCAGTAACCTAATTGATACCTTACAATTTTGTGATCTGTTGTTAAGAATACTATCTTTTTCATACAAATGTTAAAAAACTAATGAGTTTTACATGCTCACCAGTGATAGACTTAGGTCTCCTAATAACTCCCAAAGTTCACAGATAGTATTCAGGCCAACCAGAAGAACAACAAAAAGACCAACAAATTTCACCCCCATTGCACCAGCGAGGTTCACCCCAGTCAAACACAGCCAGAACCACCAGGGAGCAGTAAAGGACCTGTAAAATATAGAGTTTAAAGTTTTCTGTTCAAAATTCATATTTTTGGAAAAAAATGTTTTGTTCAACAATCTAGATCAAAATATATTCCATTTATAAATAGAAGAAAATAATGCTGAAAACAGACTAATAGTGACACACTGAGATATAGTGTGGTTATTACCTACAAAGCCCTTCATGGCCTAGGCCCGGGATATCTGTCGGACCCCCTGCAGGCAGCGACAATTCCCAATCGCCCGGTGCGTTCCCACAGACAGGGCCTCCTCAGGGTGCCGTCGGCCAGACAGTGTCGGCTGGCGACCCCCAGGGGGAGAGCTTTCTCTGTGGGCGCACCCACCCTCTGGAATCAACTTCCTTTGGAGCTCCGGATGGCCCCTGACCTTCACTCGTTCTGCTGCGATTTGAAGACCTGGTTGTTCCGCAGCCTGGACTGATGGGGGGGTTTCTTAATGAATTTTAAACTGTTTAAATTGGAATTCTAATTTTATATTGTCTTTTAATGAGGAACTGTGCATCTTTACCATTGTGAGCCACCCTGAGTCCTTGGAGATAGGGCGGCATATAAATTGCATTATAAATAAATATTTAATCTAGAGAAAAGGAGGGTGGTATCAAAAACTCATAAAGATAGAACCTGGCTCTAAAATTGTTCTTTCTAGCCCTAGTCTACCCAGGTATTTTGGACAGTTCTCAACAACCTTGTTAGTACAGCAAAAGTAAGGCCATGAATCTTAGGTGTTGGACCAAAATTACAGGACTTGAAGTACATATTCAAGAAGCTTGTTCTACAACAGCCTTCTAAAACCAGGTATTTTCCAAATTTCCACTGGAAAATATATGAATTGCAGTTCCAATAAACACAGAGGACACCATTTTGGGTAAAACAGTGATCTTTTCTTGGAGGGAATTAAAATTTCTCCATAAGTATATATAAAGCAATCTGATCAAATACTGTTATCAGATCAATATGATTAAGTCTCGTTCAACATGGCTAATTTTTTTTTGTACTACCTGTAAAATTAGGCAGACTTTGATTATCCACTGACAAATCCACCAATTGTAATATTTTGTTTTGTTTTATATTTCATGCATTTTTGTTTGTAATTCTGTCCATGACAATAATAAAGTAACCATAATAAAAATACCCATTCAAAATCTGATCTAGAGATTATCTAAGCAACAACTTACTATAGTACCGTGATGGAAAATCTATGGCACGCATGCCAAAGGTGGCACACAACACCCTCTCTGTGGGCACACAAGCCGTCGCTTGTTCACACACGGCAACTCAGCTCTGCCGTGCATCTGCGCATGCCTCCTGCTAACCAGCTGGTCTTCGGGTCTCTGCCACGTATGTGGGGGCACGTGCATGCAGGGGGCAGGGCACATGTGCAAGGGGCGTGCGTGCATTGCATTGGGGAGTTCAGGTGCGCGCTTTTGGCACTCGGTCCAGAAAAGGTTAGCCATCACTGCTATAGTGGTTTCAGGTTGCCAAAGAAAGTAACCAGGAATATACTTGTTAAAGGATCAGAGTCTTTTCTATGTATACACACAAAACATAGCTACAACTAAAAAGTAATATTTCAGTATACAGGAAGAAGACTCAGATTCAAGTACCCACTTTATCACATAAGCTCATGGTATCTGTGAGCCACTGTCACTCTCACAGAGCTGTTGTGAAAAAACAAACAAGGAGAAACTACTGATTGCCATTTTGTATTCCGGAAGGAAAGGAGCGACACAAATCTAATTAATGTAGAAAACCTCATCTACAGAAACAGAACTTATCAAAACAACATTAATTTTTTCTGAGATCCTCTTAAAAATCATTTCACTGTTTAATTATATTTCTAATGCAGGACATTTTATTCCATATATTTTCTAAACCTTTTTTTTCCTTTTTGCCACAGTCTTTTTTCCAAACAATCATGCTTAAGATTTAAGATTAATTTATTCATCTGCAATAGCAAAAAAATAAATAAATCACACTCCCACAACTTGAAGCTGCCAAAGTAGGTAAAATTGTCAGATAAACTATCCTAACAACTTTCATGGTTTTATTTATAGTATATTTACCAATATACTATAAAATACATAAGCATTGCGCAGTGTTGTTGCATTGTTGACAGCATTGGGTGATAAATGCAAATAATAAAAGATACTGTACAATGATGTACTTTGGTAATAAAAAAAATTCAGAGGGAATGAAAGTAGATGAGAAATGTTCAATAGTTCAAATCATAAAATATAATGGTTTTAAACAGTGCTACAAAGCTGTGATCTAATATCCAATAAATAGACAAACCAGTGTTCCAATAACCTTAACAGATAATTCTGTATCACCACGAACATCCTCTTCCTACTAGCTATCCTTTTCACTTTACTTGGCAAGGGAAAGTAAGACAGGGTCCAGCTTCTACAACAGGAAGCAGAGACTGCCCTCAACTTTCACAACCTTATCAGTATCACATGGCCACTTTTATGAGGTGTTTTTAATAAAACAATAGTGAAATAGCAGGAAATGGTAGGACAGCAACACTAATAACTGCATTAAAGCAACTTTTCCTTTTGAAATAAAAAATTATTTGCCAGTCCTATGAGCTGCTAGTTTCAGCAATTGTATTATGGGACACCAAATGCTTACATTTTGAAAGTGGTCTATTTCATATTCTATTTTCTCATTTGTTTCCCTTCTTTGTTACATTTTAACCATATAATGTTTATAATGTTATAAAACTCTTTATTTTTTTTGATGAAATTTTGGTCTTATAGTTGCTTTACATTTTATACTGTAAGTATCCCACAGAGCTCTTTGGGGTTATGAGGCCGGGTTAAAGGTTACAACATAAATAAATATGAATGCTCTATAATAGAGATAAGAGGCGCATGTCTAATTCCTAAGATGATCAACCATTGCCATCTTACCTATCTGAGTAAGAATTATATTTAACCATACTGAGTACAGCTCCCATGAGGAAGAACATCAAAATGGGGTCAAGAAGAATGTACTGTGAGATTGTAATGAAGCCAGTGTCTGAAAAAAATGAGAAACATATACTAGCTTTGTCATTCAAATTATTTATCAATGCTTAGTCGAACATAACCATACTGAATTCTAAAAGTAAATTGTCATCCCAACATTTTCATTTTCAGAGACATTACTGTACTTAGAAAGATGATTCTGAGCCTAAGATGATCACTCTCACTCACTCTCTCTCACACGCTTGCATACACAAAGACAAGACAGAAAAAAGATGGCTGCTTCTCAATGAATCTAAAATAAACCTGTTATTTCAAAGGTGAATTGTTTTGTGAAAAACCTGGCTTTCCTTGAGGGGAAATATTCATTATTTATTGAACAAATTTACAAAATTGGCCAATTCACACATACGTGATTCTGGGGAGCTTACAACATTTTAAAAATCCACCATATAATAAACACCCATTTTTAAAAAATCTCACCCCACCTCCCATGACAACTACAACACTAACAAATCAGCCACTTGATTGACTGTGTCTTTGTAATTCCCAGGCCTGTTAACAAAACAACATTTTGGAAAAGCAACAATGTGGGGGCCAACCATATCTCAGGGGGAAATGATGGACCATAAAGAAGGGGCCATCACTGAGAAGCCTTGAGTCTAGGCTTCTGTAAAACTGTTCAGGCCGCTGTTTTCTAAACTAACTGAAGTTTCTGAATATTCTTCAAGGGCAGCCCATGTAGAGTGCATTACAATAGTCCAGATGGGAGATGACCAGGGCCTGAGTGACTGTGAGAACAGCATGTTGATCCAGGAATTGGCACAACTTGCACAGAACACAAAGTTGCTCAAAGGCTCTCCTGGCTACAACTGCCACCTGCTACTCGGGCAAAAGTCACAAATCCAGGAGAACCCTCAGATTATATACCAGACTATGGATTTTTTGGGGGGAAATGTATGTTTGTTTAACTGCTTTTTTACTTTTCATATTTTACATCTGCCCTGTTTAGCTGGGTTTTTGTCTTTTTAGACATTGATGCTATTTTTTGATATTTTTCTTTCTGTGTTTTTGCATGCTATAATCTTTATAGATTTCAATGTTATGAACAAACAGAATAAAAACATTAATAGGAAAAAATAAGAGAAACAGAAAAACTCAAAAGTAAACCAAAGAAGAAGAAAAAAGAAACAAATGCATGTTAAGTAGATATAAAACACAATACTGACTTCTTAAACAACAAGTTAAAGTTTGATCACATGGATAAATATCAATCAGATTTTCTGCAAAATCCATAATATAGTTGCGAGACAAAACCTCTCTGCACAAAATTTTCCATAACTGAAGTGCCACCATTGAGAATCCTTCATAATAATAGTCTGTTATCAGCAAACAGGTTGCAAAGGTTTGGCATAAGATAAAGTATGAACAAGATGTATGCAGTCTTGGCCAATAAATCTCATTGAATCTTTTGCAATAGAGAAGATCAAACACAGACCAAGCCATACAAAATAGCTGCTTACCAAAAATCAGGATGGTAGCAGTGAGCACTGCTGCAGGCAATGATCTGGACAGCTCCAGCACTGTGAGGTAGCAGAAGGGGATCAGACATGAACCAAGGAAGGCGCAGAACTGAATAAAAGAGAAGAGAAGCATGCTTCACAAGGTTGTTAAAATAATCCAGGTTCCCTCACTGACTTTGATTGTGGGAACCTGGTTGGGAAAGTCCCAAATGGCAATCACATGACCTCAGGATATAGCAACTATGATAAGATCTGAGTGAGGGTGCCTTTCCCGCTGCCTTGAAAGAGGCGGTGGTGAGGCCCCTCCTCAAGAAGCCTTCCCTGGACCCGGCTGAATTAGCTAACTACCGTCCGGTCTCCAACCTTCGTTTTGTGGCGAAGGTTGTTGAGAGTGTGGTGGCACGACAACTGCCCGGGCACCTGGATGAAGCTATCTATCTAGACCCGTGCCAGTCGGGCTTCAGGCGGGGGCACAGCACAGAAACGGCATTGGTCGCGTTGGTGGATGATCTCTGGAGGGCTCGGGACAGGGGTTGCTCCTCTGTCCTAGTCCTATTAGATCTCTCAGCGGCTTTTGATACCATCGACCATGGTATCATGCTGCGGCGGTTAAGAGGGTTAGGAATAGGGGGCACCGTTCTGCGGTGGTTCTCCTCCTTCCTCTCCAACCGCTCGCAGTTCGTGTTGGCAGGGGGGCAGAGGTCGACCTCGAGGCATCTCGCATGGGGAGTGCCACAAGGGTCGGTCCTCTCGCCCCTTCTGTTCAACATTTATGTGAAGCCACTGGGTGAGATCATCCGTGGTTTTGGGGTGAAGTGTCATCTGTACGCTGATGATACTCAGCTGTACATTTCCACCCCAGACCACCCCAACGATGCCCTTGCTGTGATGTCTCGCTGCCTGGAGGCCGTGCGGGTCTGGATGGGGAGGAACAGGCTCAGACTCAACCCGTCCAAGACCGAGTGGCTGTGGCTGCCGGCGTCCCGATATAGTCAGCAGGTGCCATCGCTGACTATTGGGGGTGAATCTTTGCCCCCCACAGAGAGGGCTCGCAATCTGGGTGTCCTCCTGGATGCACAGCTGTCTTTAGAAGAGCATATGACGGCCGTGGCCAGGGGGGCCTTTTATCAGGTTCGCCTGATCCGCCAGTTGCAGCCCTTTCTGGACCGGGACGTCTTGCGCACAGTCACTCATGCCCTTGTCACCTCCTGGCTGGACTATTGTAATGCTCTCTACATGGGGCTCCCCTTGAAGAGCACTCGGAGGCTCCAACTGGTCCAGAATGCGGCCGCGCGGGTGGTTATGGGCGCAACCCGTTGTGCCCGCGTGACACCCCTCCTGCGTGAGCTGCACTGGCTCCCAGTGGTCTTCCGGGTGCGATTCAAGGTGTTGGTTACCACCTTTAAAGCGCTCCATGGCATAGGACCCGGGTACCTCCGAGACCGTCTTCTGCCACCAATAGCCTCCCACCGACCAGTCCGCTCCCACAGAGAGGGTCTCCTCAGGGTGCCATCAGCCAAGTTATGTCGGCTGGCGACACCCAGGGGGAGGGCCTTCTCTGTGGGAGCCCCAGCCCTGTGGAATGAACTGCCCCTGGAAATACGCAAGATCTCCGACCTCCGGGTGTTTCGTTGCGCATTGAAGACCCTGTTGTTCCGCCAGGCCGGGCTATCGACTTAATAATTTTAAATTGGGGTATTTTAAATTTTTTGGGGTTTTAAATCGGCCAAATCTATTTAATTATTTTAATTTTTAATTATTGTTGTGTCTTGTGTTTTTAAATTGGCTGTACACCGCCCTGAGTCCTTCGGGAGAAGGGCGGTATAGAAATAAAATTATTATTATTATTATTATAAACACATGCTGGTTGCCAAACACCCAATTTTTGATCATGTGACCATGAAGATGTTGTGAGAGTTGTAAGTGCAAGGAAGTCACTTTTTTCAGTGCTACTGTAACTTTGAACATTCACTAAGCAAATGGTTGTAAATCAAGGACTACATATACTGTTAGCCTGTTATTTCCCAGGAATTCAGATACTGAAATTCCAATTTATGTTCTGTTCCCCGCCCCCCACCCCCCAATCACTCTTCACTGATATCTTCTTTAAACTCTGCTAATGCTATAGCTTCCTAATTTCATAAAGTGAGAAAACATTGTTGATAGCAATAGCATTAAAACTTATATAACACTCCATAGTGCTTTACAGCACTCTCTGGGCAGTTTACAATGTCAGCATATTGCCTCCAATAATCTGGGTCCTCATTTTACCGACCTCGTAAGGACAAATAGCTGAGTCAACCTTGAGCCCGTTAGGATCTAATTCCTGGCTGTGGGCAGAGTTAGCCTGCAATACTGCATTCTAAGTCTTGTGCCACCAGGGCTCTATTATTGATCCAAGCCAAATGCACTATCCAATTAATGTGGATAGTGAATGTGAATAGAGTTTCTGTATTTAAAAAATATTCAAAGGACGGAATTTATTCTGCTAGGCACCGCACACTTTAGATACAATTCTTCAATTACTCTTCTTCATTTCCTTTACCTTATACATAATCAGTTCTTCAAATACTAAATCCATTCCTTCATTCTATTCACTCCACTCTAACATCATTAATATGTGTGTCCCAAAGTAGTCAAACTGCTTACAGATCAATCAGCTATATTGTTACTATTTGCACAGGAAAAGTCACAAGTAAAGGATGGCATATTTACTTCAGCTAAAGAAAGCTTCGTCGCAGGTAGATTTAATCCATATTAACAGAATATGGGCATCACAAATTAAGAATTTGCTAAAAAAAATTGAAGTAACCTTTTTAGTGTTCTCTCAGGAGAAGCAGCAGTACATAAATAAAATAAACATATCAGCTCCAGTGATGGGTTTCAAAAATTTTTACTACCGGTTCTGTGGGTGTGGCTTGGTGGGCGTGGCATGGCTTGGTGGGCGTGGCAGGTGAAGGATACTGTAAAATCTCCATTCCCACCCCACTCTAGGGGAAGGTTACTGCAAAATCCCCATTTCCTCCTGATCTTCTGGGACTTGGGAGGCAGAGAATAGATGGGGGTGGGGGCGGTCAGAATTTTTACTATCGGTTCTCCGAACTACTCAAAATTTCCACTACCGGTTCTCCAGAACTGGTCAGAACCTGCTGAAACCCACCTCTGATCAGTTCCCTTATTTATTCCTATACATTTTCAAACTTTAGCTATAAACTATATTTCATTTTAACACAGAGAAAACTATTTAAGAAATATTCCTTTTAAAAATGAGGCTTATATTAAAAGCTATTTCAAGCTATTTCAAAAAATCTTCTTAAAATCTAAAGTGGATCTAACATTTTCTTTCATCATCAAGAAGCTCCCAATGATAGATGATACCATCATACCAGTCTTCTAGAACAGGTTTGCAAGAAGAAAGAACTGATAGAAAAAAGCTGAATGAATTAAGAGGTTTTCCACAGACAGGAGTCTCAGACAGAATAAATTCTGATTCTAACACTTACGAGGACTAAAAAGAGAAACCTGCTACTAGTCTCCAAAGAAATATTTATAACCTTACCATCCTCATTCCTATATAGTTATGTTGCTCATATTTATCCCCAGGCTTCTGGAAAGGAAAAGTCCCATCATAACCACTCAGATAGCCAGCAAGTCCTATTAACATCTAGTGATGAAAAGGAACAATATTAGTAAAGCAGAAGACAATTCAAAAGTTTACCAGATCAAAGCAAACGTCATTTGATAAGTAAATAAAAAGTATTGCCTACAGCTCATCACTTTCAAAAATGAACCTTGTGCTTAACTATGTTAACGAATAATGATAACACTATAAATACTGGCCCTCAAAAAATAGTGTTAGCAATAGTGGTATCTCAAACTTCCTATATTATAAAATTTTATGCATGACAAAATTCTGGAAATTCTAATTATTAAGCAAAATGTTTTAAAAATGCATATATTTTCAAGTCTGGAAGTTGAACTTCAAAATATAATGGGTGAAGGCAGGTCAAAAATTTAAATTTAGATTCATATTTACTTTTAAAATTCAGAATTTTGTATGATTACTCTCTAGTCAGTTACTGAATACCGTACTTTCCTCCTCTTGTCACATTCATCTTTTCTTTTAATGACCCATAATCCCTTGTGGGGTGAAGTCTGGGCAACTGAATGGAGCTGAGTGTTCACTGGCCGGATGCCCTTCCTGTCGCCAATGCAGAGTTTTGTTCAACAGATATATTCTCATTGTGCCCAGAGAAAGAAATATCTGCCTCTACCTAGAATCGAACTCACAGACTCCTGATTGTGAGGCAAGAGCTCTACCTCTAGGCCACTGTACCTCTCCTTTTGCCACATTATAAATTGCAATTTAAAAGCAAGCTTCCATTAAATTGGAACTGTATTATAAATTTAAAGTTGAGCATTTTTAAATAATAGTTCATCATGTAACTCTAAAACCAATCAGATTGTTTCTCATGTTCAAGCTAAGGATGAAAGAGCAACCAGATAGCAAGATCCAAGTTATAAAGCTAAAACAATTACTGTAATTTTAAAGAATATCCACTGAAATGTTTATAATGCTTACAGGAATTAACAATGTTCCATCAAGAATCTTCAAAAGTATTAACTAAATCTCAAAAAGGTTAAATACTATGGTAGCTTTTTACCTTCCCCAAAGGTGGATGGACATCAAAGAAAAATGTCCGGTTAATATAATAACTCCCCATCTTTCCAAAATGTGTTTCATCCCAGCTATAAAAAGACAAAAGTAATGTCAGTTTATTATCAGGGTTTTAACTTAATACTTACTTATATTTTTTAGTTTTGTTTTACTTCTAGTTTATTAGAATGATGAATTCTTAATAGTTCTGCATGTAGTTCATGAAAAAAAAGCAGCTGAGCTTTCCAAATTAGTTTCTACTAAGGCTAGGTAAAGAATTCTCTTTGATCATATTAATTTATATGGTTCTTTAATTCTATAAATATGCCACTCCATTACATTGACTTTCACCCTATATCTTCATTTCCTTCAAAATAAGGTACATAATTAAGCATCTCTAAAATGTACAAACTTTTGTGAGCTGACACACCCACAAAAATTAAAAACTGAGAGTTGTGGTCATAGCTTTCACAAGCAAGTCTTATAACGAGGATATGCATGAAAACTGAAAACTAATCATAGCTTGCTGTAAAAGTATAGTGTCTATTTTGGAAAAGTGTACTCTCCAATTCATCCTGCTAGAAATAAATCAAGAAATTATGTCCCAGCCATTGGATCCTATTTATAATTAGACAAACCTAAGTTCATGTTAAGGCCTAGGCTTTGGTATGAATAGCTGTGCATGATTAGATCACTCTTATTTTACTTTTGTTTACTTCATTATAATGCTTACAAGAAATTTGTAAACATTACAAGGTTGCAAGTATCATTTTTGTATGGGAAGAATAACAAAGCGGACAGGAACCAAGCAAAGGCATTATTCTCCCTTGCCAAATGCCTTAAAAAGCCCTTCATAATACCTGCAGGGCAAGGGCTGTCCAGATCTAAGGGAGAACCTCATTCCAGGGGGCAGGTGCTGCTACAGAGAAGGCATGCTTCTGAAGGCCTGAAATGACACTGTGTAATTAAAGGAATTGAAAAACTCTGCAGGATTGAATTAACCAGGCAAAAGACTATGGGGCAAAAGACAATACCATATATTACCAGGCCCTATGCCACCTGCAGTAAGTAACAATCAGAGATGGACTAAATTGCAGGACTATTTATAATAATCAGCAGCATGCCATTTAATGACCGCAAGAAACAGGACCATTGCTGGGTAGGTTTAAATGCCATACCTCAAAATTCTCTACACAAAGTACCCTCAATAAAAAAAATAGGATGGACTTGCACAGATATTTATCACATTTAACATACTAACACTTCTTTTACTACAAAGCCAATGCTTGACCACTGCAACAAACAACGCTTGATTACTGAAACAAATTCAGTTCAATGTCTCTGCACTTTCCTATTTTCTTTTGTGATGTTTCTAAGACTGCAACAATGTGCCTTAAAAATGTACAATATTGAAAGATAAAACAGAAGTGCAAGGAGCTTGGCCATTTCTTTGTGTCAAAAGTGCTATTCTGAACCCTGATATATTTGAATTTTGCTTAACCAGGTCAGATTCTTGTATTTTCATCAGTTGTGTTGGTTGTTCTATCCTCTACATTACACCACGTATTCGGACCTACAGCCAGATTAAACCTTCACTCAAATAAAGCTACCTTTGGACTAATTACTCCAGTCCAGCCTAACATAACTCATAAGGTTGTTAGGACAGAAATGCAAGAGAATGATGTATGCACATGAGGAAAGAAGAGACCAAAAATGTGACTTTTGCTTATATTCTGCCTTTCAGGGCAAACGACCCCAAGGCAGTCACCTGGAAACAACCACTCTCCTATCTGAAGGGAGCTCTAATGCCAAAGTTTTTAAAAAAACTTTCTGTTACACCGACAGGTCCCGCCTCTAAAGCAAAGCCCCGCCCCCGTCGCCATGGCATCCCGCAACCCAATACCAGATGTGCGGCGGCTCCCGCAGCCGGTAGAAACGCGTAGCAAAGCTTAGGAAAGTAACGAAGGCGAGGGGGCTCCAGAACCGCCTTGGACTCGCGCGGGCGGTGGGAGCCAAGACAGGAACACTCGCCAGTCTGAGTGTTTTTCGCTGCCGGAGGCCCAGCACGGCCGGGCAATTCTTGTTCGTGGCTAGTGGCATTCGCGCCCTGATGGGAGGCGCCTCCTGTCGGCGCCCGTAACCGGGCGCAGCGCATCACGGGAAGTAGAGTCCACTTCGAGAGGCATGTTGGGCAAAAGGGTCGGATATTTGCACCCACGTGAGGGAAACAGAAAAGCTGACTTTTTTTTTACAGCATTGTGGGAAATGTAGTTCTTGAAATATGGTTATGTACTCCTATGAAGTTAAACCTCAGAACTCATTCCCATCGGCATCAATGAGCTTGCTCCTTTATACTATTAGGATTATAGCCTTGTGCCTTAATTTTGCTGGACTCAACAAAACCCTCAAAACCTTTTTTTGCTGTGCTCAAAGTGGGCCAGTGACATCTCTTTCCCGGCTGTAATTTAGATCTTGCCACTTTGTATTCAGTGAAATGGCTTGACCTAAGTTTGCTTTTAATCACAATTCAGTCTGATGGACTTTCATTAAAAAAATCCTCTTATAAAAAAATAATGTGTTAACTTCATATAATCAGGAAGATCTGAAAGGCCATGCCAAGATTTTATGAGCTGTCATTTGTGTAAGAGCTTCAGTTGGATTGTCACCTAAATGGAACTTGAAATTTAAGAGTTAATATCCAAGGCATAATGTTTTTTAGTATTTTGTAGATTGATATAATAGATCGTGTCTTCAAAGTTTCAACAAACACACAAACATTTCTGACAACATAATTTAGTTAAAAAATTTTCAGGCTGCTTACTTGAATATTCCTGGATGCTTAGTCAATTATTTTTTTATTGTTGTCCTTTAAATTATTGTAGGAGGGCAACCATATTAGTCTATGTAATTAATGTAGCCCAAATGTAGCCCAAAATCAGGATTCTGGACACACCTTTTCAGTATGCTAGCAATCTGAATAAATAAAATTTATTTTTAAAAACACTAAAAAAGTGTTTGCAAATTCCTTCAAATCCTTTAACTGTTTGTGTCTCCTGCCAGTACTTTGTCCCTTGCCTAGTAGGATATTGCCTGCTACTACATGGTTACAGTATAATAAAATGTGTGTGTGTGTGTATGCAAAGTGAAGGGAAAATTTCAGGTAAATTTGATAGAAGCAACTTTTAAATTTGTATTTGACCATCAATTTTTTTGTGCCCTTAATCTTCCTCATATGAAAGAAATCTAATAACATAATTACAATTTCACAAGGATATAGCTAAGGTATTGTTTGAAGTATCTACTGATTAGGAACCTTTGCCCATCTCAATCCCAAGAGCCAAAGCAATCAGCCAGTTTCTTCTATAAGACTCTCAAGCTTTATTCTGTGTAATGAAATCAAGTGCATTTCTTAACAGTGAAAAAGGACAGTGATAAAAATAACACTGGAGAGAATCAAGAAAAATAAAAGCACTCAAATTACAGTGAACCTAATGAACAAGGTTGCATTCACTCTCAATGGGTAACATATTCACTTTCTAAATAACATATTCACTAATTTAATTTAAGCTATACTATACTAAAATACATAATGCTTCTGTCCAAAGCATATGAATCATTGACTAAGATGGATGGTCTTAGAAACTGAACAAATAAATAAAGCTATTAAAAAGGTCCTGGCATATTACGGTATTCATGTTGCTCTTCAAAATTACAGAGAAAAGCTGGGGAAGAAGTGAAACTACAACTCCCACAATCCCAACAATTCGCCGGAATGGCGTAATTCATCGAGTCCGTTGCTAGCTTATATTAATATTACAGCGCGGAACGTGAGGCGGCCGAGGCCACGCCCATTGTTAAAGGACCCTTCTCCCGACGAGAAACGTGTCAATGGGGGAGAGTGCGAGATGTGTGCCGCGTTAGCAAAGGTATTTGTTACTACCGCCTTCCTTCCCCCGGTAGCTGCGCGGATAAAAGATCACGATGTAGTTGGTTTCGTGAATACATTCTGAATACATCTTCTAACAACCTGATTCCAGTTTGGTTATCCAACTTAAAAGAGTTTAAGTTAAAGAGTTTAATAGTTAATAGTTAACTTAAATATTTAAAGTAATAGTTAAACCGTTCAGACGAGGTTTATGCAGATTCTGAAGTCTTTTAGGACTGTGACCAATCTTTGCATGCAGTTGAATGAGGGTTTGAAATGTGAAGCCAGAGTTAGAGGTTGGAGCATATTTGGGGCCATAAATAAACTTCTAGGAAATGCAATTCTTAGAATTCCTAGAATCCAGTTCTTCTCCACTGTAGGGGCTACCCTCTCCTTGAGTTGGCACAAATCCGTATTACCCATCTTACCTATTGACATTCATGTCCCGTATCCCTGGTTTGTGAGCACGCTGCAATATAGAAAGATGATTATTGTTTTCTGTGGCTTCCCAGCCCTCCTCCTTTATTATATCTACAGCAGCAGAGAAAACCTCTCTCAGTGGATCAATGAAACACAAATTAGATCAGTCCTTTTCAGGACTTTTGACTGCCTCTCCGAAAGACAATTTGGGCATAAGAAGACAAAGAAAAAAAAAAAAGAAAAAAGAGAAAGTTATTAGGGCCCACATAACTACAAAAGAGGAAAGCAGATCCTGTTATGGTTGTGCAATTAGATACAGGTAGTCCTCGACTTACAACAGTTCTTTTAGTGACCATTCGATGTTACTACCTGTACACGCTTGTGAATGTGCTAATAACATACAAGTAGTGATAGGCCCATATGAATCAAGCTATGTATTGTGTTGACTGGAATGAATAAATTATGAAAACAAAAAGCAATGCATCATAGATATAAATTTATAAAATTAAATGTATAGCCATTTTTTTAAAAAAAAAAAAACCAAGGCCCATAACCTTGTTTAAATCTACAAATAGTTAACTTGTGCGTGATAAATACATGTTTATTGTACTTCATGGATTATCATGGAGAAAAATTTATGTGGCCATTAGAAGCCTACAGCGGCTTGATGGCACATAATGAATCAAAGGTATTGAATGAAATCTGTTGGCTCTCACTGCTTTCATTAAAATGGCAAAAAAATCCTTGAAGCATACATTCAATGTCACAATGCATGTAGAAAAGGAGTAGGACTTGTATTGCAATGTTGCTTGCATCACTCTGACTCCCCTTTGCCCAAGAGACTGCTGGTTATATTCTGTTTTTATGGTTTTTTAATGGAGTTTTATTATGTTAATTGCTAGTTGTCTGCGAAGATTGCAGGGTAACAACTAATGTAAAATATTTGGATCCAGAGGCATCTAGCACGTTTGATACATGATTTTTAGTGAAGTGTGTATTTGAAGGAGCAGGCTTTGAAGCCAAATGATGAAGATTCCCCACAATTCTGAGCCATCGTCCATCCCACGATTTTAAGACAAGATTTAGATGTAGTAATTTGTAAACTACTTGATTGGGGAGATTATGTATTTCCATAACAATGATAAACAGTGAATGTAGATGTGACTGAAAATCGCCTTGAAGGATCTTGATCTATTTTTGTTTTTCTTTGGCTGAAAAAAGGTAACTGTAATTCATATTAGGACTTCTAGTATCCTTTTTATCAGGATCAGGTTAGGGTCACTGGCAAAAGATCCTGTCTCAAGCCAATTGGTTTTCTGTCTAATAAACAAGCAATATAAATCTTTCAACATTGTGGCTAGCAAATCATTTTGATTCCTAAACAAGTGTAACCAGAGGCTATATTTTCCAGTAAAAGTATCATAGAGTCAACAGCATACAGGTAGTCCTTGACTTACAGCAGTTCATTTAATGACGGTTCAAAGTTACAACAGCATTGAAAAAAAGTGCCTTATGGCTGTTTTTCACACCTACAACTCTTGCAGCAATCCTGTGGTCATGTGATCAACCTTCAGGTGCTTGGCAACTGACTCATATTTATAACGGTTGCCGTGTCCCAGAATCATGTGATCCCCTTTTGTGACCTTCTTACAAGCAAAGTCAATGGGGAAGCCAGATTCGCTTAACAATGGTGTCACTAATTTAACAATTGCAGTGATTCCCTTAATAACTGCTGCACAAAAGGTGGTAAAATGGAGCAAAATTCACTTAACAAATGTTTCACTTAGCCACCAAAATCTGGGCTCAATTGCAGTCTTAAATCAAGGACTACCTCTATAGGAAATTCAATCCCAGCAATAACTTGAGCTTCTTTCTATTTTCCTTTTAAAGAAGTGTCTTTATGCTGCCTCATGTGCAGGTCCTGATGCATCTCAGTAAGAAGGGCTGGGAAATAGAGAATGGGGCTACCGGCCACAAGTTCTGCTTCTGGAGATCAGTGCAGAAGGACAATGATAAAGCAAATAAATACTATTCTCTTCCAGCAATTCATTCCTTATGCCTTCTGTTTTGCATTTTCTGGGCCTTTCGGAATGCTTTGAATCCTGGCTGTAAGAATTGAATTATGGAATTGAAGGAAATGCAGGTAACTTAGGAACGCAGGCACTGTTAGCCAATTCTGTAAAATAAAAATGCATTTCTGTTGAGCAGAATAGACAGGGCTTTGTCACTTGTCTTTTTTTTTTTAAAGTAAATTAGATTAAATCTGCGGAGGAATGAGCTGTTGTAATTTCTTTGCTCCTCTGCATTCAGACAGCTGTGATTGGCTGCAAGTGAAGCTCCTGTTCCCCGCCCCAGCCAAGACTATCTCAGCTAGCTTTCATTTTGAGGAATTACTGTACTCTATTTGCACTCTGTACTTAGCATGGAGACTTCCAAAAAGGTGAGAATAAAGTGGGATTTTTCTATATATATATATATATATATATACAGTTCACGAGCTGTCATGATACCATTGCATTCGTGGAATGTTTTTCTTCATATACTTTCATACTTCTCTCTTCTGGAGCAGTAGCTGCTCTAATCTTCATCTTTTGGCTTCAGACTTGGAGTCTGATCCTTTTTAAAGCAGTAGCTGCAACTCTGTCAACAATCTTGTTTGTGTATGATCTTTCAAAATTTCACGACACAGATAACAATGGTGGAAGATTCTTCAAAAATATAGTATTTCAATTGCCCTTTGTGAGTTAATTCAACTTCAGACAGTCAGCATGAAAGTGGCAATTCCATCTTAATGGTATTACAATTCTGGGCTTGCTATTGGTTTACTGATCTCTTTGCTAAAAGAGATCAGTGCTACTTTGGATTTTTGCTATTTAGGACTGTTAGTCTCTACAGTTTAACCTTCAAAAAGATTTTTATATTATATGCAATTCGAAGCTTGAAATGAATGAGCTTACAGTTGTAGCTTTCAACTTTTTTGTTTTTCCTACAGCCAGTTCTTTACACTTATTTCAGAAGCTCCTGCTCCTGGAGAGTGCGAATTGGTAAGAATAATGGTTGAATTCTATTTATAATAATATTGTTAATTCCTATTGTTAATATTTTAATTTTGTTAACATCTAGTAGAGATTTTTAGTTACTGAAATGCAGCTAATTGCTTAACTGTATTTAACAATTACTCAAGTGATTGAGTAAATTATAGAGTGGCAACAAGCAAATTACTGTTTTGGGTGGATTGGAAGAAGTCTCCTCTTTACATTGGGACAGAAATAAAGAACCTAATTCATTATCTATTAGATGTTTTACTCTTCAACTTTCAACTTTAGTTCTGACCTGAATGGCTAATAGCAAAGGACTTTAGAAGCTGTTGTCCAAAACAACTGGAAAAATCTGTTAACAGTTAATCTGATTCAAATGCAAACTGTTGTATATTCCATATTTTCTCAGCATGTGTAAGCAATGGAGAACGCAGTATCCCATATACACAAAATATGTAAATATGTTTAACTATGTGATAGGTTCATAAAGGAGAAAAAAGTTTTGTGATATTTACTCCTTTGTTTTAATATATATGCAATCTCTAATGATATTGAAGTGGAATCTTTCAGAAGGGTTTGTGGGTGGTTGATCCTTCTCTCTTTGGGTAATCCTTTTTCCAAAAAAAAGGAAATTAATTAGAATTACAGTTTGAGGATAAAAAAATAACACAATGCAGATGCTACATTTTCCTCCTTATATCCTCATGATAAAGGCATACTAGTAAAATATATATAAAAGTTGTAACGACTGAAGTACAATAAACAAGAATGGTTTTAGCTAGCTAGTAGGGTTTAGATGACCAAAATGAACAAAATTTCAAAAATTGATTGTTTAATATTACAGGATATATGGAAAAAGCAATGATCTGTTTTTATTTATTTATTTTATTTTGGAATAGGCAATTTGGGTTTACATGGCAAAGGAATAAACCTAAATGTTTTATTGATTTGCTACTTTATGATGAAAGAGAATTAGCGAAGGATGCAAAAATGATTAGAGCTTTGAATGTGAGAACATTTCATAGTACTGACAGTAGATTTTTATGAAAAGAAAGTCAAATGGTGTAAAAAAGTTGAAGAAAGAACTACTTCAGGAAGAGAACAATTTACAGACAGACCACATAGTCTTGTGTGAAAAACAGATTATTATTTTTCCAGCAGACTAAATGGAAAGGAGATGTAAGAAAGGAGAATGTAGAAAATACTTGCAACCCAATGGGGGAGGGGGGAGGAATATTTTACCATGTGCCATGGATTTATGTAAATACACAAATGGGAATGTTCAATGGAATAATGAAAGAGATGAGCAGCACATAAATTTAGTTTAGTTTAGTTTATTATATTTGTATACCGCCCTGGTGAACAGCCATGGTAAAAACAATGTACAACAAAAATTAAAAGCTTATTAAAATAATTCAATCATTCGGCCAAATTTAAAACATCCAACTAAGATCATTTTAAAACCCCTATCAAAACCCAATTTAAAAAACCTTTATCCTGTCAGACCAGCTTGCTGGAATAATAGAGTCTTCAGAGCGTGACGGAAGGCACGGAGGTCAGGAATCCTTGGTATGTCCGGGGGCAATTTATTCCATAGGGCCGGGGCCCCCATAGAGAAGGCTCTCCCCCTAGGGGTCGCCAGCCTACACTGTTTGGCTGATGGCATCCTGAGGAGGCCCTCTCTGTGGGAGCGTATTGGTCGGTGGGAGGCAATCGGTGGCAGAATGCGGTCCTGTAGGTAACCAGGTCCTAAGCCATGGAGTCCTTTAAAGGTGGTAACCAACATCTTGAAGTGCACCCGGAAGACCACCGGGAGCCAGTGCAGCTCGCGCAAGATGGGTGTTACATGGGAGTGACGAATCGCCCCCATTATTACTTGCGCGGCTGCATTCTGGACCAGCTGGAGCCTCCGGGTGTTCCTCAAGGGGAGCCCCATGTAGAGAGCATTACAATAGTCCAGCCGGGAAGTGACGAGGGCATGAGTGACTGTGCGCAGGGCATCCCAATCCAGAAAGGGACACAACTGGGAGATCAGGCGAACCTGATAAAAAGCCCCCCTGGCCACGGCCATCATTTAATAAAAATAAAGAGAATATAAGAGAATAGTTGCTGCAAAAATTAAAAGATACCAAATAAGTGTGTATACTTAGAAAAAGCTGCAAAAAATATTGTCAAAGCAAGCCTAGACAGGTATGCTGCCCCATGGCAAGAGTTCTAAAGGTGTTTATCCAATCCCCCCAAACAGGAACTTGGAAAGCACCCCTGTTGCACAGGTCCAGATTCCAAGATCCATGCAGCAAGAGTCACTGAGTAACTGAGTCCAATGGACACACACAAAGTCCAGGAAAGCAGTCCAAGAGTCAAACAGGCCAGGATACATGGCATGAGCACACAAGACACAGAAGTGGGCATGTTGCTCCAGCAACACTCAAGTCCTCAGAGTGGGGTTAAGTAGGCAATGCCAGCGCAACTCTTCATGAGAGGCAAGGTTGCCTCCTGATCAGCATTGTGCTTGTCACCTCTCTGCTCTTGGATCAGGAGGAGCTGTGGACTCCATTCCTCCTCATTGCTAATGGGCAGCAGCTGCTCCTGGTCCTCGCCTGAAGCCTCCTGGCCAACTTGCTGCAGCTCATTTCCCTCAGCCTCAGCCTGTCTCTCGTCCAATTGGCCCAGCTGAAGCTAGCATTTGCTGAGCCATGATCCTGACCAACACTCAGCTTCACTCTTTCTCTGCAGATTCAAACTCACTCTCCTCCATCTCACATCTGGAGAGGGTCCAGGGGCGAATGCATGACACTAGGTCGTAACCTGGGCCTTTCCTCTCATAGCACCCACCCTATGAAACATTCTCCTTCCAGAGATTAGGATGACCCTGACTCTGCTAGCCTTTCTCAGGGCCTAGAGCCTGTATGAAAGGTCCATTTCCTAGTTGTGCAAGTGGCTGTTGACTGATACATGATGGAAATTATGTAAAAAGAACTAGAATGCTCAGTGAATTGTTCAACATTAAGCAGGAAGCAAAGATTGAGGCATTTATATAATATTTAGCATGTTCTGCACCAAAACAATAACCTTCCCCTACAGAAAGAAGCCACATGTCCATGAGACAGCAACAGCTTGTAGCATGCATGCAATAGGTCCCTAAGTTTTAGTCACTAGAATTATTCATTCATCATATTTATATCAGGTGAAATGCTCCCGGTTCCGACCGGATCACCCAATCCGGTAGCGATGGAGGCGGGTGGTTCGGAGAACCGGTAGCAAAAATCCCTGCCCCCACCCCCATGCCCAGCTGAGCCACACAATCATCAGAGGCTTTTTTTTTACTTTTAAAAGCATTTTTTCTACAACCTCTTCGGCCGAAAAAATGCTTTTAAAAGTAAAAAAAAAAGCCTCTGATGATTGCGCGGCTCAGCTGAGATCATCAAAGGCATTGAAAAGAAAAAAAAAACTTTTTTTCTTTTCAATGCCTCTGACAATCCAAGCTGAGTTGCCTGATCGTCAGAGCCTTTTGAAAGCATTTTTTACAACCTCTTTGCCGAAGAGGTGGTAGAAAAAATGGTTTTAAAAGTAAAAAAATATATATATTGGCCACGCCCACCGAGTCACATTACTCCCACCACCAAGGCACGCCCACAGAACCGGTAGTAATAAATTTTAGATTTCACACTGATTTATATAACTTGGCCGTCTCATCAAAAAAATGACACTGGACACTGTAGAATAAAGCTATAAAACAGTTACCAAATTCAGAGAATGAAAAATTATGATTAAAAGGCAAAGTCAGGAACAAATATTAAATGCAATTAAGCCAGCTCAGCAACTCAGCAGTCCCTTGTGGCCCCCAGGTCTGATTTTGAGGGACTTTCAAAAAAATTAACAGGGAAGGAGCCACCCTCTAAAATGATGTTTCATAAGCAAGTGCCATGGCAGAAAAGACCTATCTGAGGGATCTTATCGAATGTAGCACCTTGGCAGACAAGATATATAACATACTTGGTCAGTGTATTGAGACAGATAAGCAATTGTAGGATTGCTACTCCATTTAGCCAGTTTAAACTCAACCAATATATATTTTGTACCTTTGAGTCAATGTTGATGCTGGTAACTCTGAAAAATGATGGTTCTCTGATGGCTAATCACTGAAGTCCAGTGTGTAAAAAAAAAAAGGTAAAAGGTAGCCAGATGCTTATCTTTTTCAGGACTCTCTCTAGACATCAATCCGCCCTACCCACCCAGCCTTTGATGGTGTAGCCGTTTTCATTCCCAGCCTTCATTCATTTCAGTCACTGGAGTGAGATGGCAATGGGGAAAAGAAGCCAACATGACAGAGTGTCACCTCATCTATGTTTTGCTATAAGAATAAGATGGAATAGCTAGAATAAGATGGAATAAGATCACGTTCTGTACTTACTGGGTAAATAGGGAAAACATTCTGCTCACTTACTGAACCAAGGAGCAATTTATCTCCCAGTATATGCCAGCCTTACAAGGTAGATCACTTAGGAAACACGATCAGATCAGCTAATTCTGCTTTATTGTAAAGCTACATTAGCAGAATTTTGCAAGTCTGAAAGTATAGAGACCAGGGTTAGTCTCTTCTGAGTCACTTTTCCACTCACTATCCAACAATGGACTGTGCAATCCCTTACCTTACTGTTCCCTTGGCAGCTTCTCTTTGCGCAGACTCCTAAGGTCTTTTATCAGACCACTACAGTATGTTATATAAATGCAGCCATTACAGTTTTGTAAAACATGGGTGATTTAAAAAAAAAAAACCTGGCCTGGCTGTTTATTAAATACCTGTAATTAAATTGTGTTTAGTATAGGATGCAGATTAGCTCATCAGTTTAGCAAACTGGTAAGAAAGAATCAAAAGGAACGACTATTGTTTTAATTATTGCACCATCCATTTTACTCAGAAACAAACTGTTTTCATTGCTATACATTTATTAAGAATTATTGCAATATTTTACTGATTTTCTCCAGTTACAATTTAGAACATTTCACAAAAGTTTAAAAGTCTAAACAATTCTGTATTACAGTAGGTAATTGTATTACATTTTCTCTTGGTAGCTTTGGCTCTGAAGGGAATTGCCTATGAACAAGTATCCATAAATCTTATAAAGGATGGAGGACAGCAGGTAAGGAAATCTCTTATCATTATGTTCCTTGACCAAAGCAAAAACAATATATAACAAAATCTGGAACCAATACGATAAGGACAGCCTTAGCTGTAAAACGTGATTAGACAAAATATTATAAAAACAGTAAAAACAAGATACAATTAATATGAAAACTATGCAAATGTAATAATATAAAAGTGAAGTTAAAGCTATGGTAATTAGAAGTAATCAAAAAATATAAAATATTAAAAAACACCTGTAACTCAGTGCATTATAAACTTATAAAATTACTGTAAAACAAAAAAGGAAAATAACATCAATTAGCAGATAACTCTATTACTTGCCCGTTTGCTCTGTACAAGTTATATAAATATTGTAACAGAATTTAGAGACATTTAAAACCAAGGCACTTTGAGCTAACAGCAGTTACTATCAGCCATTGTAGCAGGAGAACCATGTTTGTCTATGATAACAAAAAATCAGAAACATGGTAACACCTTTACTGCTACAGATTTTAATAAAACATTAATTTAATAAAATGCTTTAGCTGAAAAAAGGTCCTTGATTTTCTTTAGGCAATTGAAGATCAAATAGATCTGAATGTACTGGGACATTGACTGTAAAAGAGAGTTCCAGGGTTCTTAAATATCATTACACATTCTACAGTACAAAAGAAAATGAGGTTGGATTTCAGTATTCTGTTTCACATGGGCAAGTTCTTCCTGCAGGCAGTTCACTGAGAACAGCACTCATTTTATCCATGGCAGTTTTGTTGTTTAAGAACTGACTGTCTCCTGTAAAATCTCAAGTTCTTTAAAGAGGATTAAAATGACCCTTCCCCATGTGCTTTGGAGCAAGCAGTTTGTTTAATTATTCTCATGTCCTATTCATGGGCTTCTCTGAGGCATCTGACCAGCCACTGTGAGAAGGAAGATACAAGATGGAGTTTGTTCTAATCCAGCACTATTCTTCTTCTTATCTTAATCAGAAGCCTGGTTTTTGCTCATTATAATTACTAGTGCAAGCTAAATGTTCCCCTGTGGTGCTTTTCAATAACTCAGTTCTTTAACTGAGCCAGGAATATAAATCAGTGATACTCCATTCTTGGTTGACTGTTTCATGCTGATGACACAGGGCCCTCTTTGCATTACATGCTGAAGACCATGTCAGAGGTGAAAAGAGGATTGCCTGAATTTGTGTGTGCAAGCGTAAGATAAAGGTGTAAAAAAGATGGCCCACTTGCATTTGTTTTGTGCCTCCCCAGTAGGTAAATCAACATTTAAGTCCTTCCGGCATTTGTGAGAAATAGTTCACAAAACTTAAAAAATAAAATGGGAGTCTAAAATTATGTGGGTACTTAAATCACCTATTCCTTATCATCCTAAAACTATTCTCCCAAATTGACCACTTCTGGATCTGCTTATTTGATTATCAGAACGTGGTTTCTGATATTCTGTTCAAAACTTAGTACTAGCGGGAATGGAAATTGTACACAGATTGTATATGAAATGATAGCTTATTTGCAGTTTGTATTATATACATATTTCCATGAGGATAACAGCTTAACTTCTGTTAAGCTGTATCCAGAACAAAATTGGTATTTTGTTCTGGATTTCAAAGGCAAGTCTTCGAAAGCAAGTTGATTTGGCATTTGGAGTTCCGAAGCCTTTCTTGTCTTCTAGTCAAATCCCTGATCCTCATCAGTTTACTTTTTGAAATAAAAATTATTATATATAATGCCCAATGTAATTGCTATTGGCCAATAGGTAAAAGGCTTCATTATAAGAAATAAAATAAAATCCATAGCACTCAAAATTAGAAATGTAGCCATTAACTGGTATGCAAGTTTTTATCTGTGTATAGTATGTGAGCGTTGCATTACAAAGAATGTTTGAGAGTCTAGCACTATGGTTGAAGCTGATGGCAGCTGTGGCCTGAACGAGGAAGTTGTAAAACATCTCAGGAGAAAGTAGCACAAACCACTTCAGTGCTGTTAGCAAGAAAATTACATGGAGGGTTCATGAAGTCACCAGGAATTGAGCTTGTCTTTATCTTTCCCTGTGGAATGCAGCAGAATATACGTATCAGTGTAAATCGGTGTATGGAAGATATTGTGTGTAAGTGTGATCCTGAGAGGGGAGACATTTAGTTTTGTGAATGGAGTGACAAGCCTATACCCCATGGTCCCCTAAACTTTCATCTTTGGAAGACCTTCCTTGAATATGTTTGGCTTAATTTGAAGAATCCAAGGCCCTGAGGAATTATCTTGTTTCTCCAGATGACTTCAGACTTTCAAGCAGTGAATCCAATGCAGCAAGTCCCTGCCATCAAAATCGATGGCATCACTCTCTCCCAGTCTGTAAGTAAGCCAATTCTGTTAATTATTTACTTGCACTAAGGACTTTGCACCCCATGCAAGACTGCTGTTTTTTGACAAGAAAGGTTATCTTAGCCATGTGAATAAAGCCCATGCTAATCCTGCTTGCAGATTTTATCCAATTTAGTATAGCTTCCAGCATGAGACAAATCACAAGATTCTCTGTGGATGGTTTCCAGAAATGGAACTTGTGTTTTAGAATGAGTTCAACTGACACCATAGGTAATGATGCAGTTTCTAACTTACTGTGAATCTAGCAACTGCATTTGAAAACTGTGATTGAATGACAACATGTGGTTCCCACAAGTATTTTGTAGCAATTAAGAGTGTTCCCCAGTTATAGGAATGGGATGGGGGTGTGGGAGAAGCACTAATTTTAGTGGCACAATCTTGCCTGCTACTGGCTTATTTCCCTCAAATGTTAGGGCAAAATGCATTTTCCTAATGTAACCTGCCTCCCCCCACCCCATCCAAACAAAAGGCAAACATTTTGATCACTCACTCTGATGCTGTCATTGCATTAGAGCAGGGCTGTCAAACTCCCAGTCTGCGGGCTGGATGCATCACGTGCTGGCCACGCCCACACCCAGTTTAGTGAAGGGGGGGGAAAGTCCTGATACATCATGTGATGCCACCATGACAACATGAGTTTGACACCCCTGCATTAGAGCTACTGTCCTTGAACCCTTGGAAGCCAAGCCACAAAAATCAAACTTTTTAGAAATTTATTCCCGACTGGTAGAAATCTGCCCAGCAAATATTTTCATGGCTCAGATAAAGTGCTCTCCACCTGTCCTTCAGCCAGCAGAAACCTAAACCAACATAAAATATGCTGTCCCACCTGTCAGTCTGGTAAAGCAGGAGAGAATGTATTGATTTAGTGGGCAACCCTGTTGCTGATTATCTGTTTGGCAGGCTTGCTTTGAGCACAAGACAGCTGATCTAAAGGGAGTTGATGATACTGCTAAAGAAGCTTTACTACTATCCCTACATGCTGATCAGGGGCTCCCACTGTGCCTAGCAAACAGAAAAGCTTCCATTACTTTACTTGGCTGATCAACTGCCTAGCAGAACAATGGAAATCTATGATAAAGGAGCAGTGGTGGCTGTCTCAGAATCCACAAGCTGTCCCCTTTATCATGATATGCCTTCATCCTTCTAATACCATAGCAGCCAGAAATAGTACCCTGCTTCTCCCCTCCCCCCAGGGGAAAAAAGGAATGTGGCCTTGGAGGGTATCCTGAACCCTAGAAGAAGGGGCATGTCCCAGCACTAGTCCAAAGACATCAGCAGGGGATAGGTTTGTCCTGTTCCGTATGGATCACCTCAGTGTACCACTACCCACAGAAAAAGGAAGCATGACAGGTTCTCTTCACCCTTAAACTGTCATTGGTTGTTCTTGACCTAAAAAGAAAACACATGTATCACTGGTACAGCTAACCATGATTTAAGGCTGTTTCATGCATGATCTGATGACAAGATGAAGGCAATATTATAGGGAAGTTGCAGAATAAAGATGATGCCAAAGTGGGCAAAAGTTCTTAGTGTGTTGCACAAAACTTACCATGTTTTCCCAAAAATAAGACCCTGTCATATATTTTTTTGAACCTCAAACTAAGCACTTGGCCTTATTTTCAGGGAGGTCTTATTATTTTGGGGCACGTGGAGCAAGATGAGGCTCCTCTTGCCTTCTTACCTGATTTCCAGCTCTGTGTTTAAATACTTTCGGGGAGGACTTATTTTTGGGAAGGAGGCTTATTTTAGCGCATGCACTCAAAAGTCCAATAAGGCTTATTATCAGGGGATGTCTTATTTTCGGGGAACAGGGTATTTGTTTGTTTTAATATGGTTTACAATGTGGTATGAACACAGAACTAATATGGAATAGGATTCTGGAAGGGTATGAGCAAATTTGAGGGGAGTAACAGTCACCCTGGGATTTGAGCTGAACACCCTTCATCTTTCTTCAACTCAGAGAGGGTGCAGGTCCTCTCTGCCTGCAGTAGTCCATACTCATGCCCTGCTCACCCTCCCTCCACATGGCTTGTATGGATGCTCTTGATTGCATCCAAGACCTCCAATAGAAACAGGCAATGAAGGGTGAATCTAAAAGGGCAGGGCATGGGAGTTGTGCTAGGTTTTATACTACACTAGGTTTTCTTGTAATTGCCCTAGCATTCATTCTTGTAAAATTCCAGAAGGGAAGCTTGGGTAAAGACAAGGACAATAGCAAGAAGGGAATCTTGCTAGATTAATTAGACAGTACAGTCTAAAGAACTAAGTTTGAAAGAAAGACAACCCTGAAAGAATTTTCCTTTTGTTTAACCCTAAGCATTTAAGTGGTTTATGTTGGAGGAAGCTTTTTGTATTCCTGTAATACAAGACCCACCTGTGCAAAGATTACTGAAACAGGTTTTGTAATTCTAACAGGAAAAAACCCTCATTTACAGAAAATACAGGAAATGAAGTGGCCAGAAAAAACTGGTATCCAATAGGCTACATCCTCTTAGATGGAGATCCAAGAGGAGAAATTTGATACATGCCCTTTGATACATGCCTAGGAGTGAAAGGAAAGGAGGAAGACCTTGAGGTTAGCAGTTGGGCAAACAGAGAGAAGGCAGAGTATAAGATAAAGAGGGAACACAGAAGGAATTCCTAATTATCTATATTTAATGCTTCTTGTGGTCAGTGCATTATGAGATGTTGCAAAACAATGCATCTGTAGTCTGACTGTCAACAAACTCCACACTAGTATTATTGGGGGACAGTGACATGGGTGGAGAGTGATGTTCCTCTACTCAAAGGGATATGAAAAATGTTTTAAGTATCCTAGAGAGAATAAGCAAATTGATATGTACTTTTTGTTATTTTATCATCCCCATCGTGTGCGTATGTTGTTATCAACAAATAGTAACATAATAATGTATTTTGCTTGCATACTCTGTAACAGAACACTGTTGGAATATACGGCATTTTGTGAGTGTTAGTCCATTGACCCACAAGCTCTGGTATGCTCTCATGTTACTGTTCCCTGCGGACAGCTAAGCTCATTTTCTTCCAATTCTGCTGCCTTTCAAATAACACATTTGGTTTTGTCATTTGACCTACTTGGGCTCCACAGAGCTGGGAGGGACAGGTTGCCCTTTGCAGTCCTGGGCTTGCGGTTTCTTGCAACAAGGATTTCATTAGTGTATTATGTACACACAGTTATTGGGAAAGAAGAAAGTGACTGGTTTTAACTGGACATGATGGACATTGCCCAAGATTTTTGCTTGTGGTTCTCCTGCCCTACTTACCTTGAAGTCTTCTTTTGGGAAGGATCATTTAAAGTTTCCTAGGGCTATGTTGGCTGAGTATTTCCAATGTGGCATCTGGTATCCTAATAAGTATTAGACTAGTAGGAAGGCCACAACATAATTAACTATGAGAACCCCTAATATACAGACACTGGCCTAAGACAGGCTGAAGGCACTTAACCAGATATTTTGGACTGCAATTCCAGATGGGAATTCCTCAGGCTTTTTTCTTTGATCAGATCCCTAGGATCATTGCTGCCTAATGATGAAGAGTATTCTTTAAGGGGCTGCTCTTGAAGAAGGCTCAGAAATTGTAGCTGATCCAGAATGCAGCAGTTATAGATCATTTCAATATACCCAAGCAATTCCTCCATTATGTGAGCAGAACTACTTATGCAGATCCTGGGGGCAGGCCCTCCGTGGCACAGGGACCAAATATTTGTAGGACTGCCATTCTCCAGGTTGGCACAGTGTCATTTTACAGATCTATACATTTTTTCTTTCCACATCTGCCCTTTGCAATAGCATTTCCCCCAATGTCGTTTAGAGAGCCTTACAAATCCTGCTTTTCTCACAGGCTACAGCTGGGACAGTGGGTGAATTGAGTTGCTATGGTTGCTCTGGGTTGGTAGCTTAGAGTGAACTATAGGCCCTACGAATCAACAAACAATTTTAATTCTCTGAAAACTGCCCAGTACCATTGGCAGTTGAGCAGCCTTAGGAATGATTGAATGAATCAATCAATCAATCAATCTCTCTCTATTTCAGCTAGCCATCATAGAGTATCTAGAGGACAGCCGGCCACTCCCAAGGCTCCTTCCGCAGGATCCAAAGAAGAGAGCTGCGGTTCGAATGATCTCAAATCATATTGCTTCTGGAATTCAACCACTGCAGGTAGGCATCTTCTTACCTTGGCTGCCTTTCTTTCTAACATTGTTGACTTCAACTACATTTCTGACATTTCTTTAATACAGAGAATGTTGTCCCAGAAAATGCTGGGTCTGTTGTGCCTGGTGTGGAGTGCTAATTGAGCACACAAGACATGGAAATTTCTTTAGGACTCTATTTTGTACACAAGAAAGGACACTTGGGGCTTTGATTTCCAAAGCAAGCATGCCTGCTGGCTCCAAACTCCTGAGTTTTCAAATAGTCTACAAACAGGAAATTATGTTTTAAATTATGACATGATTGGGAAGTAGAATCTCATTGGCAAGCACTGTTAACATGTGGCCACAAGATGAGTCCTATTGCATGGAAGTGGTTCTGTTGTTGAAGGAAAATATGACCTGACTGTTGTCTTAGCTATACCTACAGGACCATAGCCATAACCAGCATAAGGAATCAGCTCTGTATGTGTGAAATGGAAAGGATGTAAACAAGAATACTTTGACATCAGTACTCATACTCAATAGTATGTATAGTGTTCAACCAGAAATGATGCAGAGAAAGAGCATTGGAAGAGTGTTATTCCTGTATGTGTTACAGGAACTTTGTATGAAAGCTTCATTTTCTTTTAAGTGAAGAAAACAATCCTTTCCCTGTGGTAATTGCTGCAAAAAGCAAACCTGGGGTCTGATTTATACAACAAGCACTTATTTATTTTTAAATTTTATTTGCTGCCCATCTTGTTGTTCTGACCCAGGCCCAAGTAGGTAGTATTAGATGCAAACAGTTCCAAAACAAACAGACTTTATTAGAACAGCTGAGAATTAACTCATTCTCAGCGTAGTCCAAACTAAATTAAAACAAATTCTTCATAACACAAATTCCTCAGTCTAATCACCAACCTTGGTATAATTAGGCAAACTGCCAAAGGCTTCTCTTGGCAAAAGTTCAGAAGCAGAAGATGCTGACTAGAGATAAGTGCAGCAAGTCAAGAACAAGTTGTTTTCTGACAAAGAGCCCAAGAGCCATTGCTGGTCTTTTAAGGTTCACCTAATTCGCCAGTTGCGTCCCTTTCTGGATCGGGACTCGTTACGCACGGTCACTCATGCCCTCGTCACCTCCTGCCTGGACTATTGTAATGCTCTCTACATGGGGCTCCCCTTGAGGAGCACCCGGAGGCTCCAACTGGCGCAGAGTGCGGCCGCGCAGGTGGTAATGGGAGCGTTATGGCGGTCCCATGTGACACCTCTCCTGCGCGAGCTGCACTGGCTCCCGGTGGTCTTCCGGGTGCGCTTCAAGGTTTTGGTTACCACCTTCAAAGCGCTCCATGGCTTAGGACCTGGTTATCTACGGGACCGCCTACTACTACCAATAGCCTCCCACCGGCCAGTACGCTCTCATAGAGAGGGACTCCTCCGGGTGCCGTCAGCCAAACAGTGTCGGCTGGCGACCCCTAGGGGGAGAGCCTTCTCTGTGGGGGCACCTACCGTCTGGAATGAGCTCCCCCCAGAGATACGGAGGATTCCGGATCTGCGCACCTTCCGCCGCGCTGTGAAGACTTTTTTATTCCATCAAGCGGGCTTGGCCTAATCTCCTCCCTCTTTTAATATGTAAATTTTAATCTGTTTTTAAATTATTGGGGTGTTTTAATCTGTCTGGGCCAAAATGATTTAATTTGATTTTATCTGGTTTTAAATTTTGTGTATTTATGTATTTTATTGCTTGGCTGTTCACCGCCCTGAGTCCTTCGGGAGTAGGGCGGTATACAAATCAAATAATTAAAAAAAAAATTAAAAATTAAATTAAAATTAAAAATTAAATTAAGCCTTATGGGAGGGGCCAATCATCTCTTGGCCCTACTCCCGAGTCGTCCTCTTTGCTGTAGCTGCTCTTGCCTTCTGGCAGCTCTTCTCATACGTGCCCTAGGAACAGGCTCCTCCTGTTCCTCTGCCTCTCTACTGTCAGCCTCTGGAGGCTCCGGAGTCCACACAGCACTTCCCGATGGCCCTGGCCCCATCTCTGCCTCCAGCGCAGAGCCCTCATCCGGGTCTTCCCCAGCCTCCAGGACTGGCCCATGTTCTTCCTCAGCCTCCTCACTGTCTGACTCCGCTGCCAGCTCCTCAGGCTGCTGCCAGACCACAACACTTGTATCCAACAACTCTTAGCTAGCATGTAGCTGTCTAGTAGTTAAGGCACCCGGTTAGAAAAGCAGGAAGCCATGAGTCCAAGTCCTGCCATAGCCATGAAAGCCACCTGGGCGACTTTGGGCCAGTCACTCTCTCTCAACCCAACTCACCTCACAAGATTGTTGTGAGGAAAATAGGAGAAGAAAGGCGTGTCGGATACATTCGCTGCCTTGAATTACTTGTAAAAATAATACAGGTGAGATACAAATAAATGAATAAAGGCTCACTTATGTTCCTACTGGATGGAGTGATAAGGAAATGGTTACATAATGTACATCTTGATTTTTGCAGGGTTAGTAACCTTTCTGACCCTCAACATCGATTGATACCCTTATTTTTGTTTTGTTGTAATACCATCCATGTCAATATCTTTTTCAAAAAGGATGGCCATAAGAGAACAAGAGAAAATGACACTGAAATCCGATTGTGAGACAGTTTTATTCCACTCAGTTTCATATGTTCTTGTAGAATAATTTCCACTATTATAAAGCACAGTTCCGAGAAACTAGGGACTTTTTAGGTATTGACCCTGGTGATTAGGCATGCTGGTTAGGGTTGGAATTCAACAACATCTAGAAGGTCATAGGTTCTCCATTTGTAATATAGATTGAAATATGGATTACTGCTTGCTTAACAATAGTATTTTCTGTCCTTTTGATGCTGCAAGTTAGATTTATCTAGAGTAAGATCTGACTATTGTTCAGTGACAAACTATATCCTAAATCTATGTTTAGGTAGTATATTTCAGACATTCCTTATGTTTTTCAGAATCTTGCTGTCCTGCAGCAGATGGGAGAGAAAAAACTAGATTGGGCACAACGCATCATTTCTCAAGGCTTCAAAGGCAAGTTTCAGTATAAAATGTTTGTCTGGATTTAAGTCATTTCCAAATGTAACAAAGGCTTTTTTTCAAAGAAGCCTTTCCTTTTGCCTGTCTTGTACTGCAGAACAACTAACCTAATGCACTATTTCAGGGTGTTTCTGGGAACTTTAAATAGAATATTCCATTTTCCTAGAGAAACCATCTAATGGGAATAGATCTCCAGGAAATTTTTCACATAATATTTTATAGTTTATCTTTATAGTCAACCTTTAAAATGCACTGTCAAATCCAAGTATGAATCATGGTTTGCAAAACTCATGGAGAATACTATAAAAGTCTTATTGCTGGTTGAATGAAAACAAGGGAGAAAAAAATCTTAATGTTAAAAAGTTTAAATATTTTTTCAGTGCCAAACCATTTTATGTATGAGGGAAAAATAGTTATCAGGTCCCTTGAATAGTTTTCTCTCTGCTCAAATCAGCATTTCTCTAATGAAGTGGACTTGTTAAGGTTGACAAAAGCAAATACTTTATAAGCCTATAATTAAATTATGCTTAACTCACTATCCACATAATGTACTGATGACCACTAAATTGGGTAGGTTTGAAACACAGGACAAATTCATGGAAGGTACCAGTAGCTCTTATTTATAGTAAAGTGTATTGGTTGTCTCCAGTATTAGATGTCAGGGTTCCAAGTAACAGCCCAAAACTCCAAGGCAGGGTTCCTGGAAGTATAGATTTATTAGGCATGTCATATTGGCACAACTGGTAAAAACCTGACTCTGAAGTTCCCCGGGTTTTCCCCACCCAGTTCAAAATCCAAAGTTCTCCCTCCCCCCCATCACACACAACCATCACATGCCCCAATCAAGTCTTTCTCCTCATCCTAGATGCCTCCTATCCACACACCTCCAGGTGCTGATGAGAGTGTCCTTGGTTCCCAGAAGAAAGAATGTTATTTTGGCTACATATTCCCCCAGCTATCTCTGTTTCCCACTCCCTTTCCCACAGCTCCATCCAGCTTTGTTGTGGCAACCCTGAAGATGCTCAGAGATGGCTCCAGGGTTAACATTAGAAGCTACTCAGTAACACAGGCTGGGAAAAGAGATGGAAAAGTGTAGGATGATGAATTAGACAGACATTTTTGGTTGTGACTCTAATCAAAAAGATAATTATGTTACATTTTTATCTTGAATAAGTTGGCAGTATGTTTTTCCCACCCAAGTAAATGTTTCAGCCCAAGTCCTTCTTTTACATGTACAACAAATTAAACAAAATATGTAAGAATTATTTCATTCTTTTATACTGTTAATTTGTACTCAGAATATTGTAAATGGCAGTTCAACATCATTCCTGATTTTCCACAATGGTTCTGTTTTCTCTTCCTACAGCTTTGGAACAGATCCTGAAAGAAACAGCTGGCTGCTACTGTGTTGGGGATGAGGTATCACAAGCTGAGGTTATAGGCTTCTGATCATAAAGGAGCCTCAGAAACCTATAATTAGTAATGTTTCATTAATCAGTGTGTTGGGGAGCATTCCAAAATCCATTAGTCTAAGAAAGGCAGAAATAATTTGTCTGTATCCTGGCAGCAATGAATAGTTCCAGCATGAAACGGCCCAACAAAAAATTCACAAGCAAATGCCATACGCAGGTAGTATGACCATAATGATCTTAAGTTGTGACAACCATAAAACAGGTCACCAACTTAAGTTGTGATGGGTGCTAAGCAAATGCCATGGTCATTTAACAATCAATGGGCCATTTTTACCAAAAACCAAAAGTAAATGCCGGTTTTCAGCAGAAACGTCATAAAATTAGATCACGTGACTGCAAGATGCTGCAATCAGCTGGAAATGCGGGCTGATTGCCAAGCACCCAACGTATGGTCACATGACTACAGGGGAGGCATCCTTCAGAAGCAGGTCACAAGTACCCCCCAGGGAGTACCCCCATTGTAACTCTCTAAGCTACCAGTTGTAAGTTGAGAACTAGGATCACTACTTAATATAAGATATTGGAAAAAGATGTAGAAAAACTTGTCCAAAGCCAGACCACTAGTCCTAAGGCAAAACTATCAAAAATCACCACTTTTTTTTAACTTCTACATCACAAAGTTATACTGGATTGATGCCTTATAACAAGACTTTAGCTCCAAATTTTGAATTGGTATTTATCTGTGCTTTTCTCTTTTAGGTGACCATGGCAGACCTTTGCTTGGTCCCCCAAGTATACAATGCTGAGAGGTAAGGAAAAAGAAGTTCCACAAGCTGTAAGGGGGATGACTGCCTAATTTGTAGTCAGATAACTTTTGTATCACTGAAGGCTTAAACTATAATCCAGTGAGGCATCTGACTGTATAGAGCAGGGTCACCAACCTTTCGGACCTCAAGGACCACTAAATTCATAATTTTAAATCCTGCGGACCACTAATATGATCTGCCTAATGACCAGCTGGGTGGGCATGGCTAGGTGGTCATGTGACTGGGTGGGTGTGGCCAACTTGATATCATTCATGTTGAGGAGCACCTCGCCGGTCTCTACTTACCCCTCCCCTGCCACCCACTCCTCGCCTCCCCGCCCGGGCTCCTTAGAGCCCCAACAGGAAGCAGTTGTTGGAGCTAAGCAGCCACCACGAGAAAGGGTTGGCAAAACAGCTGGTTAAGTTCAAATTGGATCTGACCAAGAAGGAGACTCAGCAGAAGCACCTCACTGAGGACTGTGAGCATAGGCTTTCCAAGCAGAGGGAAGACCTGTGGGAGTGCAAGGCCAGGTACTGGTGCCTGGAGGCTCAGTGGGCTGAGATGGTCAGTCAGTTCCAGGCCATGATGCAGCCCCACTGGAACAAGGCCCTCCAGTCTTCGCCACCACCAGCACTTCCCTCCGGCCTTCGCCCAAAGCCCCACACCGAGAGGCTGAAGCAGACCCCAAGTTGGAATTTCTGCCCCCCTCTGCCCCACACAAGAAGACCCTGAAGGGGGAGACAATCTGTAGCAACACAAACATTCATTGCACATATCCAGCCCAGGGACGTAGTTTGAGGACTCCTGATTTAGTGTAATATAAAAATGCAAATAATTTTTCTGGGGACCACCAAAATTTTCTTACGGACCACCAGGGGTCCACGGACCACCAGTTGGTGACCACTGGTATAGAGACTGTAGACTACTACTTAGCATTCAATTGCTAAGCCCATAGAGTAGAAGACTGGGGAATCTCAACATTTCACTCCCAGAAGTCTTCAGAGTCTTCCTACCCTGATCTCAATTCCTGATTTGGGGTAGCAGCTTGGCAATTCCTGTTGCCACCACCATTCCAAGGTCTCAGCTCCATTAGGTAAACCAGACCAGAAAATCAACTCTGCATGGAAGTTAAACTTACGCTTATTAAGATTGGCAATAATAACAGCATTTGATTGTCCTATCCCACCTCTCCTCCTTATATACTCTTTTAAATTAGGAGAAGTCTGCCTGAGCCACTTCTGAATTTTGTCTTGTTCAGGACTTTAAAAAATGTTTCAGCATCTCTATTTAGGTGACAGTTCCTGCATATTTCCATCAAGATCATCATCTTTATTCTCCACATATTGCCCTTTCTGATAATTAAAAAGTAAAGAAAAAAATAGAAATAATTTCAATAATGCTACCTTAGTGCCATGTAGTACGTAAGTATGTAACTAGAGGTGCTAGAGTCTAACAATCAAATGACTGCAAAGAATATAAATCTTTCCATTCCCCATCAGTTAGTTAGAACTGAAGAAGCTTAATGGATGAGAAGCGAAACGTTTTGAAAGGAAGAAAAATCCATGAAAGTCCAGTTGCATTTTGGGGAAAAAACACCTTTGTGTAACTAGGGGTTTGTTCCTAACCAAAATCAAATTTTATTTTAAAAACAAAAGGTAAAATATACCCCACTTTTAACTATTAACTTTAAACTGAATACTTTCAGTGCTGTAGAAAGGAATTAGAGAGTTGTCTGGATCAGGTTCAGCAACTAAATAGAAAATTTAGAAAAAAATACAAAACAAATGCTCCAGGCAGACCACAATAGAAAGTTCTTCTATAAAAAGATAGGATTCAGATCAGCATCTGCAGGATCTGGTGCGTTTGTCGAAATGACTAAATGAGCATTGTACTATGTGCTACTCCTATTTCATACAGCGTGTGATATTACAATGCTTGTTTCAGTATTTGCATGCACGCACACCCCTACCTTGTTTAGACAAATGATACATAATAACAAGAGTTATAAAAATACCTTTCGATTAATTACCAGAGGTTTGATTCAAAACTGGTCTAAAACCTAATTTTCCAAATTGATAGAAATAAGAACATTACATTTCTCCTCACAGTGCACAGAAAAAGAAAGTCTATTCTATACCCTATCCATAATTCCTCTTTCTTCCAAAATGTCCATTTTTTTAAAACAAAGACCCGCTTCCTTTTACCTGGACTTCCATTTTTATTGGCAATCCCATGATATTGATCTTCTCGTTACACCTCTGTCCACAACTTCCTCAGCTTCTCCTTCAGTTCTGCCCTTGTCTTTTTTTCACTGCCTGAATTCTTCTAAATCCAGAATGTTAAGCCACTAACAACAGTTACAAGGAAGAAGGCTAGATTCTAAAGTTGTGTTAGTCTAGTTTATTGCAAAGGGAAAAATGGCTTCCATTACAGAAATTTGGAAAAAGATAAATTGAGTGTATTAAAGGAGGAGCTCCTTTTTGCCTTTGCTCATCTAATTCTCAGAATATTTAGGAGACAGATTGTTACCCTTTATGACACGGGTGTCAAATTCGTGGCATCATGTTGCCGTCATGTGATGTTTTGTAACATTTTCCTCCTTCATGGAGCTGGGGTGGGTATGGCCTGCACATGACGCACCTGGCCCGCAGGCTGCCAGTTTGACACCCCTGCTTTTGGAAGTGTGATAGGAATACCCATCTGTTCTTTTTCTGCAGTATTTTGGAAACATCCATTCCTGTTCTTGTGTTCATATAATAGAGAATTCAATTATACGAACTGTTCACATAATAGAGAAATCAATTATATGAATTGTATGTATGCTGTCTCCCTTCATTGATCTCTTCACTTTTCTTCTTTGCCAATTACCACTTAATGCAAAATATGTTCTTGTGAACAGATTGTAACAGATTTTTGTTTTGCATCCTATTGATTTAAATGTATCTAAGACACAATGACTTGGTCTTACAGTAACAGAGATGTGCCTAATGCTTAATTTCTCTTAGCAGATTTAAAGTGGATCTGACTCCATACCCCACAATAAGCAGAATCAACAAAGCTCTCCTAGAATTAGAAGCATTTCAAAGCAGCCATCCTTCCCGGCAGCCAGATACACCTCCAGAACTAAGATCCTAAAGTTCTTCAACTGCTTGCTTCACTGTGGGGAAATTGATCCAAAATTAAATGGGACTCTCCTTTTTAAGATTTTCTGGGCGGGGGGAAACTTGAGGATTTTGTCTGGAAGAGTCTGATAAATCTAAGACTAAAAGAAGAAGAAAAAAAAGGCAGTGTAATTCTATAGTACATAGCTGGAGTAAAATAAACCTTTGATCATGTGTGACAATTGTAATGCAGTCATAAAGCAGATCAAAAGATAAGAGCTGGTGGGTGTTTCTTGTGAAGTTCAAAAAAGGCAGTGTTACTTTGTGTAAATAGCAACGGTATTGATCTATAATTAGACCGTTTACAAAGATAAAGAACATGAAAAGGCAATAGTCTAGATACCGGCAAGCAAATAATGATTGGGCCTGAAAAAGAACAGTCACATGTCAAATGTTTGCCAGCTTTTAGTGTAATAGTATGTTGTTCAATTCGTATGTCCTTTTTAGTGTTACTAAGAACTGATTTAAGAACTTTCATAACAGCTTTTTTGTTATCTAAGCAGCAGCAAACTGTATCACTACTTTTTGGCAAAATTTGGTGATGCAGTTGGAGTTGCTTTAGAGCCATAAGTTGCCTGGTCTTGCCTTACAGTGTCCATCATTAGTCAGCATATACCAGCATTTCAGAAATATTGAAAGTTAGGGAACTTCTAACTTTTTCCTTTAGTATAGTAAGTATGGTAGTAACAACAGAAGTTCATGCAATAAATTGGCAGGAGTTGGAAGTTTTCTGATTCTCACAGGGATTGTAGATTTCCCAGAAAAAAGTACACAGATTTCTAACGAGTTAATTAGAGCTGTGCACCTCAAACAAAATCCTATGATCTGCAAAAAGCATATAGAAGCTTCAAAAGGATTTTGAAAATAAGATGTTTGTCTTCTTATCAATAGCCAATATCTATATGTTCAAGTTCAAATTCTTACGCTTGCTTTATTAGATTTGGCAAAATGTAAACAACACTCATCTGAGGCATGAAGAAAAAAGATAAATAAAATGGGTTAGGGGAAGGAGAGAACAGGAACAAACCATATGTATAAAAACACATTGGGAAATCCAAACCAACATATTTCAGAGCAATATTAAAAAATCATTGATCAATCTTTCCATGGAAGTACTGAGCCATCTCCAAAATACCTATTTTGGTGGTGCTCCCTCTCCTTTGCCATCTCAACTGCTAACAAGCTAAAAATGAAGATGTGGAGCTACTGAATTCAGCTGAGACATTAACTGCTCAGCTTTCCATTATGCCATCACACATAACGTTGTAGGGGTTAAAAAGAAATAGCTGAGATAATGACCACAAACTGAGAAGCTGCCCACCTGCCTCACACCTATCCACGTTAAAAATAAAGGCAGGGAATGACATCTTTGTGACACACTTTAAATCTGGAGTAAGATCTAAGACGGTGTTTCTCAGACTTGGTAACCTTAATATGTGTGAACTTCAGCTCCCAGAAGTTCAGCCCTCAGTCCACGTATTTTAAAAGTTGCCAAGTTGGAGAAACATTGATCTAAGAAATCAAACCTTAAAGCAATCTCTGATACAGCCTCAACAGCCCTGTTCTTTTTAACATAGTTATCAATTCATTTTTATTATTCTGATATCCAGTTGTTTCTGTTCTTTTGTGTCTTGATCTTGTTATGGAGTCAAAACAGTTCAGGTAGGCTCTTAGCAGGCACTTATTTAGTTCTGAAAGTCAAGCTGGAATTTGTTTGTACAGTTGTAGAACTTGCCGGCATGGTCTGAACCTCCAAAGACAAGCACTGTGCACAGGTTGTATTTCCTCTGCTTCTGCTTATCCGTGTTTGTCAGGTTAGTACAAGTTAAATTGAGCAGTGTGTGGCCTGCCCGGGGCACAGCGCAAAGATCACTATGCTTAATAGCAGTCCAAATCAAGGTATCTGCAAAGGAAAGAAAAGGATGAGCCCTGGCAACTGTTTCCTAGGGTTAAGGGGCAGTTTTATGGTTGAATTTTATCACTTACCTAAATGAAAGATAAATGCATCCTGAAAAGCTGCTCTGGCATTACAGCCACCACTTATCAACATTTTTTGATCAGAGATTGGGATAGCAGCATGGAAACTAGAAGCCAAATAGATGATCTGAAAATTAGCCACTTCTAATTAGCCTTGATAACCCTTGAACACAAAGATATAGGTAGTCCTTGACATACAACCACAATTGAGCCCAGAATTTTTGTTGCTAAGTGAGACATTTGTTAAGTCAGTTTTGCCCCATTTTGCGAGCTTTCTTGCCCCAGTTGTTAAGTGAATCACTGTTGTTGTTAAATTAGTAAAATGGTTGTTAAGTGAATCTGGCTTTCCCATTGACTTTGCTTGTCAGAAGGTCACAAAAGAGGATCACATGATCCCAGGATGACGTAACCATCATAAATATGAGTCATTTGCCAAGCGTCTGGATTTTGGTCATGTGACTAGGGATTCTGCAACAGTCGGGGGAAAAATGGTCACTTTTTTCTGTGCTGTTGTAACTTTGAATGGTCACTAAATGACCTGTTGTAAGTCAAGGACTACCTATATTCATATATCAGATTTACATTCCATGCCTAGGAGTTATGAACTTTTCTAGTCAGGTATGCCCAATCCTTTCTTTTTTCCAAAAGTACTATATGCTTACCCCCAGACCCCCAGATCCTCTGAAACTCTATCCTTTTATATGAAAAATCGTGTTAGACTGGAGTAATTGACTTGACTTGCAATCATAACTGGGAAGAAACTATTGCTGAATGATGCAGTCATTAACTGAGTTACACCTGATTTTACAACTATTTTTGCAGCAGTCATTAACAGAATCGTGGTTGTTAAGTGAGTCTAGCTTCCTCCATTGATTTTGCTTGCTGGAAGTCCCCTGGGAAAGTAGCAAATGGCAATTACGTCACACACATACATACGCACACACCAGTGGTGGGTTTCAAAAAAATTTACTACTGGTCTGTGGGTGTGGCTTGGTGGGCATGGTAGGGGAAGAATACTGTAAAATCTCCATTCCCATCCCACTCCAGGGGAAGAATACTGCAAAATCCCCATTTCCTTCCAATCAGCTGGGACTTGGGAGGCAGAGAATAGATGGGGGCAGGGCCAGTCAGAATTTTTATTACCGCTTCTTCGAACTACTCAAAATTTCCGCTACCGGTTCTCCAGAACTGGTCAGAACCTGCTGAAACACACACACACCCTCTCTCTCTCACACACACACACACACACTCTCAAACTCACTCTCTCTCACACACACACACACAGGTTGCTGCAATTGTCATAAATACGTGCCCTTTGCTGACCACCCAAATTTTGATCACATGACCACAGGGATGCCGCAAGTGTCATAAATGGTTGTGATTTGTGATTTTTTTTTTCAGCCCCACTCTACATTCTAATGGTCATTAAATAAATGCTCATAATTTGAGATCACCCATAAAACATATAATTTTATTTATTTATATTTCGTATTTCTTAACTGGCCATCTCTCTTAGAGAAGCAGGGGGGCAGAAGGAGATGCCCCCCTGCTTCTCTAAGGAAGATGGTCTGGGTCTAGTGAGGTTCTCAATTTATATAAAGGGATATATCTAAGACTTTATTTAAATTTCATTCTAACCAATCTAGCCTTATTATCAGCATCCTTTACCAGCATGTATAGAAGGATTAGCATCTGCAAAGTTTCATAATAAATGCTTCAGGACTGAGTTTCCTTACTAATTGACAAACTTCCAAAGAGTTAAGAGTTTAAAATTCATTCCTTTAAAGCTAGAGATGCCAAGATGGGCGGCCATATAAATTTGATTTTAAAAAATCTGTTTCAAACTTATTTGCTAGCACACCACAGTTAATGAAAGTGAACACATATACAGTAACATCATGAGCAGACCTGCGAGGAGAAGGCTGTCCAGAGAGAGATGGAACTGTTTTATACTCCATAAAACCTAGAAGTATGAGATAAAATAATTAGATGTTTTGGACCTACACAAAAAATATCTGTCTCAGAGTTTTGTAGTACCTCAAAAAGACCAAGCTAAAGTGCATATTTGCATAGATTAGACTCTACTGTAGCAGCAATCACAAAAAGTGAAATGGGCACAGAATGCATTGATACATCATCTGACAACTAAATTATTCTGTTCCACAAAAACTGCAATTATTACAACACCTTTTTGTTGTGTTTATTGCCATAAAATTGAGTCGCTTTCTCTCTTTAAAAAACTTATAGTCCAAGAATGCAGTTTTATTTCATTATCCTAGGCATCAATCCTGTTTCAAGACCTACAATCCTACAAATGCTATTGTCAGATCATTATTATTGCCTTTCCCCTGAAGTGAAATTACTCCCATTTACTGTCTATGGAGAGTCTCGTTTTTTTCAAGAGGCAACTGGATATTCTGGGAGTTTTTTTGAAGACATTTCACTTCTCATTCAAGAAGCTTCTTCAGATCTGTGTCCATGTCTTGGATGAGCTTCTTGGATGAGAAGCAAAATGTCTTTAAAGAAAAACCAGAAAGTCCAGTTGCCTCTTGAAAAAGCACCTTTGGCACTCCCATTTACTATTCTATGAGTTTTCTTTATGTGTTGATAGCTTCCATTTCAGGCTAATCTTCTGTTTTCATAAAATTGAGCTGCCTATAAAGGTGGGTTCTTGACCCTGTCCAAATCCAGGTGACATTTAAGAAGGCAAGCATTGTACCCTTCTTACCTAGATCAAGGATGTGTGTGTCATTCAGGTATGTAGAAGTCCTCTGGCCTCCAAATATGACTAATTTGTTCTTCAACAAAGTAGCTGAATGACTTTGAGATAAGGGCAGAGAACGTAAAAATCAAACATACTTAGGTAGAAAACTTGTTCATACATTATTATTTGACACCTTGAGAGGAGAAATGCATCAACTAGCCAACATTTTATATTCCACTTGTGTTGATTCTTGAATGTTTATTTAAAATAAAAATCAAGGACACAAACTATCAGAAGGATAATCCAAAACTAGCATATTTAAGAGTCCACAATGGTGTTTGCTGTATTATTGATCCTATTTTTGGTTTTCTGACATTTCTAAATTTATAAATGGAAGCACCAGTAAAGAAGGGGAGAAGGGGACCAGAGAAATCACAAACTTTCCATTATGAGTGACAGTGTCTTGCCATTCATGATAAATGGATCTTACTTAAAATACTTCCTTCTGCTATTGCTAAGAGATATAACTGCTTTGTGTGCTAAGCAATAATAAGTGGGATAGAAAAAAAATGGCTACAGAAAGGAAATCAGAATAAGTACATAAATGCATATGAAAATGAGTTCTGTAGAAAAACTCAAATGGTAGGTTTATCCAAGGCTCGCTCTCCACGTGATTTTGAACTTATTGAAGGAATATTATACAACAGTATATAAAAAAAGAAACACTCACTTCTAGCTAAAATAAAAGTGAATGAAAAAAATCCCGCTTCACTTTTTAGCAGAGAAAAAGACCAAGGAAATAAATCTTGCCTATTTCAGAGTCCTCTGAGTTCAAGACAAGATGCCTCACCCAAGCCTTGGCAGAGGCTTCTCCCCCTCCACAATAGGTTGGTACCAAATCTCATAGTCGGGGTTGAAAATAAAAAGTGCATTACTGCAGGCGCCCATCTCCAAGGACATCATTTTAGGGAAAGCTCCTCCAAAGACAAATAATTCCTTGCGATAGACAGTTGCACTGTGAAAGGCCAGAGTGGGCACTTTCCCTTTAGCCTGAGAAGAAAGAAAAATCTCATCACAACCCAAGTCAGCAGGCCAATCTGACTTAACATCAGCAGCAGTGGGCACTCTCCTGCTCTCAATGGCATTAATGGCATTACTGATGAGCCGCGGTGGCACAGTGGTTAGAGTGCAGTACTGTAGGCTACTTCTGCTGATCACCAGCTGCCAGCAGTTGGGCAGATCAAATCTCACCAGGCTTAAGGCTGACTCAGCCTTCCATCCTTCTGAGGTCGGTAAAATGAGGACTCAAATTGTTGGGGGAAATATGCTGATTCTGTAAACCGCTTAGAGTGGGCTGTAAAGCACTATGCATAAGTCTAAGTGCTATTGCTATTACTGGATAGCATCCCTCCAGTTTCTAAATCTAAGGGGCTGGTTTGGACAAAACTCAGCAGCACTTTTTCATGCAATTGTTAATATAAATAGGATCGTCAACATCCAATGACGGATATGACACAAGAAGAAGAAGAAGAAGTTTCTAACTATAATCTATCAGAAAATTTTCACCTGCTCTATTTACTTCCCTTTTCTGTGTCCTCGATGAATTATTCAACTTTTTGCCATTGTATTTGAACTCTTATTTCTTACAAAAAAAGAGTAAGAAGATTACAAGAACAAAAAATAGGCACATAAAAAGCAAGTTGAAGCTACACTTCTGCAGTGCCCAATGTTTGGTTTATACTCACAAAAACATGAAGCCATTTCCAAGAGGTTGTATCCAAAACATAGATGCTGTTGTAGCGTCTCCCTTCTTTTATGCCCCCAAATATGTAGATGCGCTTGGTATCTGGGTCATAAGTGGCACTGTGACCTCGGGAACACTGTGGTATGGAATTTTGTGTTGGGAAATCCATAGGAAACCAAAAGTCATTATCTGTGAATTAGAAGATATACAGTAAACAGAGAAGATGCATAGTCTTGTATTTGTGAAATTCATTTTCCTTAAGGCATCCCCCAATGTTATTCAGTGGAAGTGGATTCCAGTAACTTTAAGCTCAAATTGTAAGACAGCTAATGGGCCCTTCAATTTAGAAGATTTAGAAAGTTTTCTTCCCATGACTTGCCAACAAGGTATATCATTATTAGAAGTACAGAAGTATCTCACCGATCTCCAGTTTCCAGAGAACATCTTTGCAGAATTGTTGATTAGATCCTTCACCACCAATCAAAACTGCTGTATCTCTGTCACACAAGCACATAGCATGATACCATCGAGCACTTGGACACACTAAGTACAACAGATAGAAGTAAAGTCAGTCAACAGAACCAGGCCACAGAAACCATTTCATTGTGGAAGAATAATTCAGGAGAGTCTATTCCTATAAGCTTAATGCATGAAAGATACTTGCATGCTACCATAATTAACTCTGTATGAAATGGCCATTCTTTATTCATTCTTACTGAAATATCAGTATCAAATTCTTCTGTGAAAGAGATAACTTTTTCCTGATCAAATCTGCTGACCTGATCCAGTCAGTCAGAAATCGCCTGCCCAGGGACTCCACTGATTAGGACAGCGATCACCAACTGGTGGTCCGTGGACCACTGATGGTCCACGAGAAAATTTTGATGGTCCGCAGAAAAAATATTTGCATTTTTTTATATTACACTAAATCAGGGATCCTCAAACTATGGCTCCTGGGCCAGATACTTGCAATGAATGTTTGTGTTGCTGCAGAGAGTCTCCCCCTTCGGGGTCTTTTTGTGCAGGTCGGAGGGGGACAGAAATTCCAACTTGGGGTCTGCTTCAGCCTCCTAGTGCAGGGCTTTGGGCAATGGCTGGAGGGAAGCACCGCTGGTGGCAAAGAGCCGGAGGGCCTTGTTCCAGTGGGACTGCATCATGGCCTGGAACTGGCTGACCATCTCAGCTCACTGAGCCTCCAGGCGCTGGCACCTAGCCTTGCACTCCTGCAGGTCTTCCCTCTGCTTGGAAAGTCTATGCTCCTAGTCCTCAGTGAGGTGCTTCTGCTGAGCCTCCTTCTTGGCCAGATCCAATTTGAACTGAGCCAGCTGTTTTGCCAACTCTTTCTCCTGGTGGCTGCTTAGCTCCAACACCTGCTTCCTGTTGGGGCCCTAAGGACCCCGGGCGGGTAGACAAGGAGTGGCCGGGAGGAGAGGGGCGAGTAGAGGCCAGCAAGGTGTGCCTCGATGTGAGTGACATCAAGTTGGCCACACCCACCCAGTCACATGCCCACCTAGCCACGCCCACCTAGCCAGTCATTAGGCAGATCATATTAGTGGTCCGCGGGATTTTAAATTATGAATTTAGTGGTCCCTGAGGCCCAAAAGGTTGGTGACCCCTGGATTAGGAGATGCAACATGAGGGGGAGGAGGACAAGCTCCCTTCCTATTTCCTGACCCACAAAGTTGGTGATCTCAATTCTTATGGTCTTTCAAAAAGTTGAAAAGACCTGGCTTTCCCTGAGGGCTTTCCAGGATTCATCCTGGAGCTATCAATGTAAGTTTCATTTTTAGATTTTATCAGAGATACAACGTTAATATTTTGTGATACTGTATTTTTACTATGACTGTTTAATTATATTGTTATTTATATTATTTAATTATATATTAAAATTTAACATTCTAAAAAATGAAAAACAATATCCTAAGTATATCTAGTGTCTTTCTATAGGTAATCCTTGGTGTCCCAGAACACACCTTCTAATTCTTTTAAACTTTCTGAAGGTCCTGTAATAAATGAGCACAAGTTTAAATTATTGCTTTAAAAGACTGTCCTTGTGTGTTGTATCTTTGTTGCCCCTGAGGGGTAAAACAATCAGCAATTTAATGTTTTAAGTATTTTTATACTATTCTTCCTCCTGAAGAAAGGACAGAGTATAATGAAATGGACAAACAGAAAACCTTCACTTTCTCATCCAGAATATTATGGAATATTAATTACAATTCCATTTATAATTCACACAAGATGGATATTCAACACAACTAAGAATTGCTGATCTAGACACACCAAGCAAAGTTCAACAAAAAGATTTTTTTTAAAGCATCTTTACCTTGCAACTCTTTAACCTCCAAATCTGCAGAGAAAATACACAGAAATATTTTTTAGTATAAAAGCATCTTAATACTACGGTAATACTAAATCTCCATTTTCCTGAAGTTGAGGTTGGCAAGGTTCCACCCACATGCATTCCCAGTCAGATTTGATGCCTAGAGACTGTATGGATAAATCCATGCAGTTTTCTAGGCATCATTTTCAGAAATAATTTACATTGCTTTCCTCCTTCATTTGGACTGAGACTGAATGACTGGTCCTGACAAGACTAGAATTTTATTCTTCTTGCTTCTTGCCCAGCACTTTAACACTTGCGTTTCTCAACTTTGAGAACTTTAAGATGTGTGGACTTTAACTCCAGAATTCTCCTTGCTGGCTGGGAATTTTGGGAGATGAAGTCCATACATCTTAAAGTTGCCAAAATCAAGAAATAATGACCTGGACCAAGTTGTCTCTTATGGCAGTATTATGAGACTTTAGATGTATGTGTTTTAGAATGCACGTTCAGGATAATTTAGCATAAATTTAATAGCTTTATAGCTATAGTTTTTGATGCAGAGTACTGAAATATTAATATTTATACTAAACACATGAACCATCGCTCTACCTGAACCATGAACTAGAATAGTGCACAAATAAATCCTTCCATGGTGATACTGAGTGTAATGTGTTGGAAAAGATAGTAATGCAATTTCAGCGATGAAAAATGACTGAGCAATCTAAGGTAGGTCACTGTTGCCCAGCCAAACCTACTTCACAAGGTATTATTGTGAGTCAAACTTGGACAATGGAATGCTATGGCAATAAGGCTATTTAGCTTTGCAAATAGGTAACTGAAGACCTTTTACCTTCAGATTCATCTTGTCTATGGGTTGCCGAGACTTCAAATAGAGTCCTTCTGGTTTTATTTAATTGAATAAGGTTAGATAGACAAGTTCTCCTCTTAGCCTGTAGCTCTGTAGGGGCAGGTAGCATCAGCAGCTTTTCCATGGGTGGAGAGTAGCTCTTTTCAAGCACAGGTTCTTTATGGCACATTGCGGAACTCTGATTTCTATCCTGCTCATCAGAAAACAAGGTAGAATTACATTATAAATTATCCAGGCCCTATAAATGGCCTTATTTTAAAAAATGCTCCATAAACTTTGATTTCTGAAGATTTCAGCAAGACCCAACCAGTCACTCTGGGAGGGAGCATGTTGAATGTTTTGTCTGATTTGGCAGGTACACATAGAGTGAAGCATCTTGTGACATTAATTTCCTAAAATTACTGTGGGCTTCAAGAACCGCAGACTTAGAACAGCTTTCCATAAACTGAAACCACTGTATATATTATAGAGGCCAGAATAACAGTATTCTGTAAAGTACGGTTTCAGACTGACAGTGCAAGGATATTACTCTCTGAAATTTTCTACATTTAAAAACAAGCATCTTAATAATGAGAACAGGCACACTGGAAAAACTTATTACCATGTTCGCTTTTATATGCCAAGGAATGTTTATAAGTGAGAGCACTAAAAAGCCAAGGCCCTTCTCTCACCATGATATTCTGATACAATATCACCCAGAAGTCTATAGCCAACTGAATGTTGTTTGGCCACACTAAAAGCTGATGGGCAGAAAACCAGAGGACACAGTACTGAGATTTGTTCCATATGAAGGTCAAATAAAAGTCTTGGAGCTGAGGCAGGCTTTCTCTAACACAAACCTCAGGGAGCTTCATTTCAGCTACAATGAAAAGTTTACCATTTATTTATTGATAGATGGCAGCACCTTGTCAACCTTATCTGGGCCAGGAAACTATATAAAGGTTAGACCTCCACGAACTACCAAAGCTCTAAAGTAGGAAATAAAAAAGTAAGTAACATTTCCTGTAGTGAAAAGTGCATAACCACACCTATACTACACTATAAATCAAGAGTGGCTTTAAAATGTTTTTTTTTCTTTTTTTTATAGACAGGAAACTGGAGGCAGCAAAGAATAGGGTTGCAAGATCAACATATGTTAAGAAGTGGTGCTTTAAGCTTGGAGCCATCTTGATATGGGAACACATCTATTACTGGAGGAGGGAAGGGGGGGAGGAGGGATGGGAAAAATTGTTGTAATACTTGTTAAAACTTTTTAATAAAAAAAAAAGAACAACAACAAGTGACTGGTTGGTTTTTGGTTCCTGAAATATTAAATGGAGGTACTATGGAACAGTTAAAAAGGAGATGGAAACAGTTAAAAACAGTTAAAAAGGAGATAGAAACATGAGAATATTAGCTATAACTTTACCAACATTTGATGTACAAAGGAGAAGTGATAATTTTTGCTAAAAATAAGGCATATGAGTTGAATAAAAGAAGAGGAAATTAGAATTTATTGGGTCTGTTCCCCAACTACAAGGTACTGCAGCTGGTGTCATCTTATCTGTTTGTATTGCTGGTGTACACAAGTTTAGTTCTTAATAAAGTACTAATGACTTGGATCATTAATGGATGAAGCCGTTTACCTTACATTATATCTGTGATTTGCATAAGGCAGTGTTTATCAACTTTAAGATTCATGGACTCGAACTCCCAAAATTCTTAAAGTTACCAGGGTTGAGGTTGAGAAACACTGACATAGAGACATGGTTGTGGTTCCAGCTAAGTATTCTCTCTAAACTATCTAGCTAAGCATTAAAATGGGCCTGAGGATTGGAGAAAATGGGTACTGGGCACCTATAAGACCTCTCTCTCTCAGCTTCTTCTTCATCTGAGAACCAGTTTTAAATGTCTTTGGAGAAATCAGTTACGTATTATCAATCATCTCCATGTTTTATCTTCTTAAAGATTAATTTATCCAGCTTGTATTGTGTTTATAAATACCTCAAGGCAGTAAACATATCTAATATTCCTCCCACATCCTATTTTCCTCACAACAACCCCCTGGGAGGTGAGTTGGGCTGAGAGTGAGTGACTGGCTCAAAGTCACCCAGCCACCTTTCATGGCTAAGGCAGGACTAGAACTCCTGATCTCTTGGTTTCTAGTCCAACGCCTTAACCATTAGACTAAACTGTCTTTCTAAATTAATGGAAGTAGTCTCAACTTTAATGTTGAGAATTATCAAGATGATTGTTTTGAATGGATCTGAACACACAGGCCTATTTGGGGTTTCATGGACAAGAGTTTGAGCACTAAAGTCATTTTGATTGTGCTGTGACCTTTGCCAGGACTTTCTAAAGGCTTTTAATACTACTGACTGGTGTGGTGCTTCATCTTGCTGTCAGTGGCATTCTATCTTGGTACTTTCACTCCTGGATGATTGCCATCATAGGGTGATTCCAGGAAATACCTATTTTGATTACAGCACAGTCACACTTTAGCAATACTAATATAGATTGGGATTCAGGAAATGAGCCATCAGAATCAGAAGAGGTTTAAAGAGTAGATCTACTAGCTTTCACATAATAGGTAAAGCTTTTAGGGTAGGAGATAATATGATCACATCACTGATAAAAATGATGTAACTGGATTTTACTTTTTTTGCAAACATGGTAAAAGTTTTAAATAAATTTACAAGGATCAAGTGTCACTAGACAAAAAATAAACAAGACATCAAAACATAAAGTCTATTTACCTCTTCCTTAACAGTCAGCAGAAGTTTAATAGGATTGCCATTCTCTGCCTGCTTAAATGAAGCCATGAGAATATCAACTCTCCAGTCATCTTCCCAAACCAAACATCTGCTCAAGCAAACACAGACACATGAATCTAAGATTTATATATTTATTGAATCCATAAATCCCTATCTCATATTTTGAGCAGTTTAAAAATTAAAATAATAGGAACCAAAGACAAACAGGACACTCAGAACAGATGGGACAGGTAGATATAACCAGGGAGAGCCCAAATAACCTGGCCCCGTACCATGTAGGGCTTTAAAGATCAAAACCATAACCTTGAATTTAACTCAGAAGCAGGCTGGCAGTCAATGCAACTTGCAGAGAAGAGGTATAAAATGTTCAGAGCTGGGGCACACAGTAGCCTATGCTGCTGTATTTTGCAGCAATTGAAGCTTTTGGATGCACTTCAAGGGCAGCTCTATGTAGAACACCTTAGAGTAGTTTGTTCAAGTGGTGACCAGGGAATGACTGGTTGAGCGTAGAGCCCTTCTGATCAAAGAACAGGTGCAATTGGTACACAACACAAACTTGTGCAAAAGTGATAGTAGCCATGACTGCCAACTGGTCCTTGAACAGAAGTTATGAATCCAAAAGGATCCCAGATTGTGAACAGGATCCATCTGGGGTAGTGCACCAAAGATACTAAATTTTCAGATGCAGAAAGCTCCAAAACCTAAAGCCACTCAGTTTTGCTAGGGTTGAGCTGATATCTGTTGTTCCCCATCCAAATCCCCAACAGAAACTTTCAAGAGCATTGCATATTTCACCATGGTGGAGATGTACAGATGGCTATCACCAGCATACTGATGACACCTCAGCCAGCAACTTCATGTAGATCTTAAACAAGAATAAAGAGACTACTGAACTTGCAGAATCCCACACAGTAGAGGCCCGGGGCACGACCCCTCCCTCCCAATCCACATGATTGGAATCTGCCACAGAGGAAGGAAGAGAAGCAGAGCAAGACAGTGCCACTTACTCCCAATCCCTAACACTGATCCAAAAAGATACCATGGTTGGATGATATTGAAGGTTACCAAGAGAACATGCTTTGGTAGAGCAAAGATGGATGTTCTAACCTCATCCTGTTCCCATCAGAGGTCACCCCAAAATGTGACCAATGCTATTTCAGGCCCAAGCTGTGGCCTGGGGCCCTAGTGAAAGGGACCCGACTGGAATTTACCTGGTTTCAGATCCCAGCTTGCCAATTCTTTGTGGCTTAATATCTGGATTTATTAATACATCCACAGTAATGCTAGTTTTCTGAGAATAGTGGCTCCAGTCACCCAATCCGAAGATCACAACCTGTTTTGGCAAAGGAAGCGGCAAGCGAGTCTGGTAGCATTTCCGATGACAATTGCTTAGAGGGGATAGAATATAAAAATTACTTTAGAAGAGGGAAATAGCTGGGCAAACTGAAGAATGAAGTGGTAAGACATAAGTGAAGTAGGTCAACAATAACATTTGATAACACCTAGGAATCTAATGTAACAAAGCCAATTTTTCTATTGATTCTGTTTGTAAGGATCCCTTGTTTTCCCCATTCCCAAATTTGAGAAAAAGTTAAAACAAGCAGTTGAACTGAGTAAATTAAACAACTGATCCCATAGTTAGAACACAAGTTTTAGCAAAAGAGTCTCTACTGCTTTTCTGGCTGCTATGAACATCTAATAGCTTCCAGATATTCAGATATTTAACTTCACCTCTGTATAGCACCAAAAAGGAGGCAACTGTCTCCTATTAAAAACATTGCTTTTATAAAATAATAATGGTAGTAATAGTAATGGACTTTTTAAAGACATTCATAAAGTATTACACAAGCTTGCAGAATAACTAGAAAAGCAAAATTGAGTTAACAATACACAGTAGAATGTGTGCAGGTAAATAAGTACAAGCATGCTTACTTTCATCTTTGAAGCAACATTTTAAAATCAGGTTGACCTGCTGAACTATCAGAAGTTTTTCAGATTAACCATAAATTATTGGATAAACCATTCATGCACCACACTGAGGCAAATGAAGCACACTGTTACTTAATAACAGAATAACAGAGTTGGAAGGGACTTTCTCCAGGAGTATCAAACTGGCAGCCAGCCAACCCCAGCTCTGCAAAGGGAAATGTCGCGAAATATCACATGACGGCAACATGACACCCCAAGTTTGACACCCGTATTCTAGTCCAACCCCCTGCTCAAGCAGGAACCCCATATCATTTCAGATAAGTGGTTGTCCAATCTCTTCTTAAAAACCTCCAGTGCTGGAGCACCCACAACTTCTGAAGGCAAGTTCTTCCACTGAATAATTGTTCTAATTGTCAAGAAATTTCTCCTTAGTTCTAGGTTGGTTCTCTCTTTCATTTGTTTCCACCCATTGCTTCTTGTCCTGCCTTCAGGTGCTTTTTTTTTTTTTTTAATTTGATTTATATGCCGCCCTTCTCCGGAGACTCAGGGCAGCTTACAATGCGTTAAGCAATAACCAAAAATATCCTTTGGAGGATAGCTTGACTCCCTCTTCTTTGTGGCAGCTCCTTAGCTATTGGACCGCTTGTATCACGCACCCCTAGTGCTTCTTTTCATCAGACTAGCCATACCCAATTCTTGCAACCGTTCTTGGTATGTTTTAGCCTCTAGTCCCCTAATCATCTTTGTGGCTTTTCTCTGCATTTTTTCTAGAGACTCGACCTCCTTTTTTTATATCGTGGCGACCAAAACTGAAGTTGAAATTTGAATAATAATAATAATAATAATAATAATAATAATAATAATAATAATAATAATAATAATAATAGAGTAACAAAAGCATAGTTACCGAGACCGTTTTTAAAAAATAAATGGGGAACGCTCAACGTAAATAAATTGTCAACATTGCAAAGGCAACTCGGTTGCTTGCTTTGAGGGTTATAGCAGCAACCTAACGTTGCCTTTCCCAATTCATCTTCTCGGCGCGGGGCATTGCGCGCAGCCCCGGAGACCTCACCTACTCAGCTGCCGGGGCGGCTCGCGCAGAGACCACACCACGTAGAAGTCGACTTTGCTGTTCACCGGGGCGAAGTCAGCGCGTTGAGACTGAGGGGCCGAGGCAACTTCTCGATGCCACAAGCCCCCAGCAGCCCAGCTCCAGCGACGGAGAGGAGTTTTCCACCCATCGAAAGCCAGGAAATTGGAGGCAGCAGAAAACATGGCCTGAGGTCTGGATGGGGGAAAGGGTTAGGGGGGGAGTGGAAGCGGGAGGGGGTCCTAGATTTGGGGGAAACGGCAGTGGGCCGATTCGGTTCAAGACCGTTAAGGAAGGCTGCCGAGTGTTTGCTGGTTCACGCGTTCCTGGGTAAACTCGAGAATCGCACAACTTCCTGACATCTTTATTAACTGCAGGTGTAACACAGCCGGCACCGGTTCTTTTGCTTAAAGAGGCTGTGCTGGTTTATGTAGTAACGGGGCAAAAACCAAGAATTAAATGGCCCAGCGCTTGGCTTTGAGAAACCTCACCTCATCTTTGTTGCTTGTATCTTACTATATATATATATTATTTACTTAGTATCCTAGTATGATTTATGTTGATTGCTTATGTAGTATCATGACTATCACTAAGTGTGGTATCTAATGTTTTATGATGAATGTATTTTTACAATAACTATGATATGACTGTAACTTTGTTGCTTGTATCCTTACCATTTATATTGATATTGTTTCCTGATTGCTTATTTGTAATGATAGCTAACACTATCATTAAGTGTTGTACCTTATGATTCTTAATGAACGTACCTTTTTTTTTTTATGTACACTGAGAGCATATGCACCAAAGACAAATTCCTTGTGTGTCCAATCACCCTTGGCCAATAAAAAATTCCATTCTATTCTATTCTATAATGATCTATCACTATTGTTGGATGTACACTGAGAGCTCATGCCCCGGAGACAAATCCTTTGCATGTCTAATCACACTTGGCCAATAACAAATTCTATTCTATTCTATTCTATTCTATTCTATTCTATTCTATTCTATTCCATTCCATTCCATTCCATTCCATTCCATTCCATTCCATTCCATTCCACGTTATTGCTTCTAGTGAAATAGGTGGTAATACTATGGCAAGGAAAAATACTGGAATTCTGGAAGTCCACCCATCTTCAAGCTACCAAGGTTAAGCAACACTGATTTAGAGGATGAATCCTATTGTGTGACTGACTAGAACAGTGGGTCTCAACCTTCCTAATGCCCCGACCCTTTAATACAGTTCCTCATGTTGTGGTGACCCCCAACCATAAAATTATTCCTAAAACCATTGAAAATATGTGTTTTCTGATGGTCTTAGGCGACCCCTGTGAAAGGGTTGTTTGACCCCCAAAGGGGTCCCGACCCACAGGTTGAGAACCACTGGACTAGAAGAAATCTTGGACAGTCCTCTGTAGCTCCTCCTTATTTTGGGATTTGTGTGTGTCTAGCCAGATGGACACACTTCCTACCAATTCCAAGAACAGTTATTGGGCCCAAAGGCAAACTCAGAGTTAATAGGATCTGGAACCATGTCAGCTTCTTGGGTTCTTTTTTTTTTTTTAATCTTAAAGTAATTTTTTTTAAGTCAAATGAGGGCAATGGGTTATAAGACGTTATTCTAAAAGGTTAAGCTAAGAAAGAGTAATTGCATCATTTAGGATTTTTTAATAGCTGAGAATGTGATCCATTATATACTTTTGAGTCTAAAATGTTGTTCCTATTTAGCTGAACAAAAATAAAAATAGAACACCACTAGGACCAAGCTTCAAAGGGCTGCAAGGAAGAAAACAATATTCCACTGAAAGTATTTAGCAGTGTCTCATTGGAAACACTTTTGGGAGGGACAGCTCAACCACAAGGTCACCTAGTCCACTGTTCAGCAGGGTTACTGTAGCCACAGCTTTTGAGCTGAAATCCAGAGCTGTTGCTTTATGTAGGTGGAAAGAATATGCACAATTAGTTTCTATTTGAGTTACTCTCAAATGCAGAATATTGTATCCAGTAGAGTTACTTGAAAACAAGGAAGGCCCTTGGAAAGTACTTAGAGCCAGCTTGGAAATACAGTACTTTCAGGCATCAATCACTGTAATAAAATGTCTCTGTTGCATTTTGTATGCATTTATTTATAATTATTGTTATAAATGCATATTAAGCCATCCATATGTTTGTCTTGGGAATTTTTTCTTTCCTCAACATTTTCTAGGTTCTCACAAAAGTTTGCGACAAGGAGTCTTATAAGAAATATTTATACATAAGAAACATTTATACAAACCTATTTTATTACCTATCAGCAATTATTACTTGAACACTTATGAGTTATTTATGTCAGAAACAGCTATAAATGTTTGGTATTATTAAAAACCAGGGAGACAACCCATGACTCTTTCGATCACCCTTTCAGAGATATTTCCTTACCAGATTCCTCAATGCCTTCAGTAGAAATTCTAATGCAGAGGTCCCAACCCATGGTCCATGGACTGGCACCGGTCAGCAGCTTGCCAGCAACCAGGCCGCACAAACAAGTGAAGCCCCATCCATGGGATGCAGGCAGTATGCAAAACCATCCCCCCTCCAGTCTCTCCATGGAACCTGTCCCTGATGTCCAAAAGGTTGGGGGCTATTGTTCTAATTGTACTGCCTTCACTGGAAAAGCTGGGACACATTCAAAGATGTATGTTCCTTGAAAATAGCCCAAGTTGAAGTGTATAGCACAGTCAACCTTTAGCATAGAAAATGTTTTATTTGTGTTATGTCATAAACTGTTTAATGATATATATATGTTAATTTTTTAATATTTTTATTAGTAGTTCAAAATTAAAAACATTGGACATAGATATGACATCACTTTTAATTCACTTTTAATGTTTTAATTCGCAGGCCAAATTTTTATACTCGATTTTAATTGGTTTTAAATTTTATAAATCTATGTGTTTTAATATGGCTGTATACCGCCCTGAGTCCTTCGGGAGAAGGGCGGTATAGAAATCTAATAAACTTAAACTTATCACTGATCCCAAGCATCTTCCAACACTTTAAACTAATACATAATATACTAATGATAATATAATAATATATTCCTTAGACCTTATACGTTATTTAAACATAGTATAATAATAGTAATTTATACCTTATTCCTAAACATATACATATCTATACCTACATATAATTCTAGTCTAACACTACACATTTGTCTCAGCTATCCTTTTATCTAACCTTTCGTAGAATTTTGCCCAGATTTTATAGTACAATGTTTTGCTTTTATCCTTGAATTCCAAGGTGAGTCTATCTATTTCTGCGCAGTTGAAAAAAATTTTTCCTCTTCAGTTGGGGTATCGTTCTCTTTCCACTTCCGCGCAAAGGCTATCCATGCCGATGTAAGTATATGCAGTAATAGATAATTTATGTCTTTCTTGTATTTGTCCTCTGTTATTCCCAAAAGGAAAAAATCCGGTTTGACTTCTATGTTTATTAACAAAATTTCTTCCAATCAACTCTTTATCAGATTCCAATATTTTTTTGTCTAATTGGGTGATCTCACCCAATTAAAGGTTACAGGAACAAGATCTTTATATAGATAGTATAGTGTGTAGCAGAAATACGAAAGGAAATAGAGAAATAGTATTTGGATTATTGATACATCAGAATAGCATTGAGAATATAGGACAGTAACAATTTACATCATTTATGTAATAATGTTGGGTTAAGTAATGTGATTGTTATTGTGGTTCTAAGCATATTTCTTTATCATTAAATAATTATCCTGCTAGTTGTAAGAATGGAAAATCTTATGCAAGATACTGAAAGTTTGCATGTTCACTACCACATCTGCACTATCACTACCACACAGGATATCCTGCTCAGCCCTCTAACCTCTGCAAGATTATAAAATGATTAACCACACAGGGGTAGGTGAAATGAAGTGGTTCTATTAGCATGCCTTTGTCTATTATTTTCTTGTTTTGTTTTTTTATATTTTAATGTTTTTATAATTATAGCAGTTTTACATATTTATCAATTGTTTTTAATTTTGTTGTACATGTCCACAGTCGCTTTTGGTGAGCTGGGCAGCTATATAAATAAGCTAAATTAGATAAATAATAATTAAATAAAACCACATACTTTCTGATCTAACTATTACAAAGCAATATAGATGTCAGGGTTCCAAGTAACATCCCCCAACAAAAGAAGACTCTGAGGCTTGAAGTTCCTCAGTTCCATTTTATTAGAGATGTCATATTGGCACATCTGGGAAAAAACCCGAATCTGAAAGCTTTCAGGTTTTCCCCACCCAACAGAAAGTCCAAGTCCCTGCCCAGCACCCACAAGTTCATCACATGGCCCAATCAAAGCACTGTCCCAACTGGAGAGGTCTCCCAATTCCAACCCTCCAGGTCCAGGGCAAGATGTCCTTGACTCTCTGAGAAAGGAATGTTATTATGACTATATATCATCCATGCTCCATCCAACCCCCCCTCCCAGTTTCTCACAGTAGGAAATGTGGCAGGCTTGAAGGCCCAATGCAAAAGATGGCTTCCAGGCCTGACAGCCCACCTCCCCTCAGAAGATCATGTCCTGCAACGAGAATAATACAGGAGGTTAATTCAAAAGACTAACCACCTTTCCACCCCCTACCCCCCACCCCCGGGGACCCTTTGGCTTATCAGGGTATTTATCATGGAATTGTTTTACTATGGAGTCCTAGTGGACAATCACTTAAATATGAGCCAGCTGTGTGTTGCAGTTGCCAAAAAAGCCAATGCAGTCTTACGCTGTATTAACAGAGGGATAAAACCAGGATCACATGAAGTGTTAATACCACTCTCTAATGCCTTGGTAAGACCACACTTGGAATACTGCATCCAGTTTTGATCACTATGATATAGAAAAGATGTTGAGACTCTAGAAAGAGTGCAGAGTAAAGCCACAAAGTTGATAAGGGGATTGGCGGCTAAAACATACAAAGAACAGTTGCAGGAATTGGATATGTCCAGTTTAATGAAATGAAGGGCTAGAGGTGACATGATAAGTGTTCCAATATCTAAGGGGCTGCCATAAAGAAGAGGGGTCAACCTATTCTCCAAAACACCTGAAGGTAGAACAAGAAGAAATGGATGGAAATTAATCAAGGAGAGATGCAATCAAGAACTAAGGAGAAATTTCCTGAGAGAAGTATTAATCAGTGGAACAACTTGCCTCCAGAAGTTGTGGGTGCTCCAACACTGGAGATTTTAAAGAAGAAATTGGACAACAATTTATCTGAAATGGTATATGGTTTCCTGCTTGAGCAGGCAGTTGGACTAGAAGATCTCTAACGTCCCTTCCAACTTGGCTATTGTTATTCTAACCGCTGCTGAATGGAGAGCTATCTGCTGCCTATTTTTCAAGTGTACTTGTAATATATTCTAAACACTGCTGATGTAATCTATCAGTACAAAAAGATGCAGCCTTTAAGCCAGTGGTGGGTTGCTCCTGGTTCAGTCCGGTTCTTGCGAACTGGTAATAACGGCGTCGGGAGGCTGTGCCCACCTGGCCGGACATCATCACGGATGACCTGCGCATGTGCAGAAGCTTCTGTGCATGTGCAGAAGTGCGTACGTGCCCGTTGCAAACCGATAGCAGAGGTAAGTAGAACCCACTCCTGCTTTTAGCTTACATGTAACAACTGTATAAGGCTAATCTTTTTGCCGTCACGTCCAAAAGTGGGTGGAGCATGGGAGATTGTGCGTGCATGTGCGCACACCCATAATTTAATGCCCCCCACACCCCACCCCCTGGACATGCATGCGTGACCCCACCCCATGCTCCCCCATGCTTTTGGCACGTGACAGCAAAAATGTTACCGGTGGGACTGGAATGCCCATTTTTCGCCCTCTCCAGGCTCCAGTGGCTTTCTTGGAGCCTGGGGAGAGCGAAAACGGCTTCCCCCACCCCCCAGAGGCCCTCTGGAAGCCAGAAACAGCCCGTTTCCTGACTTCTGGTGGGCCCGAAAGGCCTGAAAATCAGTTGGCCGGTGCACACATGCGCGCTGGAGCTGAGCCAGAGCAACGCTCGGGTGCCCACAGATATGGCTCCGCGAGCCATCTGTGGCACGCGTGCCATAGGTTCGCCATCACAGGTATAAGGTTTGAAAAACTTTCGTGCTGAATGTAATCCATAACCAATTGTTTAAATAGAAGGAGAAAAACAGAAGACTTTGCAGAATGATGAAAATCTTTAATGAAATAACTTTTTAAAAGTCAAATGCAGTCACAAAACCATGGTTCTAAACAATGTAACGAATATCAATCAAATTCTGAAAGAAACAGCAATACAATTAGACAGACTTTATTTAACCTGTACTAGAATAATCAACCCAGTGCCATAACTTGTAAAATGCCTTCTCCATTTAAGAAAAAATGTTTGGGAGAGTAAGAGAATGTAAACCAAATTGTTAAGAAAATTGTATAAAGAAGTTCACTGCAGAATAAAAATTTTATATTTTATATTATATTTATATGTACTATATTTTATATAGTACAAAATAGAACTGAATTTCATCTGAAGGGCATATTTTCATTATAGGCCAATCATTTTAAACTACAAACCAGTCTATTTGTTTTATTTCAAAGATTTCATGTTATTGATAAAAATGCACAGAATAATCCTTTATTCTTGTTCTCAGGGACAATATTGTATATTTGATAAAGCTTAGACCTGCTAAGTATAAGTTTAGTTCCATTAAACCCAGCAGAAAGCAAATTCTGGAAAGAAATAACAGTTATACCTTTATAAATTGAATTAATCAAAATGTTATTGAAGTCTAAATATTAAAATATTTTCTTTTGATGCCAAACTATCAGAAATACCCATGGACTAGCAGGCCTTGTTAATATATTGGTATTAAATTACAATGTATTTTCTGACATACCAATCTGACATCTTTACAGAGCTCACTTTTAACCATAATTACTTAGAAATAAATCTTATAGACTCTGAGAGACCTGCTCCCAAATTAATTTATTTAGAATTGCATCTATGCATTTCTAGACTTATTATTTTGAAACTAAACCATTTTAAAAGGCTATATTCTACAGTCAAATAAATCTCATGGACTCTTAAATCAATATAAGCAAATTCATTGTTTTAATACTATTCACTATACTGTAAATGCTTTTGGTCCACCACAATTCCAAAAATTTAGTCTCGATTTTGCTTAATCAGCCTTTGTGTGTCCTCTAAAAAAATAGCCCACTTGCAGTACAGTTATTACTAGAAAAGTTACCCAACTCTATGATAAGCAAATCAACAGTGGTTATAAAATGTTTTAAGATCAGACAATGTCTCCCTGATTTCTCAGTAATCAATTTAAGATTCAGATTGCATGAATTTTGATCTTATGTTATGAAGATTAAGGGATAAAACAAAATGCTTCTTATTTAAAGTAAGATTTACCATGAAGTTGTCAGTGAACTCTCTACTTTGAACTGTTCCCAAATTGCCTCAAGATGGCTTTCATGCTCTGTATCTATAGAATTCTACTGGATCTACGAGGACAATAAGAGGAATATGTCTTGAAAATACAAGTCCTCATAGTGCAAGAAGACTTACAGGACAATGCTGTATAGGAGGTCTGCTTAGAAACAGGCCCAAATTTTAATTGGATTTTAGTGCACTTGGGACTGTAGCAATCATTTCATATCAGAATTATTCATGAACCAGGATTTTGGCAATTATCTCTTAGTTAAAAGGAGACAAACAAAGCAGTATCAATAATATCTTATCTCCAATCCCATCCAAGATTAGTTCCAATTTCTCAGTTTAGCTTGCTCGTCAGTAGTTAAAGAGGAAATACACCAAATTATACCTAATTAAAACAAATACGTGGGCTGAGTACATTGATATGATTAAAGTGTATCTTAAGTGGAAGTAAAATGAGTTTAAAATGCTTAATTTATGTATTGGAATCAACTAGATCCTGTTTTCCATTTTAAGTTGTCATATATTGCATATACAATTATTTATTTGTGCTACTTCTTTACACTACCATATGAACATGGCCAGGCTGATATTTCCCATACATTATGGGACAATCATACATTATTTTATTATAACATTTCTATTACACTTTAACCTCTCAATCTAAAATAATAGGTAATTTACCTCAAGTGAAATTATATTTCTATTTTCATCTACAACAATGCATGTTGAATGTTGAAAATTTTCTAGCATCAATTTCAGGCAAGGATAACTGCTCATCTAAGCATTTTCCACATATTTCATTAGCATGTGGTTACAGAATTTTACGTCTGCAATCCAAAAAGCACATACAGCTTTATAATTTTTCACAGTAGAGAAACAAACCACAGAAATACTTTGACTTGGCCTGAGATTAGTTAGTCTTTGGATAAGAGGTACAGTAAAGCTCATGTGCATATGTGTGTATATACAACTCATACATGGAGAAGGAATATTACACACTATACCTGATTCATCAAAAGAGTATAAACTCTAAGATGTGCTCTATCTGGAACGTTAAACCTTCTGTTTAAAGAGCATTTCATCATTATTTTGCAAATTAATTTCCTTAGTCAAATGAGCAAAGTATTCATATAAAGGGCAGTCAATTTTAAACTGATTAGTTCAGTAGGAACAAATCTGAAAGTCACTGTCATTAAACAGAGAATGGAAAGGAAGGCACGAAGGCTTTTGCTCAGCTGATATCTACCAGAGTTTTAACTTGCTCCACATTTCAATCTTTTTCTCTTTTCTAAAAATCCATTCCTCTGCAGGTAGAAATGATACTGTAATTTCAACAGCAATCCACTAACCTTTTAGAAGATACTGTGGGACTTAAGAACAAATGCAGTTGCTTTCCTGCGAAAGATGTTTATGTTACTCAAGAGTTAAAAATAGAGCTCTGTAATTAAAGTCAACACAAATTTGCATATTTAAAATATATACCTTTTCTTTTTTTTGTATTTCTTCAAGAAAACATTAGCCAAAGCAAACAAATCTGTTTCATTTTCTGAACTCTAAACAAAGCAAACTCTTTGGGTTGAAAATGAGGACAAACAGTGAGCTTCATTTTTTCTACAGTGTGGGACATGTAAAGGATAAGCTTTAATTGAAAATGATTTCAACAATAACATGAATTTACAAACGGGGGAAGGGAGAGAATGTTAAATGTTGCTCATAAGTTTTACAACAAACAATTCAGTGGCTCTTCCTATGGGGGTCCTTCAAGTCTGTTTTCAAAAATCAACTCTGAATCAGAAAATCCATTTGTACTATAGTTTTCCTTCTTCCACCAAATGTCCTTCCTGTTCTAAAGTACAATAAAGTTATTGTACTTTAAATGCTGTAATTGTTTCTCCAATCTCATCTTAAATAATTAAAAAATGGGAAGGAGTAGCCATTTTGGATTTCCTCTTTAAAGTTAGTAGTACATATTTATTCATTTCCCATTTCAAATCTGAAAACATTGAGTTTATTTCCCAATTTTTTAAAAAAGCCTGAGATAGGAGTCGATTTCATTTCCTCTATGTATATTTCTCACTAAAAATATGGCAGAAATAGAAAATCGCCAAACTTCAACAAAAACACCTCTTAGGAACATTGTCCAAGATCTACTTCTTACAATAAATATTTGTTGTAAGTAATCATGCAGAGTTAAGCATCCTGGACAAACATCACAAGAAATAGCAGCTTTAAAAAGGCCTGCTCAAATCCGCCCCGAAATCTTAAGTATATTTATGTCTTCTGCTATAGAGACAACATGAGCTGTACATATACATTCTATAAAACCTGAGCTATGAAAGATAATGATTGCCAACTGGTAACTGCAACAGGTAGCTCTGCTATACTATGCTTATGCTACATTAAATATTGGCAGTGATTTTGAAGTTTGAATAAACAACAAAGGTGTAAAACAGAGCTGTCAAACTCATGGCCCATAGATCAGATGTGTCACGTGCTGGCCACACCACCTGGTTTAGCGAAGGGGAAAAAAGTCCCGATACATCACAGGACTCAGCTAGTTTGACACCCCTGATGTAAAAGAAAAATACTTTCTGATTGTTTAAAGACTCAGTAATATTTTACATGAGCATGGGGGCTTTTGTGGACCACTCTTCCATATAAATTACAAAATCATCGCTGAAAGTAAACACTTGTAACAGACCAAAGGACTAATTTGTGCCTGCCCATTGTAATATAGTTCAGGATTGCTTTTTGTCATTGGTATTTTGTGTCTGTCTGGCTATTGGTATAGTAACTATTAAGTGCTTGTGTAATACATTTAAAATGTATAAAGTCTTCTTGCTCCTGGAAATGTTTGCTCCTAGGAATCTGGAAGCACTATGGTAAATATACATAAATTGCTTCCATTTAGTATCTAGATAAATGAAATAGACATTTCCTGGCTTGGTTTGGTTTTAAATTAGGCTCCAAGAACATGTTTGAAAAAAAACATTTGGAATTTCACCAATTTTTACTATACTTAAATGTTGCCAAATGTTGCCAATAGAACAGCATATTGTGCCCCCAAAACTATGAATTCTGGAACTGGAGAAGCCTTTGTTGATGTCTGCTTCCCGAATAATTCATCAAAAGCAGAACTGAGAGGGTATGCTTTTTTCTTTTAAAGTTACCATATGTTGTTCTCTTATTGAAAGAGAATGATGCAGTTTGGATGCTATCCAGCCAAGCTTTAAAATATATACAAACAACTGAGCAGATGACCATTTATGGGAGGCAGATGAGAGAAGTCAGCTTGCCAGTGGCCTGAGTAGGCAATGCACGTACCATTCTACAAGATCTCCACTACAAAGCAAATGGCAGTGTACAATATCACAGTAACAATGTAGTTCTGGGCAGAGTTCTATAGGCTGCTTTGGCAGCTGATTCCAGTCACTATTTGTAGCCAGAAGAGTAGGAGGAGATAATATATATAATTTCAAAGAAAAGGCATGTTTTAACTTCAGTTCATGTAAGTGCAATCAAAAGAAAAACAGACATCTTATGCTTGCTTTAGGTAACTTGCTTTCTGTTATTAATTTTTGTTTTTTTGCTTTGTGTCTGCATACAATGAAGTGGAACTGCTAATGATTGTTTCCTCCATTTTGGACAATGGGACAAATAGGAAGGCTATATAAAGAAAATTTGGCCATCACAAGATATACATATTAGTCTTGGCAACAAAACTATTTACTTTTTTAGGTGGTATAATAAACATGAAAAAAAAGAATCTTGTTGCGTAGGAGAGAATAAGAATTGTCAAATTTGAGCAAGTAGATGCCCTCCCCTGGATAATCATGGCTGCCTATTTGCACTTCTTGGTGGCTGTCCCTTCGGTAGACTGGCATGATCTCCCCATAACGGTTACGCAAATAGCTTTTGGCTCCTTTTTCCACATCGCCAACAGGAATAGGACCTGAGAAGGGAAATGCACAACATATATATCAGCTATAAAAACCAATAGGAGGAAGTCATATTCAGGATTGTGGATCTAACTAAAGAAGTTTACACGCAGAGAACATCATCACAGGTTTCAAATCATCTGGAGATTTTCATATTTATACTGGAACCTGAGAAAGTTCTAGTCGTGTCATTTAAAAAAACAAACTACAACCTTAAACTGTTTTATAATTAAAGAATATAAAATACATTGAATCTCTAAATATTGTCATTATTTATATGTATTATTAATTATATGTATTATTTTGCACATTGCATGATTGATTAAAAAATAAAAAATAAAATGGGAATGATTTTCCTCCCCTTGTCATTTCATCAAATGAGCCTTTTAAGCGGCCCATTTTATTCCATAATAATAACAGTGATGCTCATCAGTATGAGAGAGGAAGCAATAAGGAACAGACTGATCTCCATGTTCCATGCATTGATTTATTCCAATGTTTACATTCCAACTTCTAGCAGATGAGGGATTTTCTATATTATACTGCAACAGAAGCAAGAAAAGGGTGAGACAATTTCTGCAGCGATCCTACATTTATAGAATTCTTCCCTGAGTTACGGGGAAAGAACTCTTGCTAGTTTTATGGGAAGATGTGTAAAGTTTATTAATTTCAGAGGACTGTGAATGTGCCTATAGATCCTATGACTGAGGAATGTCATCAGTGGAGTCCTGGAATCATATTATTATTTAAATTTGGACATTGCCCAATTCCCAGTGAGTCTAGGCAATTCACAAAATAAAAAAACCCAACATAACAATAAAGCTATATAACAATGAAGCAAAAGGAGTAAAAAGAGGGCAACAATGACAAACATACACGCATAACACCTTAGCCAAAAATCCAGGGATAGGCCTTTTCATCACTAATCTCCTTAGAACAGCACCCTCCTTGAAGTCTGAATGGCCCAAACTCTGATGATATGTACACTTTAACTTTATTTGCAGAGGTTGACATTCAAGCTGCTCAGAGTTGGCAGTGTTTGGAGCCACAATTATATCCATAAATGAATGGACATATTTATGAATAAATAAACACCTTTTATTATCAAGATTTATTAAATTGTCCTGCTTGATAGTCTGTGGAATAGTTTGAAGACTAATGGCACAGTTCAAATGAACTCAAAGTAATTAAGAAATTGTGTTCTTTAACTCAAGTTAAAGAGGTTATGCTTGCTTAAGAGACTATTTGGGACATAATGGTTTTTCATATTTGTTTATTAAATTTATACATCACTATCGAAGACATGACATACCTTCAAATTCTTCTTCTTCATCTTCTTCATCACTTGATTCACTGACCTGAACAGTAATGGCAGTACTAGTAATAGGAGTCCAATCAAAATAAACTCCAAACCCAATGTCATAATCTTCTGTAGCAAATTCCCAGCAGACGCGCTTCCCATCAGGATGGGTGGGCACCCGGACTGTTAATACTTCACCCCGTTTCACTAGCATTCGGGCATTCTTCTCCTTTGCCATCTTTGTTTTAAACTCCCTTATCTTAGAATTTGTCCAGATAGTGGGGGGAAACAATGGAGGTGGCCGAGCTGGAAGAAAGAAGGATGTTTTTATAACATAGATGCTGATAGAATTTTTAACAAGACTGGATATTCTAATTACAAGATTTCCCTTTTTTCAAAAGGAATTAGGTTTTTTAATCCCTCTCTCATCTGACAGTTTTTCTTCTAAGAGTCTTTTTAACTGGCTGAATCTATTCTTTCAGTGACTTGCCCATACTGCCATACACTGTATAATGACTTAATTAGACATCTTGGCACAGCAAAGTTTCTAAGAACAAATTGGATGATAAAGGTGTATAAATGACCACTACAATAGGAGCCTGGATAGCTCAACAGACTAAAAGCCTGTTATTAACATTCAGCTGTCTGCAATTACTGCAAGTTCGAAACTCACCAGGCTCAAGGTTGACTCAGCCTTCCATCCTTTCTAAGGTAGGTAAATTGAGGACCCAGTTTGTGGGGGCAATAAGATGACTTTGTATAAAATATACAAAAGTATGAAGGCTATTGTTTAACGCATTGTAAGCCGCCCTGAGTCTCCGGAGAAGGGCGGCATATAAATTTAATTTTAAAAAAAATGTGAGCCATATAAAATTGCCATACTTAAAATTTTAAAAACCCATTGACTATTCGCTATGAGATCACTATCATTTCATCCCAAGCATTAAAATTAAGTAATGTAACAACAATCTCAACTCTGTTTTGGTCCTGCCTTATTTCAGATTTTTGTGGATTTCTTTTTCTGCCATAATACTCTTTTATAATAGCAATAATTATTTATTACATTTATATACTGCCCAACCTCCAACAACTCTTGGGAATTACAGATTGAAAACTTTAAACACAAGAAAAAATACAATAGACAAAAAAGAGTAAAGGTGGAGTGACAAAAAACTACGTTGGAACAAAATTTCCAATTTATTTATTATTAAAGATGTATGCTGTCCATCTCCTTGGAGGCAAGTCTAAAATAAATAAACCCATAGTTCAAAGGGAGGAGTTCACCCTCACCAAATAAATATAGTGTTATAGCAAAATTTGAAATAATATAAGAGCTAAATAAAAAAGAATTTTAAAAAAAATCTAATCAAGGGTAGAAGTTATATACAACAAAACAAAAAATGGAAAAACTAAAAACTAAATTAAACAGCAAAGAATCAAAATCTTTGATGCTGCTTTTTTAAATATGAACATTTCAAAACTGACTATAAATCTTAGTATACTCTACCACAAAACAGCTCAAAACTTGCAAATTTCTTCAATAGAACGCTAGCTACTGATCCATACGAAGACATAGTAGTGAAAGCATGATCCTTACCTTTCTTCTGTTCACTTAGAAGATCTGTAGTTTCTAGCTCTGCAGACAGGATGTCTACTGCACCTGTATATTCAGACTGTATCATGATTATATCACCTGGTCCTTGTGGTGCAGAGAATTTTGTCACCTGCAGTATAGCTTCCTATATAGACAAATGTATAGAATATAAAGTATACATAAAATACAATGGTGTTAAGGTGCCTTAATTTTTAACAAAAATAGTTTTTTCTCTACGTATCTTTATCTGAATTCTTTAATTACCTATTTGCAACTATGTCATCCTAACTAGAAAAAAAAAACTTCAGAAGATATTTCAACGTAATATCTTCTGAAGTTTTTTTCTACTCCACATTTCTTTAATTCTAGGCAACACAGAAATGTAATCAATTAAAATATATTGCATCCCAGAAAAAAATACAGTTCAATAATCTTATCGTCTGTACTACATATGAGTTTCTTATTATCTCAAGACAAACATTTCAAAACATACAGCCGCTATAATGAAAAACATAAATAAACATGTTTGGAAACAAAGGATTGTAATGATGGTTTGGCAAGTAGAAATAGACCAAGAGTCAAATCACCTACCTCCTTTTGGTGCTGAAGTTGCTCAGTTAGAACCTCCTCCTCTCCAACTACATCTTGCTCCTCTGGACTCCCGTTAGCACCTGCAGGATCCTTTGTAGTATCTGAATTTACAGGTGATCCATTCTGCAGCCTCTCAGAGAAAGATAGCACAAGAATGCAGGATGTTTTAAGAACCTGGTATAACAGGTAGGTAAAACGCCAATCAACTGGAAAAATAGAGACTTGTAAGGTGACTTGGAGTCAAATAGGATTCCTCTGGCTTACATTTTATATCCAGATGAGTCTCAGCTAAGCCAAAATTCAAATGAGAAATGCTGTGTTGTGCTGTGTTCCTTTAGGCAGCTGAAAGAATGTTATGTGCCATCAAGTTAGTGTTGATTCTTAAGTGACCACATAGGTAGATTTTCTCCAGGATGAGTTATTGCTGAACTTTTTCAGAAATATTAGATTTGAACTACATCCAGCACTAAGAAATGATTAGCTATCATAGATAATGTATCCATACAAACAAGGCACAACAATTTGACTGCTTAGTTCAAACAACCTACCTATAAAAATCAGTTTTAAAACATTGTAAAGAAAGAAAATGTACAGTGTATGAAAATATATTTTATAGAAAACAGTTCAATTAGCTATAGCAATAACTTCTTATCCCTGTCAAATATTCCACAGGTTAATCATTGCATGTCGGCTTAGGGCTTAATGCAAATATTTAAAGTGGTCTGATACATTGCCATATCACTCTCTATCTAATTAAGTATCATCTATTCTGATTTAACAAGAAGAAACTCTCTAAAACAGCAGGCAGGGATTTTCTCATGTCTGCTATGAAGGTTGTTTTCAAATGGAAATGAAGGAGATTGAAGATGTACATGCAAAACATGTGATGTATTGACTGTTACTGTAAAGGGGAAGAGTCAAAATGTATTGTTGTTTATGAGAGCAGGTGTTTTATATACATAAGAGACGAACAAAAGGATAAAAGCGTAGAATAAGTGGCAGTTCTCTTCTCTACATGAATTCCCTAATGTAGATATATATCCATGTAGGGTAGACCCTGGGGGATATAGTGCAATAACTTGCCAGGAAGAAAATTCATCTTTCTAGGAAAAAAATGATTAGCCAAGCGTGGAGGGTAATATTCTGGAGAGCGGGCTAGAAGGTGGACCTCTTCCACCAAATTCTTTCTTGGTAAATTAATGTTTGTGTAGCTGGCCATTGTCCAATGCATCCATTTTATAAATCAGTGGTTCATTTGTGAAAGTACATGCATGTCATCTTCTCAAAAATTCAAAATATTTCTACTAGCCCAAAAAGTATAGGTGCCATTGCTGTAAAGTTTCTATGCATATTGATACATAATGAACTCACAAATAGAAAAAAAAATATAGAGACTGCCTCAGAAGAAAATATTTATATATTTGTCATTATAGTTATGTTTCCAAACTAGTGAAGTGACAAGTGATTGATTTGTCTTCATTGACACTATCTAAGCACACAAGTAGTCCTCGATTTACAACCACAATTGGAACTGGGATCTGTCTTTGAGTGGTCATTAAGCAAGACACTCATGTGACTGCTTCACTCAACAACTGCAATCCCAACACTTCCGGTTGCAGTTGTTAAGTAATCTCCCAGTTGTTAAGCAGGGTGAACAAAACAGCTGCCTGCTGAAGGATTTCGGCTCCACATGGAGCTGAAATGTCATCACTCAGCAGGCACCCCTTTCACTCTCAAACATTATTGTATCCTTCACAATTTCACCTCCCCTCCATGTGCAGAGGAGGAATCTTTCATGGGAAATCTTCAGGATTTCAGGTCCACTTCTGCAGCCTACCAAAGGATTTCCCCTCTGTGCATGGAGGGAAGCTGAAATCCTTCAGTGGGCTACCGCAACATTTGTTAGCAAAATATCAGTTATATCTCAAATATTTCAGCTCCTCTCCATCCCTTCCACTTGCAATCTTCCCTGCTGGCTTCCCATTGACTTTCTGGGGAAGCCAGTAGAGAAGGTTGTAAATGGCAATCACATGACTGGGGGGGGGGGACTTGGCAACCTGTTATTAATGTGAGCTGGATGCAAGCATCTGAAATGTGGTCATGTAACCGCAGGGCCAGCAGGGCAACATTTTATGATGCCAGAAGTGCTTTATAGGCCTTAACGCACCATTTCTGAGGCTGCCATAACCGAATGGTCATTAAACAACTGGTTTTAAGTCAAGGTCTGCCTCCCTACCGCATTCAGTCTCAAATTTCACTAACTGGAAGAAGGAATCAAATTCCAGTGGCAAGGTAAAATAGCAAAATAAATAATGAGGGTTAAACTCAACCAAATTTGTATAAGTTACTTTGTATTAACCAAATTGGCCTACAATATTATTTGTTTTCATCTTAAATACTATATTTCCAACTGTGGAACTAGCTACAAAATGAATTTATTTTATTAAATGATGTACTTTTCTTTGAATGATATGGACCTGCAATGTTCTCTATACTTGGCAGTGTTGAGAAAAAATAGACAAAAGCAATTGAAAAGAATACTATGAAAATATTAGAATGAAGACTTCTGTGTAAGGTTACATGGTTACAAAACTACTTAATTGTTTGTGTTTTTAACATGGTTATAAACCTATTTACTTGTTAATTGGAAAGGATGACTGATATTCCTTCCCCCCCCCCCCTTTCCAGGTTTGATTTCTTTGCTATTCCCTATTTTTGTACTGTTCTTTGTTTTTAAATGTTTAAACACTGTATACACCTCCCAGAATTGCTGGGAGTCAGGTGGCATCTACACTCGATAAATTGTTATTGTTAATATAAAGTAAAACTAAGTAGATTATTGCCTAGGCCTTACCTGTATAGTATTCCCTAAGAAATTCCCTACAAAGCACTTCAGTGATAACCTGTTGCTCCTTTATCTCTATACCATTTTATGCATATTTTATATTATATCTGAAATCGGGAACTGATTAAAGCTTCATCACTATTATCCCTCTCTATATTCCATGATTTTCTGTAGAATGACACCCCTATTTTTAAACAACTATTTTAGACTGTTCACACTGTTCACACTGTTTTGCATAATATTAATTTTACAAAAATACTATAAAACTGTTCTTAGTCCTAGGAACATATTAATGCTAATTCTACTTGTTATTTTAGTAAGCGTATTAGATTTTATTGGAACTAATCATGTGTAATGAGTTAATGAGTAGTGATTAAGATGCTGAACTAAGACAGAGGAGACCTATGACCAAGTCTACCTTCTGTCATGAAAGCTGCCTAGATGAATTTGGGCAATTACTCTCTCAGCTCACCTACCTCACAGGGTGCTTGTTGTGGGGATGAAATTGGAGGCAGGAATGCTATGATGGCTGCCTTGAACTCCTGGAGGAAAGATGGAATATAAATCTAACAATAAATACAGCTAACAAATAAAATGTTCATAAACATTTTTGCTGTGATTGTTTTCATTTTTATATATTTAATTTCCCCTTACAGCTCACACTAGAATCAAGCATACAGTTAAGCTTTGAATCATAAATAAAACGCCAAACCAATTTAAAAGGTAAAAACATTGCTATTACTTATCCATATGCCTTGATTATCAATAATAGTTAACAGGAAATATACATGAAGACCTCTCTAGTGAGCATTCCAAAGGTATTGCTACTCATCATAGCCAGTGGGAGAAGATGACTTGCCTTGGGAGTACGGAATAGTCCTTTGGATTCTATCTAGCATCATGTTAGCAAGTAAAAATGAAAACAAAGATCAACCTAAATGCTTTATATTTACAGTTATTACCTTACCTGCATGGTAATATATCCTTTTCTGAAACAATAGCTTCTTGGACTGATTTTTTAGTTGAATCTTCATTTTCTAGAAAAGAGCAAAGATAACTGTAATAGTTCATCTTTTAGAACTTCTAATTACCATTCATTTATAGGCACAATGTTTTATCAGCCAGTAGGGTCATGCTATATACTGCTTTTGGGTAGGGTTCAAAGCATCCTATTTCCAAAAGAAATATGAGACAAGCCAATATATTTACTAGTTAACATAACATTCATGAATGGAAGAGACATTCTATTCTAAGACAGTATACTTAGTTCCAGGAATTTAGTCCTAAACAATGCTAGACAATTATGTTTATAATCAGGTTCACAAAGCTTAACCTACAATAGACATTGAAAAGGATGGATCGACTGCATTACTCTTAGTGGGATTAGTCAACAATATGTTTGCATTTGTGACATAGGATTCATGACTAGTATTTATATTAGATAATTATGTAGAGAAACCTGTTTATTCTAACAGCATATTATCCCTTTTTTCTTGTAATTTTTCACTCATTTTTTTATGCATTTATTGTGCATTTTTTAAAATTATGTATGTATTTTTGTGTATCTTTTGTTTTTCTTCATTTTCTCTTATTTTAAAAGCAATAAAATTATTTTAAACAATGCTATAATCTGCACTAAAATAATTTAAATGATTAGACATTATCCACAAATTGTTTATCCTTTTCATATCCTTAAATGAAAAGCTAATACAATGGCTTCCTATATCTGCCTAATTTGTTCATGGTAGAGTAATAATCTCTTGAAGCTGATTTTAATTCCATAAAAAACAGAAACTGCTTTTTATTAGTATTATTATTATTTCCAAGGAGAGACATTATGAGAATTTGTCTCAAATACAAAAATGATTCAATCGAATTTTGTATATTATAACCTTCAACTGGGATCTACAAGGTTACAACAGCTGTCAAATAAAACTAGTGTATATACTATATTTCAGAGAAATGTCTTCTAGAACATTGGTCTCTAAAATGAAGTGTACATACACAACAGGGAGTACACAAATTGATCCATTGGAATGTAGGAAGGAAGTAGTAGTACAAAGGCTATTTATATTTATTATCTAGAAAAATTTATTTATTTAGCGTATGGTTGGTCATACATCTAGAAAAATAAGAAATTAAGATATAGAAATACTATAATATTGTAGTATATATTTTATATACATTTTACATATACTATTTATAATAATGTAATATATTCATTCAGTAATAATATATTAAACATGCACATATTGGAATCCATGTTCAAACTTTTTATTGATTGGATTGCACTGTCAAAAAGGTTGGAGACTACTGCTTTGGAAAATCGCATATAAAATTTCAGGCTAGACTAATTTCATGTTTCTTCTATCCTCAAATTAGTGAAAACAGTACTTAATTGACTTAATTCTACATATTGTGACTACACAGGGCAAAGAGCAATAGCTTCTGGGCATATAAAACAAGAAAGAAAATAACTAATAGTTTTATCACTATTACATGATGCAACAGTTGCACCAAGCTACATTAGCCTAATTATAAAATAGCTGGTATGTTAGGGAAAAACATAAACAATGCAATGCCACAAGGGAGAATTTTCTCAGAAACAAAATTATCAATGTTACAATATAAGACATTACTGAAAGAAAAATGACAGTCATATTATTATTCCACTCATAAATACAACATGATATATGATGATATTCTCCCCCAAATTTGTTCATTATTGGGGTATGGTTTTGCTTTTTGCTGACTACAAAGATCCTATTTTCTGACATCGACCTTATCATTATAATGCAAATTTATATTTGGTTCAACATTAGGCTACCAAAATGCAAGAATTTCTAAAGAGAGAGGGGGAAGTTCTGGGACTACAGAAGAAGCACCGATCCCTCCATTAAAATATAGACAATCATTTGTACAGAACATGTCTAAGGATACTTCAATGGTGCTCTTCTACTTCATCAATCAAATACAAGAAGCATCTCCAATAAATCAACTCCCCCACATGTATGTATATGGCTTCTCTGTAGAGATTAACACAGAGCAAGATGACAATTATGCGGGCCAGGAAGTAAAAGATTCTCCAGGTGACAAAGTTTCCAGGGAAACACCTGCTCCATCTTAACTAAAGGCATTATTCTAATAAGAAGGGTGATTTACAGATACAGTCCATGGCCTATTAAGATGTGCTGCTAAACATTGCATGAAAGGGACACATTCAAATTGGGTGGGCAGGGAAAAAGAGAAAAGGGCAGGGGAAGGGCAATTCTCTTTCTCTCCCTCCCTCCCTCTCTCTTTCCCTCCCTCTGACCCTTTCCCCCCTCCCTCTCTCCCTCTTTCCCCCTCTCTCTCCCCTCCCTCCTCTTCCCTCTCCCCTCCTTCTCTCCCTCTCTCTCACCCTCCTCTCCCCCTCCCTCTCTCCCTCTCCCCTCCTTCTCTCCCCCTCTCCCCCCTCTTCCTACCTCTCTCCCTCTCTCTTTCCCTCTCTCTCCCTCCCTCCTTCCCCCTCCCTCTCTCTCCTCTCTCTCCCTCTCCCCCCTCCCTCTCTCTCCCTCCCTCCTCCCCCTCTCTCTTCCTACCTGTCTCCCTCCCTCTCTCTTTCCCTCTCTCTCCCTCCCTCTGACCCCCCCTCCCTCTCTCCCTCATTCCCCCTCTTTCCCTCCTCTTTCCCTCTCTCTCTCTCTCTCTCCCCCTCCCCCTCTCCCTCTCTCTTCCTACTTCTCTCCCTCTCTTGGAAGGGCAATTCTCTTTCTCTCCCTCTCTCTCTCTCCCTCTTTCTCCCTCCTTCTTCCTACCTCTCTCTCTCTCCCCTTCTCTCTCTCTCCCTCTCCCTCATCCTCCCTCCCCCTCCTCACCCCCTTTCTCTCTCTCTCTCACACACACACACACCGCACCGTACCTCAGTCCCTAAGGCCCCTTCTCATTTACTTTCCCTCAGGCAAGGCAACGGGTCCGCCAAACACAGGAAACCGAGTACGGGTTGCAGCATCTCACGTGGCCTTGCTGCCGGGAAGGTTTGACCTGTTGAATTCCTGCCTTGCAGGGCCCCAACCACAAGTCGCCAGGAGGAAACTTAGTGGCCAAGGAAACCCCCTCCTCCAACAACCCGCATCCCTCGAGCCCAGCCTGACCCTCTGCGGGATCCTCGGCCCAACGGCGGGGGAGCTTAAGGCCTGACAGGCACAACGGTTTCCCCCTCCGCCTCTTGCTAACAGCCGTCCCGAAAGTACCTGGGGGAGGCGGGAGCGGCGAGGCCGCCGCCGCCGCCACACGCTTCTCTTGATCTTCGGCCCCGCTAAGGCAGCAACGGTCCCCGCTGCCTCCGCTTTCCCGGCCTCCGAGCGCGGAGGCTTTGAACCGGGTATCCTCGGGAGCGGCCGGTTCGCCCGACATCGGAAAGCGAGACAAAGAAGCCCACGAAGTCAAAGCGGGGAGAGGCGAACCGATCCGGAAACAGCCGGGAAAAGCCGAGCGCCCTGCTTCCTCTGACAGCGGCCGCTTCTCAGGCCTCCACCCTACGGAGTTCCCGCCTAAACCCGGCCGCGAACGAGAGCGGTCTTCGTCAGGCTGCGACGGAGCGTTTCCCGATGACAGAGAGCGAAGCGAGGAAAGGGAAAACGGCGACCCTTCCCGGAAGAACCGGTCGCCATGGAGACCGCTCTCCCGGAAGGACGCGTTGTCATAGTACCGGGAGAGTTTTCCTCGCCCCCCCCCTCCTCCTTCATTGCTCCCCCTGCGGTCGGAGCCATGGACAGCAACTCGACTTTGCCGAGGGATGGCGCGGACGATGAAGACGAGGAGAAGGCGGAGGAGGAGGAAGAGGAGGAGGAGGAGGAGGAAGAAGAAGATGAATATGAGGAGGAGGAAGAGGAGGAAGGAGAAGAGGAGGAGGAGGAGGAGGAGGGCGAGTCGCCGCCCCGCCGTCGCCGTCGCCGTCGCCGCCGCCGCCCCTCTTCCCTTAAGTCTCAGTCTTCGGTCAAAGAAGGCAGCCGGGCGTCGCCTGCATCCGAACTTCTGCTCGAAGCCGAATCGCTGCACGAAGCCGAAGTCAAAGTTCCCACCATCGTTGGTCCTTTGTATTTATCCTGGACCCCCGAGGAGGTGGCTGAATGGATCGGCGCTTTGGGCTTTCCTCAGTACAAGTTAAGCCCGGGTTTCCTTGCAAGCAGAAAGGGAGGAGATTCTGGAATGAGTTCACACCTCATATTAAGCCATGGTTTCCCGAGTATGTCCCAAACTGGTTTATTTAGGACACACACACAGAGAGAGCGTCATCAGTGTTGCTTTGCAATGACTGGGTTCAAACTGGATTTAAGCAGCGTTTGATCCACTTTAGCATGTTTGGTGAATCCAGATTACATGCATAGTTTATGGTCTGTATAAACATAGTAGATATATATAGATTGTAGGTTCATATGTCTGAATCCTGCCACTGGTGATTTATTACAGTTAAGCAATATATGGCTTGGCATAATGTGTGCATGCATAGGAAAAAGAGCATTATTTGAGACCAGGATTTGCCGATTTTAAAAAATAACCTACACTACTCAGTTCCAGAATGCAGCAATAATACAATAAAACTACCACAATGCAAGCTTCCCCCTTTTGCACTGGTGTTGTGATATAAAACAAGTATGTAAGGAATGGATTTCTTGTCATACATCCCAGTGACAGTGCAGCTAAGACTGAGTGACAAAAATCCAGATGATCAGTAAATGTCAACAAAAGCTAGAATACAGGTAGTCCTCAATTTACAACTACAATTGAGTTCAAAATTTATGTTGTTAAGTGAGAAATTTGTTAAGTGAGTTTTGCCCCATTTTACAACTTTTCTTGCCACATTTGTTAAGTGAACGACTGCAGTTGTTACATGGTGGTTAAGTGAATTACATTTTCTCATTGACTTTGTCAGAAGGTCTCAAAAAGGGATCACATGACTCGGACACTGCAACTATCATAAATGTAAGTCAGTTGTCAAGAATATAAATCACGTGTCCTTGGGGATGCTACAACAGTCATAATTTTTTTTTTAAAGTGTGAAAAATGGTCATAAATCACTTTTTTCAGTGCCGTTGTAACTTTGAACTGTCACTAAACAACCTGTGCAAGTTGAGGATTACCTGTATTCTGTGCCTCCTGGCTGCTATCCTTGTGGCTATCCGGATTCTTGCAGATTTTGTACATCTATCTGAAGTGATAATCTTAAGTATTTTTTCATAAATAATACTCATTTCATTTTTTTAATGAAATGAGATGAGGCAGTGGTGAAATCTGAACCTGTTTACTACCGGTTCGCTGGCTGCACATGCGCAGTGCACGCCATGCACAAATGCGAGGTGCATGCGCGCAGTGCATGCCAAAAAGAGGTATGCAGTAAGAAGAACAGCGCATGGGGGGTGATCAGCTGTGGCGTGCAATCTTTTACTTTTAAAAGCATTACTTTTAAAAGTTAAAAAAAAGCCTCTGACGATCGCACTGCTCAGCTGTGATTGTCAGAGCCTTTTTTTAAGCTTTTAAAAGCATTTTTTCTGCAACCTCTTCGGCCGAAGAGATTGTTTAAAAAATGTTTTTAAAAGGCTCTGACAATCCCAGCTGAGTTGCCTGATCATCAGAGGGTTTTTTTTTTCTTTTAAAAGCAAAAAGCAAAAGCTATTTTTTTCTTTTAAAAGCATTTGCTTTTAAAAGGTAAAAAAAGCCTCTGATGATCGCGTGGCTCAGCTGGGATCATCAGAGTTTTTTAAAAGCATTTTTTCTACAACCTCTTTGACCAAAGAGGTTGTAAAAAAAATGCTTTCAAAAGTAAAAAAAGGCCTCTGATGATCGCGTGGCTCAGCTGGGCATGGGGGGGGGACAGGAATTTTTGCTACCGGTTCTCCGAACCACCCGCCGCCATCGCTACTGGATCGGGCAATCCGGTCCGAACTGGGAGCATTTCACCAGAGATGAGGACAAAAGATACAAAGGAGAAATGAGATGTTTTATTCAGTCACTTGATTGTTTGTTTGTTTGTTTATTTGTTTAGAAAATTTATGTGGCTGCCCAATTCATTCATGATGACTATGGGCTTACCCAAATATGCACTGATGCACTAATTTTTTATTTATTTAGAACATTTATGTGGTCCCCCCAATTTACAGTGACTCTGGGCTTAGAAAAATATGCACTAGTACACTAATATGCACTAATTATAATGTGGTTTATTTGGTTTTGTTGTATGAAATCAGCCAGTTGTGGCCCATTAAAAAGACTCTTTTTAAGGAATGTAATGATATATGAATTTAGGAAAATGTAGAATTTAGTTTCACATCATGATCATATCCCTAGAAATACTATCTTGATGGCAAAATAATTATTCACAAAGGATTTCAGTCATCTTTCTCTATGATATATAAAGGGGGAAACTCTAAGGTTTGAAGAACTGACTTGAGTGTTGTAATGGTCTGTAGTGTTGTATTGGAAAAGAAAAAAACAGAAGAGATCCAATAAGGGGAAATTGGAGCTCCTAAATAAATGAAGAGTGCCATCCATTGCTAAATAAAACATCAGTAATAAGTCATTAGTCAGTATAACTACTAGTAAGCTAAAATTTGGTTCCTTTTTTCTTGTTTAGGTTCTTTGGTCTATCAACTTATTGCAATATGAAGATGAGTTCAGTGGTACTTTAAAAATGTAAAGGAGGTCCAAAATTTTGTGGGATAGTCATGAATCATGTTTTCATATTTTTGTAGGTGCTGCTAGCTAATTAATTAGAAGAATAGAACATTTGAAGCTAATATTAATAATAATATTTCTTATTTTGTTTTAAATAGGAGTGTTTTACTACAAATTTTATCTCAGGACGGAAACTCATACATGTAAACTGTTCAAATCTGCCACAGATTGGGATTACTGATTTTGAACATATGAAGGTGAGAGCGCATATATATTTACATGGGTGATGACTGAAGATATTATCAGATACTATATCAAAATATATAGTATAATGCCAGAGCTGTATGTCACCTCCTTATAATAATACATAAGTATGGTATAGTGGTTAAGGTACTAGCCTACAAACCAGAAGACTGTCAGTTCTAGTTCGACCTTGGATATGAAAGCCAGCTGGGTGACTTTAGGTCAGTCACTCTTTCTCAGTTCAGCCTTCCTCACAGGGTTGTCGTTGTTATAGGAGAAAATAGGTGGAGTAGTGCTTCAGGCATCAGACTAAAAACCAGGAGACCATGGATTCTAGTCGCTTACCTAGGCACAAAGCCAGCTAGGTGACTTCAGGCTACTCCCTTTCCCTCAGCCCTAGGAAGGAAGCATTGGCAAACCATTTCTGAAAATCTTGCCAAAAAAGCTGTAGGGATTTGCCCAGGCAGTCTCTGAGAATTGCATGTGATTGAACCGAAGAAAAAAAAACCCATATAGTTATTTTAAACTGAAAGAATCCTATATGGGAGAATCTATTAATTATATTTTTTGTTCACACTGGTAGGATGTTACCAGGGTGCTGTTGACTATTGATGATTTTACTTTTTATTAATTTTGTGTTTTTGTATTGACTTTCTCTGTAGATGTTTAACTGGTAAATGTTAAGAGTATAGTATTTTAGTATTTGTTTAGAAACTGGTTGCTTAAATTAGAACCTTAGAAATATATGCATATTAAGACATTATTCTTATGTTACAGACATATTTTCCTGCTTTCTTTACTGAGAATGAAATGGATTTGTGTGACCATGTTGCTTTACTGTGGCAATACTCATTTTAAGCCTTTTGGTTTAATTAAGAACCAAAACTACACATAACAATGGTACATTTAGAAGACAGTGTATACTGCACTGGATTATTTTGAATTATGTGCTAGCCACCTCCTAGTGGGGTACTACAATGTAGGTTTAGAAAGATGAACATAGTAATTGTTTCCATATTTTTTTCCTTTTTTTTTTTTTGCAGGAAATTTCAAAGCATGTACGAGAATTGCTGAAAATTGAGGAACCCCGTTTTGAAAGAAGTATCTCTCTCCCACCTCGAGATAACATTGGGTTGTTCTTAGAACAGAAGTCTCGAACTGGAAAGCGCAGTGATGCTCTTAGTTATTCCCAGTTTATTGAAGAAGCAAGGTTACAAGATTATGAACCAAAGCCTCCAACTCCACTATATGAAGAACTACAGCCTTCAACTCCATCCTATGAAGAACTACAACAAGCCAGTTCATTTTTCTCAAGATAAGAGAAAGTATTTATTGTTCACATATTTCAGATATTACATGTAACTTTTTCTGCATTTCTACTTCAGTTTTCACAGGGAACAAAATTGTATATGGATGCAGTTTAACCAGTATCCTAATCCTAAATATCATGGAGGAAGAGCTTACTGATGGATGCAAAACAGAAAATTTTGCACATCAGTATTGCAAAATAAAGTCATGTGTGAACACAGAGGATTGTTCTTATTGGTATTTATGATGAAGTCTTATCATTTGTCCTGTGAGGACTATAATAAGAATATATGGGGCTTCAAGTCAGGTGCTGTATATTAATGAATTGCTTTAAATATTTAGGATCAATTGACAGCATCCTTACAAAAACACCTAAGTCAGGCAGTACTGCTTAAAATGTTCTTGTGCCATATAAAATTAAGAAATTTTACTGCTGGAATTTGCTAATTTATAAGCAATGTGATTTAGAACTTTCATTTCTTTAGAAGTACATGTATCAATTTCACTGCAGGCCCAATCTTCTTATTCTAAACTGGGAAAAATGATCATTATAATGATCAAAAATGCAACAATACTTAGTTAAGCCAATTATATTTTGTTAATATTCTTAAATTTTAAATAAATGCAAAGGTGAAGCAACATGAAAAATCAAACAACCAAACCTATAAATAGAGTATTTAGAATATAATTTATGTCTGAAAAGTAGACTTATGAATGCCAAGGGAGTAAGCATTTCAGATCTAAAAGATACAATAAAACACAATAAAACACAAGCTTCAATTAAAGAGCCTTATATGACAGGGTGTAACATGGTGGAATTTGTACACAAAATGACAGTGAAACATTTTTATTTTTTTTTAATTTGATTTATATGCCGCCCTTCTCCGAAGATTCAGGGCGGCTTACAATGTGCTCAGCAATAGCCTTCATCCTTTTTGTATATTTATACAAAGTCAGCTTATTGCCCCCACAAACTGGGTCCTCATTTCACCTACCTTAGAAAGGATGGAAGGCTGAGTCAACCTTGAGCCTTGGCGAGATTCGAACCCTGCAGTAATTGCAGGCAGCTTAATAACAGGGTGCCTTAAACCCCTGTACTACCAAGGAATATTAGTGTATTCATGTGAATGCAACATTGACAAGTATGATAGAAGGGGGAATGTATAGTATAAATCATGTTTTTAGAATTTTCCTTCTATTTTGCATTTATGCCTAATTTTTCACTGCAAAATTTAATTTTCAATTGGCTTTCACTAATATTTACCATTTGAATTCCTATAACACCATTGTAGAATACTGCTTCCAAAGTTCTTTTAATGCTAAAAATGAGAGCAAAACAAAATCTTTCCACTTCTAACAGCTTGGATAATTTATAAATCTTCAGAATCAGTACTAGATGTCTCTTCCATTTTCTTTGCGGAATCATCAATTTGAAAAATCAATGATTTAGTGGGTTTCAGCAGCACTGCTGTGAGAGGTATCTTTTTAGTCGTAGATGTCGTTAAATCTTCACTTTTTGTGGCCAATGCTGTTATCATGTTAAAGTAACATGAAGCAATGATTTCCTGAAGAGATGTATTTGTTTCAAGAAACTGGCTAAGAGGTGAGTCTTTTAGCTGTACAGTTGTTATATCAAACCAGGGAAAGGAACTAGAAGAGAAAAGTCTGTTATGTATGGGGTCCTGAGGTTACACGATAACTGTTTTTTCACTGCAGAGGTAAAGGAATGGAAATGGAGTATATTTAACGATTTATTTAATTTAATGATTATGTAGCCATAGGTGGGGGAGTAACCATCAGAACTTCAAAACGGGTTGTAACTGCCTTTTACCAGGTAGGCCGTAACTTCGAACAATTGCTAAGTGACCAATCATAAGTCGACGACTACCTGTATACAGAGCCTCTGTGCTACTGGAACATATTTACAGCACAAAATGTACATAAAATAATTTTTACATTCAGAATTACTCATAAGAGAAATGCCTACAATTTATGACAATATTGCTACAAATGCAAATTTTGTTTTCAGTAGCCTCCACATGATGGTTTAACTTTAGAAGCAGCTGAGTCTGAAACAGGACATGGGACAAATTATGAAAAATGCAGGCTGAATTGTGGAAGGACTCAAATTGTATACATCCAAGAGATCGGGTATTATGCACCAATAGGTCTCAAGCTGAGGTATAGGAAGGAAGGATCCAGCATGTCTAGCGCCATTCTCTTATACCATTGGATTTGTTACTGGGGATTTGATGGTGGGGGGACTTTGGATGAGCTTATGAGGACATAAACTGACTTTTTAGAAGTGTTATTCATATTATTTCTCTTAAAAAACTAAGCCACTAAATATTACTCATAAATTCCACAAATGATGCATTATCAATTTTTAAAATGTTGGATAAAACAAAATTAAACAGAACAATTTTCTACTGGATGTTACTTACTCAGCAGCAGCCAAGGAGGAAGCAAAGGCTTGGTTGATAAAATGTTCACAAACTAGAAATGGAGATGAGGTGGTGGCATTGCCTTCACAAAAACATATTTGATTGAGCAATCTCAGAGCCCTTGTATAGGATAAATGTTGTTGGGTATAGCTATTTAAAACTGCATAAAATACAGCTGCCAGCCACTTCATGTTGACAGTTATTTCGCCTGAAAAATAAGGAAATATTTCATGTTTAATTCACCATGCCTCTTTAATAGCCTTCTTCAACCTGTTGCCCTCCCATCACTCTGAGTCATAATGGCCAATGGAAAACACCAAGTTGGAGTATATGGTTTAAAGCTTAAACTGTAAAATACAAGCTAATAAAGGGAAAATGCTTGCTCTGCTCCTGCTTTGAACATTCCTCAATTGGCCTTTCTTTCTATAGCCATCTTTACCATCTCATTCTGCTGCATGGATAGGTCAAGCATCACAGGGACTGATAGTGCCTATAGCATATTGCATCGTTGTCACTGATACTAATTTCCTGGACAGGACACAGATTGTTTTATAAGCCGGAAAAGAACAAGGGGAAAAGTTCCATTTTTCACAAGGTTTGCAAAAGTCCACCTACTCTTGGAGTTGCAAGGACATGTCGCCTGGATCACTGCTGTATCTTTGAGGGCTTCCAGAATTGTCCTGTTAGCCTCCCACATACAAAAAGAGCTGTTCTCAGAGCACTTGTACTGTGGCTTCAAGATTGAACAGGAGGAAATCAGTTGCTTCAGTCTGAAAATAAAAAATCTTAAATTATGCCATTGGATTAAGCATCAAAAAGTAAGTGTGCAAAAAGTATGTATCTATGGATCATGCCAATTCTTGTTTATACACTGTATATACACAGAATGAGCATGTTATGTATACATTGATTTCTTGTTCTACTGTACATGAACACAATAAAAAAGCTATACGCTCAATTACAACAACAACCCTGTTTATACCTTTGAAATGTAATCACAAAATATATGGATATTAGCTAGAAATTGCAGTAGCCTTAATACTCAAGCCTGGCTTTCCCTATTTGACAAAAGAGTCTACTACAATGCCATTCTTATTCTTCATATACAAGACCTAAGATGTGAACAGCCAAATTCCATTTCTGGTGATTGCACTCCTGTAATGTTCATATTCTATATATTCAGGCTCATACTGTATATTGAGCCGTTCTAGGAATAAATGTGGGAAGGAGCATGATATTTTTTGGTTTCCAATTCAAATTAGCATTCATATCATAATGCACAATACCTGGCCAAAGGGATTGCTGTGACCAGGCTGTATATAATACAAGAGTTTTTGAGAGAATCCTGAATTTCGGAACATATATGTGGAAGATGACATGGAAGACAGCAGAGAAAAGCCACATCTGCCCAGCCTATCAGCTGCTTGTTGTTATAGACACACTCAACTCCCAGCTTGTGGAATTCTACTAAAAAAAAGATAAAGAAAAGGAATATTTAATTTCTGCTCCCATAGAACAAAACTTTAACTGCAATCTTTAGTTTCCTTCTAAATCTCCCGAAAGATAAGCATGTTAATTTGTTACAATACTGAACTTGATAGACAGCTTAATAACTCCGGTTGTTTGACTTACAGCTTATGCCTAACTATCACACCATGGCTGTCCATTTTCACTTATTTGGTCTTTCAGGATACTATTGCTGTTGCAGCCTCTTCTTTTAGCTTTTTTTAGACAGTACAGATCTGATCTTATAGCACAGCGGCCCCCAACTTTTTGGATACCAGGGACTGGTTCTGTGGAGAGAGGTTTTTCTGTGAACTGGAGGGGGCATGGTTTCCTGTGCTGCTTGCATCCCGTGAATGGGGGTTCGCTTGTTTGCATAGCCCGGTTTTTGCCATGCTGCGGATCCGTACTGGTCCATGGAACAGGTGTTGGGGGCCCCTGTTATAGCAGACCTATACTTTCTGTCTCTCACTGTTTTTAGTCTATAGTTACTATCCTTAACAATTTGTAGACACACATTGTTTTTATGTTATAATTATTGATTTTATACTCTTTATATTTTTACTTTATGCTGATCAATGATTGCAATAAAGATACATATAGTGTCTTCAGGCCATTCTATCAGTCTTGGCTAGGATGGCTAGTGATCAGGGATTGTGGGAACTGAAATCAAAGAACAGAGAGGGTACAATAACAACATCACTGGTGCGATGTGTATGCTCCATATCTCTATAAAGATAGCATTCGTTCATTGTATACAAATGTACATAAAAATAATAAAGATTGTAATTCTGGGACTACTACAATATAAAATAAAATGACACCAGATGAAAATAATAGAGAAATATATAAATTCCTTCTAAAAATATGAAAAAAATAGAAGTCAGGATATATGGTTTGGAGGGAGGGATAACATTTAGTTTCTTCTACAGGTAGTCCTTGACTTATGACCACAATTGGGACCAGAACTTCTATTGTTAAAGAAGATGGTTGCTAAGTGAGTTTTGCCTCTTGTTGTTAGTGAATCACTTAATTCAGTGAATCATGTGGTTGTTAAGCAAATCTGGTTTCCCTCATTGATTTTGCTTCTTGGAAGCTGCCTGGAAAGATGATGAAAGCTGAAAGCTGCCTTATGAATGGGGATCACATGGCCTTGGGATGCTGCAACCATGGTAAATAGATGCCAATTGCCAAGCACCTGAATTTTGATCACATGACCGTGGGGATGCTGTGATGGTTGTAAGTGTGAATACTGGTTGTAAGTCACTTAAAATGGTCGCTGAACAAAAGATCATAAGTTGAGGACTACCTGTACTGTAACACTACTAAATTATATTTTACTTTGATTTTATAGATTTCATTTTCCTTTTGCGTCCCAAGAATTCCTATGGTAATGATGATGAAAGAAAGCATCTCTGCTTTTATAAATTGGATTTTTCAATGGGAAAGTGGCAGTTAACTGGGTCAGTCTTTAGCAAATACTCGTTTCCCTGCCTAGCATAAACTGGAGCACTTTTCCCCAAGACAAAGGTGCCATTGGATGTAACCAAAAATTATTCCTTTTAAACGAACGTTGAGACTTTTTGTATTTGTTTCCTATGATTTGGCAGCAAGAAATCTTACTGTAACTATAATATTTAATTTAACAAAGCACATCAGCTCTTGTTTTTAACTGTTATGGGTAACTTTTTGTAATTCTTTTCACAATTATGCTTGGCAACTGTTCAAAAGTCAACAGTTGAAAGTAAGAAAAGGAATCAATGTTGCTATAATGAAATATAAACTGAAATTAAGGATGAGTAGTTGTGGAGGAAGATATACAAAGGACATGCAATATATTATTAGAACATGAATTCTACTACTATATAGAAAGGAGTTTTGAGTTTTATGTATGATAAAGTTTCTTGTCTGTCTTTCAAGCACCTGATTCTTACATAGAGTTTCTGGCCGTCTTGTGGAGATCTGGATGTTATTTCCTGAAATGGCACCGAAATGTAACAATGTTCTGGCTAGTTGTTTCCCAAGATGGCCTCCACCAATAATCCCAATCTTCAGTCTTTGATTATCATTAGAAGCCTGGGAACCAGCGGGTACATCCCCACAATTCTCTTTTTTCTGTCTGAGGGAAACCCCAAAACAGTTATTATTACATATACATACATAAAATTCAAAGTGTAAAATATATGCTAATTCTAAGAGCGTCAATGGACAACTGTGTAGAAAATATATTGGAATGATAGGTTGAATTTGAGTCAGCAATCTGATATGTTCATAAAAAAGAAAAATGGCCACTTTAACCTGCTTCACTAGAAGCTCATTTGCTGAAACAGAGCAGTTTTGTTCTATTCTGCTTTGGTTAAGGTCACCCTGACTACTAGAATCAAATTCATTAAGAATGATGCAGGCCAATGGCAATATGCTCGGTGACAATCAGTAAGAGAAGTTAAAGAATGGGAAATCATATAAGGACAGATGGATGTAACTTTTATATTTTAATCTTGAAAAGATAAGATTGAAAAATTGTCATACTATGTAATCTTACTTGGCTCTTTGCTATTCTATCACATAGTAGCCTAGACTGACAGTTCTTTTCAGCAAACAGCAGTCCCAGTTTAGAGTGGAAGAACTATCAATTTTATAATAGGAAAGGGAAGACTGCTGCTTTTAGTGACTTTGGATCCTCCTGGACTCACGGTTCCTTCACATAGATAATGCCAGCCACAGGGACCACAGAATCAAGTCTTCTCAGTGGCAGTCTTTTTCCATTTTAGCAGCTTTAAGATGAGTGGACTTCAACTCCCAGAATTCTCTAGTCAGCAAATTGGCTGGAGAATTCTGGAAGTTGGAATCCACCCATCTTAAAGATGCCAAGGTTGAGAAATATTGCTCTACAGAGTACCATACCCTGGATGCCTTCCTTCTTGGTATTTATACATTTTATTAAAACATGGTTATTTCATCAGTGGCTGGAATGCTGTGAACTTGTTTCTTCTGGTAGAGGAAAGGCTTTTGACTCGATTTCCCAATACTATACCCATGGGTTAGATCATATCGTAATTTTATTTTCACTTTTGTTTTTGATCCAATTTATGGAAGTTGGGAAGTATGCCCCTTGAGAGCTTTTTACAACTAGAACATCCTATTCAATCCCCCAAAATAACATTTTAGAATTCCTAAACATTGCTATTATTCACAGTTGAAAATTCAAGATCTTTATTAATATTGCTATAAATACTTCAAATGTCTAATAGTAATTCCTAACATATCTGACATTGTCCAATCATATTATTTTACTCTAAAAATATAATTTATATTTAATTATAATTTCAATTTCTTTGACCATTCATTTGCTTGAGACAAAAGATTAAAAGCAAACAATGTAAACAAATAATTGCAAGGGAGAGTTTTCCACAGATTTGCCAGAGAAAAACATCCATAACAGACAATCTCCATGATTTATGAATTGTCCTGAAGCAGAGTCAATGGAAAAAGCTAGGTCTATAACGTTCTCTTGAAGGACATTACGGTTGGTGCTGAAGGGACATTAGGAAGAATAGTGTTCCAGAGGGCAGTGACAGAGAAGGCTTGCCTCCTGGATCCTCTAAGATGACATTATTTAATTCAATGTTTCTTAAAGTGTGGTCTTAGGCCCCTTGGGGGAAGTCCCCCATGACCCTCTCAGGTATGCAGCCTATCTGCAAAATCAAAATTATTTTCAGCCTATGTTGATTTTTAATTTTAATTTTTAATACGGTAAATGTTGATAGGTATAACCAGTGGTGGGCTACTGCCGGTTAGGACTAGTTTGGGAGAACTGTAGTTCTGACCAGGGGCTGGCCCCACCCACCTGCCCTGGCGCTATCACATCCTATATAATTGCTGGTTTTTCGATGCCGCGGGTGCTCACATATTCAGTTCCAGGTAAACCAGTTGTTATAACCGGCAGCAGCTCACCACTGGGTATAACCCATAAAAGCAAAAATCCTTTTGGGTTTCTCCATAATTTTTTTAAAGTGGGAAGAGGTCCTAAAAAGGTTTTTTAAAAGTTTATGAAACATTAATTGAACAGATGGGACCAGAAGAGTGCCCATTGTGTCAGATCTTATTGAAGGAGTAGGCACAATGGGAGAGAGAAATAGAAAAAGAGAGAGAGAAAGATTTTTTTTTTTTTTGGCCTTACTTGGTGGCATTGAGTAATTTGCAGAAGAAAAGTGCATGGGCACAAGCATTCACCATCAATCCTTTGGCATAAGACCTCAGATGAAACAGTGGCTCATTCGTCCCAATCCCATATTCTGGCTGGAAAGTCTTTAGGTTTGCCATAATATTGGCCATTTCAATTGTCTGCTGAGAGCAACTGAAATTATAATAGAAATTATTCTTGTTGACCACCTGATGGTGGCCATCCATTGCATTAGTGTGTTATTAAAACAAGAGACAGTTCAGTGGTGGCACATGCTGTAAAACATGTACAGCACCTAGAAATTGGAAAGGGTAATGACAATTTTTGTTTCTGATCTATTTTATAATGAACATTTATTAATAAATAATTCTCTAGGAAAGTCAGGGGTCTCCAAACCTGAGCCTTCTATGAAGTTTTAGAATATCTGTCGACCCCTAAACATTTGTTACATGAAAATAATGTTATAAATATTACTTTAATAGTACTATAACAGTAGAGGGTGTTGGGCAATCATATAAATGTCTTTAATAAATAAATACTTCATAAAATAGATATCATTTAAAATATGAAAAATATAAGATTTAACATACCTTTTTATTGAAACTTGATATTATTAATGAGAAGGATGTACAGTATCTGATAAGCATCAACAAGGGCACTGATATTTGGTTGGAAATTAGTGGGATAGTCTTGCCACTATGCAAGGTGAACAGGAATATTATGCATAGATATATCCTTTCTAGAACAGAGAAGATGAGAGTGACAAGGGAAAGGGTAGAAGGTCAAAGACACACAACACAAAGCCTGCTTGTAAATGAGACCATCCAAGCCTGAGTAACATTATCTCACCACTAGCCACCTCATCTTCAGAACTAGGAATTGGCATAGAGCTATACAGAGACCTCAAAAGATAACTGACTCTATTTACTGTATGTTGGAGGGGGAGACAGACGCTAAACCCTAGACCCCTATAACATGGGTTGCTTCAGGACTCAAATCTTTCACCCCTCCTCTCACATCCGTATGAGATTGCTGGGAGAAGTCATCTGATGGCACAGATAATAATACTAATAATGGTATTATTAGTAAGCAACTATCCCTGGCTGACCACGCAACACTGGACTGATCTTAATGCTGGATCAGTACCTGGAAGCTATAAAAGTTTGGATGGTGAGAAACTGACTCCAACTCAACCCTACTGAGATAGAATGACTCCGGATCTTTGATTCTTCTAGATTTGATGAGACATCATTTCTGGTTCTTGCTGGGGTTGCACTCCCCTGGACAGGCCTGGTGTACATTTGTGGGATTCTCCTGGACTTATGGCTCCTGTTCAAGGTATCAGCCATGGCTTGGGGACCTTTGCACAAATTTACCCCCTGTGCCAACTGCATCCATTCCTGGACGGGGAGGCCTTGCAATATAGTCTACATGGAGCTGCTCTTGAAGACCATCAGATCCCTACCCTCTTGGCCTTTGAAAACCTTGAAGAGCTGTCTCTTCCTGCAAGCATGTGCGTGCAGTGCGGCTGGAACCCAATAAAGTTGACTGTTGATATGTGGGAAATATTGTTTCTGGAAATGAGTGACAGTGAGCAGAGCAGCTTATGGTTTGTAAGCCACCCAGAGACATGGTGTATATGATGGGTGGCTGAATAAGTCTTAAATAAATGCATGAATAAATATGCTTAAAATTAAACTAGTGTGTAAAATATAAGCCAACATTTTATATAAATATATTTTAGAACCAGGAAGATACAAACAAGGCAGTAAAAGGTTGTTGTCAAAATAAGCCATTCGGCCTATTGTACTCATGTCATTTGCAGTTATGTAAACAACAGAATATATGGTGAATGGAGAGCACAGGAGCACTTTCCCTAATCCAGGAAAGCACAATCTAGGTGTCCTCCAGATATAAAATTAGAAACATAAATAATCAGGATAAACAGATGGGAGCCCGAGTTACCAGCCTACCTCTCAAAGGCAACTTATTTAGTTTACAAGGTACTCTAATCCGCTCCTCCTAAGAAGAAACTACATAAAATGAAGTGCAGATTACAAAAGGAATAATTCCTATAATCTTTGCTTTATACTTACAATGTATAGCTTCTGAGAGTGAAGCACCAAATGGAACTAGTGCTCTAGCTCTGACAGTTTGTGATTGGTTCAAAATAAAAACTGTTAAACGGCATAAGCTCCAGTTCCTAACCAGAGAAGTTTATTTGAATGTCAGGACAAAACTTTCCCCAACAAAACACTTTTGTCAGCATGTAGACAAATGGAAAAGAAAATCTCAGTTACCAGGTATGGAAACCACCAGTTGCATTGCAGAAGCAAATTTGTTTAAGCTTCTGGCTCCTTCCCACCAATTACCGTTCTGGTCTGCAGCTAAGGTCATTCTCCAAACATAAGGCTGTCGTCATGGCAAATGCTTGGTTACAGAACCTGTTTTTAGAACTTGTTTTTTTTTTTAATTACTGATTTCGTAGTTGCAGTCTTTAAAGGAGACAGCAAATAATGTTCAGCTTCCCGACAGGATCAAAGCAAGTTTTTTTCTCCCCTTTTGAGGTTACTATGCAGTTGCAGTCCTTCCTTTCAAATATATTTCACTGCACTGTAAATTCTTAAAAAAATTGGTAACAAATGTTGGCTTGGTTTAACCCATCATTTTCCCACTTGTTACTTTTTCAATATGTTGGTTGTATTAACTGAGAACCAGAGGTTTGTTACTACCCATAAATCTGCCCCAACATATTTTCAGAACGTTCCTTGCCTATACGCAAATTTATAGCTTAATGTGTTGTGTGGATCCAGCCAATGATAACTTCCTTCTTGATGGCGAGATTGTCAGATGGATTTAGATGTCAAGAGGGTTCAATCCTTGGTTGAGACAATATACAAGTAGTCTCAGTTTCTAAATATTGCATTTTTGGAAAACACTAGCTATTTCTTACTCATCTTACAGCCAAACAACCAGAGAAACTAAATATAAAGGAGGTAAAGCTTTATTTACAACATGGAAAGTGAAAGACAACATAAGGCCTAGAAAGAGGATGTAGATTTGCTAACAAACCTTGAAGCATAAGTAGCAAGGGCCAATTATTTTCAGTGGAATCTGAGAGAAAATATAATTTGATTAGTACAGTACACCCTATAACAAGATTGGTAGTTTCCATGTAGAACTGAACTCACATTCTCACTGGCTGAAGGACCATGCAGTTACATACTCCAACTTTTAATGTGGGAAATGTAGGTAGGTTTATTCTTAAGAACCTTATGCAGCACTTCCCAAATAATTATCCTAGTTAATTGGTAATGGAGGCTAGAATAATGTGCAGGACAGAGTTTTCATATCACTAAGAACAACAGTCTTGTCCCTTAGATTCAAATGAGGGGAAAGCATATTTATTATACAGATTTTTTTTTTTCCTATGGAAAGCTGTCCTGATCATTTCAGATGACTAGACAGTGAACAGGAAGTGGAAGCATTAAGTTCTGGACTCAAATATGCTTCCCTTTTCTATATAATTCCTCATATGTTTATACTGTAGAGTTCAACTTGTCAGATCTGTGCTTCATTGGCTAAATGACTCTTTTGGCCAACTCAGTGCCTCAGAGGTCTCTTTCAGCGAAGGCTTCACAGAGGCAGCATCTTGAGGCAATAGGCAAGCTGACAGTGGATTGAAATCAGCGCAGAACTGGCTTGGCAATCTTTCTCTTTGACCTCATTGGGTCAAAATGAAGTGCTTCCAAAAGAATGGAGTGTCTCTCAGTTCTTCCACCGGATCTGCTGAAAGAAAAGCAGAATTGGATGTGGTCAATATCAAATATAATCACATCTCCAGGCTGAGAAAATAATTAGTAAATCTCTAGTCATAAAAGCCAATAGAAGCAGAGGAACCTATAAGCAACTTATGAGAAAATAGATAAAATAAGATTTTATTTATGGTCAAAACAAGAAAAATGTTACTGAAACTAAGTGATCCACTGACATGGTCTAAACTAGCACAGCAATATTGATTTAAAGCCAAAAACGTATTTTAAAAAGGAGAAAAAATACCAGCTTTTTTTCATTCTCACCAGCTGGCTAAAGTAAAGTGTAATGAACAATTATTTCCATAAAATAGGACTCAGAAATGATTTAATCAGATCCATTTCCCCAAGATAAGCTGCTGATAGATCTTTTGAGGATATTTTTCTACATATTAAAATCCAAAAGCAGGTGGATGACGCTTCCTACTTGTGGTAAAATAAACAGGGGGAAAAATAAGACAAAGGAAAATAGCAAGACTCCTGGAAAAGGCTAACAATTGATCTTCCCATTCAGTTTGATGATCTATAAAGCTTCAAAATTCTCTGTGATCTCAACTGGCACCAATAATAAGAAAGGGAGTAGATATCAGGATATGGATACAAAATTGCATCACCTAGTGATACTAACATTGGCAAAGAAAACATGTAACAAAACAAAGGGGTCCAGAGATAGAGCAACAAGATGTTCTCATTTCCTAGTATTTCTCAACTGCAGGAGCAGGGACTGAGGGAGACACAAGATTACACTATATTGCCAATTGAGGTATGTGTGTCACTGTTCAGTCATGGATTTTTGTATGAAATAACTGCAATTACTTAATTTGTCCCACTCTGGTACTTAGAACAAATTCTAAGATCAAAAGTGTTTAATTTTGCTGCATGTCGTTTGTGCCAGATTGATGGAGTCTAATAAAAAGCAAAATAAGTCTTGCAAATCTAAAGCATGTTTATCTATATTGCATTACAGAATGACACTCAGTATCTAGGTGACACACAACAGATAGCGACAGAGTGTTTTCTTTGCTTTCATCTTAGCATGTTTTTTTTGTTGTTTTTTTAAAAATTTGATTTATATGCCGCCCTTCTCCGGAGACTCAGGGCGGCTTACAATGCATTAAGCAATAGCCTTCATACTTTTGTATATTTTATACAAAGTCAGCTTATTGCCCCCACAAACTGGGTCCAACGTAACTGATTATGGTTCAATGTGACACATAAATCAGGTCATAGGGCCCATTTGACAAGCAATCCTTTTTTCTGAAAAGTGACAGCCCATGAGAAATGTTGCACATTTTTTGAAGAACTACGTAAAAAGACAGTACAATTGTAACTTCGTCCAACTGGACCTACAAAATCATGAATCACTATTTATTCATTTGAATATATTAGCTACCCAACTCCAACAGACTTTTATTTTTATGTTTAAACAAAATGGATAAGTAAATAATACTATATACATTAGTTTCAAGTACAACTAGATATACTTTTATGTGTAAACAAAAAAATTACCTGAACTTCTTTAATAGTATCATAATAGTTGAAAGATTAAAAGGAGATCCTTAACACAGCATAAATGGACCTAAAGCTAAAGCCCTAAGTGTAATCATGTGAAATTAGAAGAATTTTCTTCTACATTGATAGCTAAATTCAAGAACCTATTGTCAAGACCACGTTTTTTCAAAATGTATTGTATGGCTGCAAAAACTAGACAAGCAGAAAGATTGAGTGAAATAAACTGTGATGCTATAGAATATATTTGAAAATTTGGACTTGAAGAAAAAAAAAGTTTTTTGTTTTTTACTGGTTTTACAGGGTTTACTGGTTTTACTGTTTTTATTGTTTTAAATTTTTTTAAAAAAATTTAAATTGTAATATATGTTCTGAACTGTAAACTGCCCCGAGTCATTCACTGAGATGAGTGGCTATAGAAGTTGAACAAACAAATAAATCATTCAAGATGATTTAAAAAACAGATATATCACAAGAAGCATAAAGAAAACTTACATATTTTGGACATATCATGCAAAGCAAACCCCCAATGCCTTTAAAAATTGAAGGCAGGAGAAAAAAAGGCTGGCAGAAGATATGACATCACAAGTAGGAGCAGTTACTGACAGACTGTTATATACCGACATGAAGAGTCATAAGCTACTGAGCATATGAACAACAAAAGTTCATTACAAAAATTTTGGGATGATTCTTGTTTTGCCACCCGTATAAAGCACCATGATAAATCTCTAGTATGAAAATCTCACATGGTTCCAACAGGCCAATCCATCTGCTCTTGAACAAGGTCCTTCCCCTTCTCCCATCCTCCATGTTTGCAGGTGCTTCAGCTTGATTGGCTGAAAGCAGAGCTGTCTGGATTTTGAACCACTGGCACAACAGCTTCCTTTGGAACACAGAAGCTAGTGTGTTTTTGCTTAATTAAATGGTAAATTCATTGACGCACAGACATTCTGGACATGTTGCTCTCTAGAAGTGGGAGGAGTTTTATTCTCTTTTTCCCTGGGTCTTAGCAAGTACATGAAAACTGATGTGCTTTTTCTTACTGGGTTACTGAGGATAGTATCGATCTTCTCCTCTGCTGGAGAACCCCGTTCAACTTTGCATCTGTATGCCATCAGTTGCTGGCGGTCCTTCAAGTCTTTGTATGTCTGGCAAATACCCAAAAGAGAAGCCAATTAAACAAAAAAAAAAACACTTTTTTTTTAATCAACATCCTCAAAATCACAGTGATCTAGACATTCATCACCGATTCCTTCTTAGTAGCTATTTGGAAATCCTGCTGCTTCTTCCGTAGGCTGATACAGATTTAATGGCTGCTACAACAAAGATCTGGGATTTTTTTTTGAAAAAGCACCTTTGGGACAACATGACCTGGATGACTGAGAATCTCTAGACGTTTGGGACTTTTAACTTTTTTTGGATGCAGAAGTGGTCAGCACATTCTAATACCTAGTTCTCTGAGTTTACACACATAACATTGACTTTTCTATTCATTTAAGTATGATAACTGCAATGAAAGGTTAACAATAAAAGGCTAACTTTAGCTAATACTTTTCAAGCCAATATTTTATTTCTGCTTTTAGGCTAAAATGATCATGGAAATGGGCAACATTTAGATAGCTGATGCTGTCTCTTAGAAGTCAGTGAATTTACGATCCAGCACATCTATCAGATTGGCTGTGATTATAGTTAAAAAAAGGGCAAGCATCTGTCAAAGGCAGGAAGACTAAAACAAGGTCAGCAAAGAATTTTCCTAATCTTCCACAGAAGATGCCCATTCCTTGACTTAGAAGGAACTCCAAAGAACCTTCTTGAGTGACTAGCTACCAACATCATATGAATTTATCTTCTGTTTTATACTTAGAAGAAATCAATCTAGCATGCCTAAATAATATGTTCTGGAATGTGTTGATTTTATACATTTATTATATTTTACTGAATCGATTTATATCAAGATGCCGACAATCTTCTGCTGACGTGGAAAATTTAGTGTTTAAGTTGTGAAAACTGATTAACACAGCATTAAAAAAATGAAAGTACAAAGAAATGAACTCATAAGGTTGAGAAGGCTACTTTGAATACCACCCTGTGTTGATTGATTTATTGATAAGTGAGTTCAAACTTATAATAAAAACCACATCTTGTCCGGTAGGATCAAACATAATATGCTGATAGTGATATGCAAAAGCTGCACTCAGAGGTGCAGCCAGCTGTTCTGGTATCTCTTTGAACATACCCATCCTAGAAGCAATTTTAATAACATAAGGGAATTGAGGGAGGCAGCAGCTCTGAAATACAAACTAAAGTATACTGCCAGTGATAGTTCCTTCAAGTATTTCAAGAATAATTTAGGAATTTTTCACTGAGGAATCAACTCTGTCTCTGTCTGTTCCACAATTTCCCATATAAAATATGTAAAACATACATCTATAACAACATCGTGGCACTTGTATTTCATAGCAAGATTCAACTTAGTCTCAACATCTTCTATTAAACGCACGTACTCCTGCAGGACCTATAGGAACAAGACAAGGAAATATCAGCAGAATATTCATGATCCTTTGCTTATCTCCCCTCACTTAATTCCACATCAGTTTCACCCTGAAGTAAGTTTATTTTATCCCAAATTATATTTCTTCACCAACTACTTTCCAAAAGGTAGGTGGTCTACTCTATAATCCAAGGTGTATGAAAACAAACAGTGCATACCAAACTAGAGAAATATTTCTTCTAGTTTTCATGAACAGCGTACAAAATTATTTGGGAAATGGGCACATGAAGACTTTTCACGATGGAGGCAACGTTCTGTTGATCAACGGATTATACCAGAAACAGATTACTGGACAGGTTGCTCACATACCTGCACTGGGGCATTGTTCCGCTGCAGTATCTCCACCACTCGATGGAAACTAATAGGAGCTTTTTTTTTGGTATAGCCTAACCAATTCTGAAATCACAAATTGAGAAAAAGAAAATAGCATCAGATCTTGTGACTGCCTGAGGATGCACTGCTAAACATCACTTAGGAGAGGCAAGATTTATTCTTGGGTATCTCTTCTATTTTCTGCACATGTCCTAAAAAGGAAGATGCATTGGACAAAGTTGCTGTCCTTTTCTGATATAACTTACCTGTAGGATACATTAGAAAATTCAAAGAGAATAATTGGAACAAGTCTTTTCCTATAAATGAACTAATCCATTAAGTATTGTATAAGGGCAGATAGATAAGCACATCACTAGCATAAAGATTCATTATGCCAAGCAGCATGAATCAGGCATACATGATTCAATGAAAACCAGTAGCATCTCACCTTTGTTGTGAACAAAGCATCCACGTCATGCCAAGCTCGGAGTTTGGCACGAGCAGCCAGAGCTGTTAGCACGTACTGTTTGTCTGGGATCTGTAAGGTAAAGAAATGGAAATCCTAGAAATGGCTTGAGAGAGCTAGACTGTGATCCAGTGTGAAGTAATAGTTAAAGTGATGGATTAGGTTTCAGAAAACCTAGGTTCATATCCATTCTTAGTTACAGAAGCTCACTGGATGATTTGAGGCTAATCATTCTCTGTCAGCCCTCCCTTCCTAAGTGGTTGTGAGGAAGAGCTTTGTACACTGCCCTAACCTCTTTGAGGAAACTGAAATTGAAAATAAAGACAATTAAATCCATTGGTTGCCGAGATTCTTGTAATGAAAGCTCAATTGCATGGGCCTTGGTCTGATCTAGCAAGGATTTCCTTATACTTTATCCAACAACAAGTTATCTGGATGATTTTCTATAATTATTTTTATTGCTTTCAAAAATTTTCCTATTAACAGTGAATCATGTGAAGATCATAATAACAATAAAAATAATTAAAGAAACAATAATAGGCCATGCAAGCATTACCCTGCCTCCAAATTAAAATATACACACATCAGTCAACACTAGCCATTCAATAAGACTTGCAGAAAGGGGGTCTGTAAGTACAATCTGTATCCCTGAACAATAGTGCAAAAGAAAATTCCACCAAACATCAGGCCAAATTGAATGTAATCCCAAACTCATAGATACCCTGTGCAGTTCACTAAAGAAAAGATGAGGAGAAAGTGAAAATCTTAAGCTTATTTCTTGTACTAGAGTATTATGGCTGTGAATTCAATCTCTTAAGACCAATGCAATGAACATTGCCCAATTAAGCTACTTTAACTAAGCTGTGTCACACTTCATGGTTTTAGCAGCACAATCCCTTAAATCCCTTCATTCCATAATACATATCCTCTGCATACGTTTCAAGGATCATTGGTCTCGTCTAGAAGGAAGAGATATATGGCCAGGGTATTTGCGAGACCGCCTGCTGCTACCGATAACCTCCCACCGGCCAATACGCTCTCACAGAGAGGGCCTCCTCGGAGTGCCGTCGGTCAGGCAATGTCGGCTGGCGGCCCCCAGGGGGCGAGCCTTCTCTGTGGGGGCACCCGCCCTGTGGAATGAGCTGCCTCCTGGAATACGATTGATCCCGGACCTCCGGACCTTCCGTAAAGCCCTGAAGACGTTTTTATTTCATCAAGCCGGCCTAGCCTAAATGGTTTTTAATTGGGATTTTAAATTTTATGGATTTGGGGTTTTAAATTTGGGTAGCCAATGATTTAATTCTTTTAATTATCTTAACTTTTGCATTTGTATGTTTTTTAATTTTGGCTGTTCACCGCCCTGAGTCCCTTCTGGGAGAAGGGTGGTATACAAATTAAATTAATAAATAAATTAATTAATAAATATATGCTTGGCAAGCTATCAGTTTCCTTACCTTGAAAGTTTTCTTCAAGTTTGCTGGACTACTGAATGTTCCCTGGAAAAAAGAGACATTGCAACTTTTATCAAAACCTTTTAACCAAGAAGAAAACGTTGGTAATAAGCAATATATATACAATTTACAAAACCATTTTAGAATTTTCTCCCCAAACACAAATAAAACCATTTTATATATAAACTATGTTAAACATACCCAAATAAGACATCCCCTGATAATAAACCCAATCGGGCTTTTGAGCGCATGGCAGTAAGACCAAGCGCTTACTTCAGGGTTCAAAAAAATATAAGACAGGGTCTTATTTTCAGGGAAACACGGTATTACACATTAGGCTTAAAATACTTCAAGGTTTAACATCCAAGGAAGCCTTATCAAAAGTAGCCGAATTGAGGATAACAGTATTTTTACATTGTTTTTTTAAAAACTCTGCAGTATTTGAAGAGTCCATTGTCTAATATGCAATATATCAGATGCCCACTTGCATAAGGTGATATATGGCTTTTCCTTTATTCCGAAAAGACACCAGCTTCACCGATCAACATAGAGATCCCCATTGCTACCACAGTTCTAACCTCAGTTTCTGTGTAATGGTAGAAGCAGGAGTAGAAAAGTGTGGTGACTAATGGCATGTTTAGAATGGAAGCTTTTCTAGGGTATTTTCGAAAGATTTCCGTCTGCCCAGATGACTCTAAATGTTTGTCATTTGCCTGGAAAAAATCAGAACAAAAAGAGTTTTTGTTAAAAAAAACATCTAATGTTACATAAAAACATTTTTTTAAAGTTTCAAAGACAATCAGGATTAAATCTCAACAAGTGGGTTGCAATCCTTTCCATATTTACCCAGCGGTATAAGCCTATATTCAGAAGTGTTTTCTTCTAAGAAAGTTTGGAAAGAATTGTGGTCTCCATGAATTTGTCCTAGTCATTACCTGTTAGCTTAACTTACTCCAAGCCCTACTGAATTTCACGAAGGAGGAATAAAGATTACATTAGTAATATCTGTATCTCAGAAACATCCTTTATTTTCTGAGATCGCATGGCAATAATCATGCAAGCCCAGGAAGATATGCCTTTTCTAAGGACTTCTGAAACAGTCACCCAGCATCTGGCATGGTGGCTTCATTATGGCAGGCATGGGCAACTTTTTCCAGCCTTGGGACAATGTCTTTCTATTGTTCCATGTCTACAAGGTTTATGGTACCTGTTTTTCTCCTTAACCCTCTGATCCAGAAATGGGGGAAGAGGGGGAAGGAGAGAAAGGATTTAATACTTTGGTTCTGTCTACTTTTCTTTTTAGTCCACATAAAAAGCTTGGTGTTACAACAAGTAGGTGAAAGCCAAGAAGTCTGGAATAATTGTCACTGCCATGTACCCAGTGGCAGAGTGGGACCTTACTTCAATGATGATCTGTCTCTCCAAGAGTGTATAATGATCCTGAACATGAGCAGAATCCTCTGATGAAAAGGGCAACCTAGATTGGAGAAGTGGTACGAGTTCAGTTTTGCATTCTTCCTTTGTATAAAACACAATCATATTTATTCAAAAGCAGGTGCAGTGAGGCAGTCTTCTCCAACTAAGTACCCCATAAGTTCAGTTAACAAAGAATAATTGTGGCCTAATGAACTTTACAAGCTATTCACTGAATACAAAAAGAGCTATATGGGTCCAAAACAAAGGTGTGCCACACAATCTACTTGCCAAAATGGTCAGCTAGATGTTTATGAGCAGGCCCTCAAGCAACTGATAATTAGACATTACAATACATTTCAACTTGGTAATGTTTAGGTAGTATAGCAACTATTGATAGTGTTATTCTTTATTAATTTGTCTATGTTTCTTTAAAAACTTTTCATGTGTTGACTAGCAAAACGTTTGAGGCAGTCATTTCTGTTCCTACAATTTGAATTGTTTTCTAACCAAAACAGTCCTTTTGTTGGTCCTAAACTTGCTGGTATGGCCTTGTTATTACAACTGTAGGGAAAAATATTTCCCAAACTATTTTCTCTACACAGTGCATAACTCTGTAATTTCTAGACAACCCATACTCCATCTTTTCAGAGATATTTCCTTACCTAAACAGAGAAACAGAATGATCAAGGGGCAAAAAAGCAGTGGGAACAGGAGCAGCTTCCAATTTCCTACCAGTTTCCCCCTTGAATTTCCTTGTGGGAAGTTGGCTGGGAACATCTGAAATCTCCTCTCCTTCTCCCTTCCCTCCCCCTTCCTTTTTTCAGCAGGCAGGTTAGTGGCTGCTGTTAGGTGGGAGAGAGACTGAGGGATTGCAAGACAGGCTGGGAAATTGTCACAGAAACGCTTAATGAAAATCACATGACCACATCAGCAGCCCAGCAGCAACCAGGGGGACTGAAACAGCCACAACTTCCCCAAATTTCAATCCCCTAGGAGTCATAGGTACCAGATTTTGGACACATTCTGCAAGTTAACCCTTTTGAGATACCTTGGTCCAAAAACTGTTGCCCTGTGATGCACCATTTCACAGAGTTAAAAGTCATAAAAAGTATTTTAGTGGTATATAGATGACGTTATTTCTACTTTCTTCTCCCCAAAGAAAGCCTCTTCTTTATAGCTTTCCATTGTTTTACTTTGTGGGAAACAATAAGGCTTCCTTCCCATTAATGCTGCAATTATTTTACCTCTAAAGCAGGGGTGTCAAACTCACAGCCCACAGATCGGATGCGTCACGTGCTGGCCCCGCTCCCACCTGGTTTAGCAAAGGGGGGGAAGTCCCAATACATCACGTGACAACGCGAGTTTGACACCCCTGCTCTAAGGCTTATTCTCCTTTTATTTCTCCATAACTTTCACTTACCCAATGCAACTTTTCAGAAACTCCTTTCTTTTCTCAGCATCCAAGATAGTCAAGTGTTCACGGTATTGGGTCAGCTGGAGATGGTGGAAACAAGACAAAACAGCCTCAGGAGGAGAGCAGATTAAATATTCAATCAAGGCTGGGTAGCCCTGGCCCCATCTACTCAATGCATTCCCTCCAGAGATTAAGATTATTCCATTTTTCCTAACTGGGAATAAGTACTATGTGGCTTGCCTTCAATTTCTCAGTATATTATTGTTTCCTCCCACAAAAAAAAAAAAGAGTCTAGGCAATGTGGGATACTCACTGCAACTTCCTCAGTCCTGCCCAGGAATCTAGGGGAAAAAAAATGTATCAGTCCTGTTCAACTTCCTGCTTGGACATCAGTTTTGGCTGTATGCTCACAAGGGCTTTTACCTCAACAAGTCTAGGAGAAGTTTTTGGTCTCCAGTCTCCTTGAGAAAATGTATTAAATGGCGCAAAGCAACTTGCCGCATCTCCAGCTCTCTGAACAGGATCTCTAGTTGTAAAGAGAAGAAGTGCTTGTCTAACAAGATCAGGCCTGAGTAATCCCCTCACTCTTTCTTTGATTAAGTATTTCACATCTGTTGGCCATCCTGGAAAGAGATGATGGGAAGGGTAGTCCTATGCATCTGGAGGGCCCAAGGTTGGGACAAGTCAACTTACTATATGGTCGACTAATCAGAAGAAATGAAAGGGTCACCTTAGCTATGCCAGTATACTGCATGTCAGTGCCCTGTCTCTAGCTAATTAATGGGATGGAGGCAACAGAATGTTGGCTTATAAGGGAGTCTCTAACTTAGAAATTCCAACTTTGTTGTTGTATTTGTGGCTTACTGCTAAAATATGTAAAATCTGACCAGTACTGCCATTAAAAGAGAATGCTGCAGTTAACAGTTAATGAGTCAAAAGAAAGAGGGTTAGCATGGGATTCAATATTGGAATTAAAAATTAATTTTAGCTCAAAACAACACGGTGGTTCAGTCTGCTAGTTCAAATCTAAATTAATTCTCTGTTCAGCTGTGCTGTCCAAACAGATCAAGCATTATTTCAATAGCTGATAAGCTGAGAGAGGGTAGCTTTATTTTATATGTGATGGAAAAGGTAATTTATGCACTGCAAAAATTCTAACAAGAAAGAAAATCTGACACACTTCAGCTAGCCAACATATGATTACAAAAATAGTAAACTTTGAATTTGTCACCAAAAAGATGCTCTTTATAGAATGTAATATGTAGCATGATAGTATTTATGGCAGTGTTTTTCAAACTTGGCAAATTTAAGATGTTGGACTTCAGCTCCCAGAATTCTTCAGCCACCATGCAGGCTGGAAGTTTCTGGGATTTGATGTCCACACATCTTAAGGTTCCTACATTTGAAAAAACATTTGAAAAATCTATGCTGATGAATGGGAATTGGCTTCTATGCTCAGCAGATCCAATTATAACCACTCTCTGCAGCAACAATGTTTTCCCCACTATATATAAAGAAATTTCAATTTAATTCATGAGATTATAAAATCAATTTATACTGCCTAAAATGACTGTCTTGAAAAGCAGAGGTGATCTGTCAGCTTAACTTGTATGAGAAAAAGTAGGCTATACATACTTTATACAGATACATTTATAAATCTATTTGGGAATTCTGGACATTACATACCTTTCCTTAAGGTTCTTTTCAGAAAAATGAGTATCTGCAGGAAAACAGACAGAACCAGGGTCCATTATACCATCCATTCATCTACAATTGATTGATTGATATCTTGCCTTTATTTGTACAACTGATAAGCCAAACCTTTATAGATTTACGGCCTGTTTATAGCTGGCCATATGTCCATTGGCAATTATTTTGTAAAAGTGTGGATAACATCCTCCCTAAATTCCAAAATTGCTCACTACTTTGGAAAAAAAAAACATTGGGGACTCCTGCTTGCTGCATGATCATTTGGATTTTTGGGCATTTTAAAAATTTAAAAATATTTAAGGGGTCTTATAAGATTTAATTCACTCTTCATTTCTTGGTGGCAAAAGTAGCTAAACCAATGCCTTGCATTCCAAAGTATTTTGTAGCAGCAAAACAAAAACAAAAAGGTCCATTGCGTTATCTAGAAGATCCCAGCAATTTAAGGGAATAATTTATGAAAAATAATAATATAAAAGTAACCACATCCTCATGTACAGAAATAGAAATTAAATGGGTCAAACTGAACTGCCATTCCTGTCCCCCACTGCTATACATTGGAGCAGGACTTACAGCTGTAATAACATTCCCATCATGCAATGCAACAGCTTCATCCAGCAGCAGTAATTTGTCCTGCAAGGAATGGAACCTTTCCAAGGAACAGACCTAGAGAAGAGTGAGATTCATCAACAAAAACAATATTGGAAAGATCTACAACTATGCCTGGCTAGCTGATTGTGTCAGCAATTTCAGAGACAACCAATGGAAGTGATTGCTTTCAGGGAGACAGCTTTAGCCTAATTACAAGCCCCAGAAGCCTCAGTCACTGAGAAAAACATTTTGTCATTTAGTACTATGTCTCTGGGTTTATTTCATCAAGCACTACACACTGTAGTAGGAATCCTCTTTCTAGCATTTTCAAAAAAACCTTAAAGTCATTTTAACCCAACTACACAGGCCAAGGATTCAGGCAAAACCCCAGTCATAACTCTGAGGATTCATAAGAATTTGACTTATGTCTCCCTGATAATCCCTCCTCAAGTAATTTCATTTATTTCCTAATCCCCATGGCAAAGGAAAAGCTGGGCAGCATCTTCCACTTTGAGGATCTTACTTTAAACAATCCCTAAAAATATCTAAGGTACTTCAGAGGCATTAAAGCTATACAAATATATCTGATTAGTGGCTCTAAAGCAACTAATTGTGGATCATCTTTATGTCTACTAAAGATAGCTTGTTTTCCTCTAGCCGTCAATGGAGAGTTCTCAAGAATTAAAACCAAGTTGATGGATATATTTTTTTTGCTCCGAAGTTGGCAGAACATAAGATATAGTTATAATGTAAAATAGATTGTGGCATTAGAACTTGTTAGTCCTAGCATAATTGGTCTTCGTGTGGAGGACTTCATTTTCTTTTTCACAGTAAGATGTCAAATATGTCCTTCCAGCAGAAAAGGAAACTACTAATAACCATATTGCCATGTGACTATGCAAAAATAGTGTGAGAAACCCTTCCAGATAGATACAGATAGATAGATAGATAGATAGATAGATAGATAGATAGATAGATAGATAGATAGATAGATATAGATAGATGATAGATAGATAATAGGTTCAAAAGTAGGAATAAAAAATGTTCTTTTATACAGATTGTTCTCGAGTTACGATGGCAAATGGGACTAAAACTTCCGTCGCTAAAAGACAACAATCCCTTCAGTCCTGGTTGCTGTTGTTAATTGAATTCCCTAGCTGATAAGGCAACCTTCTGCTGGCTTTCCACAACCAAGTCACTGGAGAAGCAAGCAGGAACTTGCAAGTCCCAGGTGGCTTTCAAGCAGGCCACCAGGTAGGCAAATGACTGCTGCAAGGTGGGGGGGGCATGAGTGGGTGGGTAGAGATGCAGGGAAGGCACAGTAAGGCTTGGGAAGAGTTTGCGGGTGTGCATGATGCTGCAGGAAAGGCATAGTGAGTGTTGGAGATGTGCACACTAGTGCAAGGGAGGAGCGCCAAGGCTCAGAGAGGGTGTGCCAGGATGCACAATGAGGTAAGGATTGGAAAGGGAGTGCAAAGGAGGCATGGTGAAGGTTGGGGAGGTGTGTGAGGATACAAGGAGGTGCACAAGAGGCAGAGGAGGTGTGGGGAGATGCACAAATGGGTGAGATATACCAACAACTACTTGTAATGTTCCCTGCCTGTTTCCCCATTGACTTTCTGGGGATACCGGCAGAAATGATTGCAAATCGCTATCATGTTATTGTTGGCATTCTGCAAGTGGCCATAAGTTCAAGCTAAATACCAAACATTTAGATTGCAATCACATGACTGCAGGATGTTGGTACAGGCAGAACTCTGGGAACCTGTCATAACTATCATCCATTTAGAGTCCCATTGTAATTCTGAATGGTTGCTGAATGAATGGCTGTAGGTCGAGAATTAACTGTCGCTTCTAAATTGTTTGAAGCATAAAATGAGCTTTCTGAAAGCTCATCCTGTTTCCACTTCCTACCTTGCCTCTCTGCAGCCGTCTTACTGTATCATTAGGGCTCCAATCAGAATTGTAATCCTGAAAGAGTAAAAAGAAAAAGAAAACCACTGATAATGCCTTACGGGTTTTGAAAGATCCAGTTATGATCAAGATATATGGGGAGAGAGACAAATAACATTCCAGGCATCCTACCAGGCAACTCTCAGGGGGCTTGGAAACTTGAAAAAATAATTTAGGAATACAATGTAACGGCAAGATAGGAATCTTGGGTTGGAACCCATGTTTCTAATTTGTCACTAGTTTAATCACTAAAAGAGGTAGGGCATGTTTGCCTGCAAAAGTAAAGCCAGGGGAGAGATTTGATAACATCTTCAGCAAATAAAGGAGGAGATGAACTTGTTCTATTTAGTTTTGGATGACAGGACTAGAACCATAGAACCATTCTACAAAGGTAATAGGATAGATATTAGATAAGAGCTGTCAACCAATTGAATAGTTGTCTCAGGAAGTTTGGAGGGCTTCAAACAGAGATTGTATAACCACTGATTTTAGCTGATCCTGCATCAAGGAATAGTTTGAGCCAGATGACAACTAAAGGTTTCTATGATTCTATGATCTAATCTCTTTTCTCTTCAGACATTGATTAAGAAAAAACTCTTTTAATCTCTTTTAAAACATGGAACTTGCTGCTAAAGCAATATATTTGCCTGGGAAAAGACAGTTAGCAAACCATGCTGTAGTTACTGTTTTGTAAGCTTCCAGTTTCCTTGCCTAGAATTATGGCCCAATTATCTGCATAGCATTTGCATATGCACAAAAAGCATGCTCAGTTGTTTAAGTGTCCTTGGGCAAAAAGAGATGACGTGAGCTTTTATATTTAGGATAAGGTTTTATCATCTGATTCTAAACTACTTAACTCTCCCTTCAGATTCCAATAAATATACTAACCTTATAATCTCCTTTTGGTCTGCGTAATTCTGGAGCATAATTTTTAAATCCTGTGTCTGTAAGAACTGAAAAAGGAAGAACAGAAAAAGGAAGAGCAAACTTTCTGAATTAAATTCTCATCTTTCGATGCTTTTTGCCCCTTCTATGGCTCATAGTCACTAAGTCTGATTCAGCACCAAAGTAACAATAATGCCAGTTAAAGCAAGAAATAAGAACCGTCTAAATGCACAAACAAAAGCATCTGTTTCTAAAAATCAAACAGACAATGGCAATTTCAAGGTTATTATCTGACCGAGTCCAAACGCTGTCCTGATTCTTGTCTAACTATTAGGATGTATGCTTTAAAATATCTCACTGAAACTTTCAAATGCCAATTCATCCTTTTTCCCAACTGGTGTTTCAAAAATCTTTGAAGACCTGGAATTTTTGCTATAAGCCGCCCTTAGTCATTTTGAAATGAGATGGGCGAAAATAAATTAAATAAATAAATAAATAAATAACTTAAGGCATGGGGTCTGGAGATTGGGTGAGCCATCAATGTGATTTTTGGGGATGACTGTTGTTACATGGATTTAATTATTTATTTTATTTTATTTTATTTTGAATTTGTATACCGCCCTTCTCCCTGAGGACTCAGGGCGGTGAACAGCCAAATAAAAACATCAAATACAAATATTAAAATACAGTTAAAAATATATATATAGATTTGGCCCCATTAATTAAAACGATAAACAAAACAATTAGATTTTCTTTTATTATTTTCTTGTTCTATCATGTTCTATTGGTTTTTAATCTCCCGTCAACCACCCAGAGATGCAACTGGCAAGATGAAAAACTATATAAATTAATATAATAAACAAACACATGAATGTCCCAAAGGTGTTTTTTTTTTTCATCTGAAGAAGCTTCCTGGATGACAAGCGAAATGTCTTCAAAGAAAAACTAAATCCAGTTGTCTCTCGGAAAAAAAAGCACCTTTGGGACAACCATGACCTGGATGACTGAGAATCTCCAGACAAACACATGAATCTGCTTTGTGATGACACTTGAATGCTTGGTTGCTTCATTTGGATACGCTACAAGGAGTGGGCTGCAATCCTGCTCTATGGAAAGATATACATACTCCTCTCTTCAGAGACAGCCCTACTCCTGTTCTTTAGTCTCAGCACGGAACAGGGCAGGGGTGAAATGCTCCCAGTTCAGACCGGATCACCCGATCTGGTAGCGATCGTGGCGGGTCGTTCGGAGAACCAGTAGCAAAAATCCCTGCGCCCCCCCCCATGCCCAGCTGAGCCGCACGATCATCAGAGGCTTTTTTTTTACTTTTAAAAGCATTTTTTCTACAACTTCTTCCGATGAAAAAATGCTTTTAAAAGTAAAAAAAAGCCTCTGATGATCGCGCGGCTCAGGTGGGATAGTCAGAGGCTTTTAAAAGCATTTTTTTCTGCAACCTCTTTTTTTTTTGTTTTTTTTTTTTTGCTTTTAATTTATATGCCGCCCTTCTCCAGAGACTCAGAGCGGCTTACAATGCGTTAAGCAATAGCCTTCATACTTTTGTATATTTATATAAAGTCAGCTTATTGCCCCCACAATCTGGGTCCTCATTTCACCTACCTTTGAAAGGATGGAAGGCTGAGTCAACCTTGAGCCTGGTGAGATTTGAACTTGCAGTAATTGCAAGCAGCAGTGTGCTTTAGTCCACTGTACTACAGGCTCTTCCTGGTTGAAGAGGTGGTTAAAAAAAATGCTTTGAAATGCTCTGACGATCCCAGCTGAGTTGCCTGATCGGCAGAGGTTTTTCAAAGCATTACAAAAAAAATGCTTTGAAAAGTTTTTTTTTTAAAAAAGTTGGCCACACCCACCCAGTCACATTACTACCCCCACCCCCACCAAGTCACGCCCACAGAACTGGTAGTAATAAATTTTACATTTCACCCTGGAACAAGGGCTGCAACTTCTAGCTGGTATATTCTGCCTTTCTTTCTCTTCCTAATGGCAGGGCCAGATCTGACACTACATCCTGAACTCAATAGAGGGCACTTTGCCTTCAGTAATTTCTTGAGAGCTTTTCTTTGGAGAGTAACCTCTGAATGAAGTGAAAGGACAAAGATTGCAAGGAAAGCCTAGTGAGGAGAAATTTGTAGAAAATAAGATGAGAGCTCATATATTTATATTCCTATGCAATCTGCATGATTTGTCATATAGAAAAGGTACAACTAATTTCTCCAATGTAATGTGAGAAGCAACCTTCCTTTTAGCAAGCTTAAGACTAAATTCAATCTTCTTACCATCTGAAAGTGACTGAAAACTCCCATGCTTATTTCTTCCTAGAAGCACAAATATGAAAGACAGAAATGAAGTCATTATTTCATCTAACTAGAAGCCTATTCAGCCAATAGCTATAAAAAATGCCAAACAACATGCATTAAGATGTATAATTGCAGAACTTCTATGAACATCCCATTTATCAATGTTGAACAACTGCTGAAGACTGGACATATTTTTTTTTCCTTTTCTCAAGGACTAATCTTTGCCTATGCTGTATTTATCCTCTTGCCAAAACTGTTAAATCAACTGGAAATATAAAGAGAAGGAAAACACTGTATTTCACATGAAAATATTTTAAAAAGCATAAAAACAGTGACCTTTTGCACAATAAGATACTAGGTAATAGGTGTATAGAGTGCATAACAAATGTTACCGTGCACAGACTTGGTACCAAAATTGACAAACAACTGCTCTAATACTCTGCCAAACGCAAGTTGGTGAAGAGCCAGAGATGAAGAAATCTTTTGATCAGGCAAGCTGAAACATGCAATTCTGATGCTTCCGAGGATAGCTCTGTTGAACAAACGCCCCCGTAATCAATACCTTTAAAAAAGCCACTCAGTGAGTATGAAGAGGACTGCTTGGGTATAGCTGCATAGGCAGAGCCCTTTTGCTGACTCAGATCCCTTCCTTCAGAGGTATTGCTGCTACTGCTGCTGGAGGCAGTCTCTTTGATTGACCATGAAATGCCTATAAAGAGAGAGGGGGGAAGGGAGGGAGAAAGAAAGATCTGTGAAAAGGGAATCATTCTTTAGCAAATTAATTTATCTATTTTGGAAATGGCAAATTTTCAGCTAAATAGGAAATGAAACAGTATGCTTTGTATGGGTATCATGATAATTTACAACAGTATAATAACGTTTTTAGATATTTTTAATTCTTTTCTGCTTGATAACATAGTTTTATAAGGTATTTTTAATAAGCCAGTGATTTCAACATGTTAAATATATAATTTCAGATATTTGGCATTTGTACTTTTTATTTTTTTCTATTTTTTTCTATTTGTTTAGGTTTTTTGTAGGTTACTATTTCAAAACATGGTTTTATCAATGGGCATGGAGACCACGAATGGAGAGAGAGCCGATCAAGTGGCTGATTTGTTGCTACCATAGAGGATAGGGTGGGGTTTTTTTTAAAATAGGTTTTATTATATGGTGGATTTGTTAAATTTTGTAAACTCACCTATGTTTGAACTAGGTGGCTATATAAATTTATTTAATAAATATTTTTTATAATGATCCTTTTTACAATCCAGATTGCAAAATTTTGGGATATGATGTAGTATGATATTAACATCATTGACATTTATGGGTTTATTCACTACTTGTGAATGTTTAAATGTTATTCCAAAAGGATGCCAGTAATTCTCAAGACCAGCTCATATGAGTCAATTAGCGCTCAATATTGTTACACCTCAAACTAAGAAAAGCTGATATCTACTATATTATTTGTGGAGTTCAATAAGCTCAAAATACAATTTTTGATCAATTTCAAATCTGTCAATACTATTTTAAGGTATTCTTAAGGACTTATAGACATTGATATAGCATTATCAGATATTGCAGTTTTTACTTTATAATAGATAAGAGATTTCATTTGAAGTTACTGGAGAGACTATTGTATACTTTCAATTGTTTGTCTTTATTAGTTTTTCCCTATTAAAAAAGGAAATTTGGGCAGAGGAAAATGAATGAATGAAGCCATTAGATTTTCTCAGCACCCAAATTTTAAACATAGATGATCTCCAAAATACATTTGGGTGCAATTCTGATTGATAGCTGTGGCATCAACCAAGGTACATAGACTTATGCTTTCAAAACAATTTTCCCAAATCAAACGAAGTACTATTGCACTTACTGCCCACACGTTCCCCACTCCAGTTGAACCTCTCAAGGTCGTCATCATCATCATCATTAATATCTGGAAGGCTATTGACTGTTCTCTTGGATTCCTTCAACTAGGAATAAAAACAATGTTAGGATGAAGTCTGGGTTATTATACTCTGTATTCTGATTAGAGTTGGAGCATTTAGGGGGACTGCTGTATTTTCTATTGTGTGGGACCATTGTACAATAGTTCACCTCCTAAAACAAACTCCAGAATTTCTTAGATATGCAGTCTCTATCGGCTTAGGCTACAACCATTCTTCTCAACAAAATAAGTATCATGTCTGTCATAACTCCATAGGTTATATCAGCTACTCCTCAATTTCTTGAAATGCACACTGTATTACAAATTCTTATTAAACCTGAGAAACCTTAGCATTTTTTTTTCAGTTTCCCATGATTAAGTTGAATAAAGACCACAATGTTTTCCTTCTATAGAATAACCAGTCCTTTCCTTTTCTTACATCAGTCTGCTTTAAAGTGGTCCTGCAGCCAGTGCATTCTGAAGCACTTCTTCTGAATCATTTTCAAAACTTGCGCGGTCTTACAAAGTTTTTTTTTTTTAATTTGATTTATATGCCGCCCTTCTCCGGAGACTCAGGGTGGCTTACAATGCGTTAAGCAATAGTTAGGTTTAGGATGGTAGAACTGGAACAGTACTATACTTTGCTGCAGGGTTGATAAATTTCTAAACTGGTGGCCATTATAGGATTCTCACTCAGGATCTTCCTCCATCATTGGCAGTAAGAACAATATGTTTAGGCACTATAACTAGAGTTCCTACAACAATCCTCACTTTTCTGAAGGGGAATGTCTTAGCAAAGTTAGTTTCTAGGAGACCAGATTTTAAAGATGCCTCCTTATTGAAGCAGTATCAAGCACTATCTCCCGAGATAGACTAGAACTATTTGAAGATACTTCATGGGCTCAGTGCTCTTCCCAGCCATCCCCTTAAAGAGTTGATATCATACGTAAACCAGATTCTTTCCTATATAATGTGCATTAAAATAAACTCCACAACTTTTCACTTCAATAGCTTGAGCCCTTCCTCAATCATACACACCAGGAAACACTAACTTTTGTCACTGTTGAGACACCAAATAAAAATGTGATTCTGTGTGCATCACATCTTTTTAAAGATTCATTCATTCCTACATTCTCATCTGCAAACACTTCAGTGAACTTATAGGGGAGAAATGCATCTGTTAGACTCGAATGCCCATTTTGTACAAAATGGCAAGTGGATTTATCTGTTGCATCCAAAGTCTTTCAAATGAAATCCAGTAAATCGTGGGTGTAGTGTACATATTCACAGACAAATCCTTTCATATGGAATAGAAATTTAAAACTATGGGAAAACAAATGTATTTTCATGCATATATTATTTTTTCATCTATCTATCTATCTATCTATCTATCTATCTATCTATCTATCTATCTATCTGAAATCATGGGAAATAAAAACTACTTAATGAAGGAAATTCAGTTCTGCACCATGTTGTGCACAAATTACACACATCCAAACAAATGTGATTAACAGCTCTGCTTCCAATTTATAACAAAATCTGCTAAGTTACCCCTAATTTCTTTAAAGCAAATATAAGATACAAAATACTAATTCTGTATGCAGATTTCTATTTTCTGCAGAAATTCAGGCAAGGGCATGACAATGTACTCTTTTCACCATTTTTTCATGATAAATATTATACCTGAAGCAGTTCATCATCTTCATCATCAAAAGTAAAGGCCTTACATTTGGAACTGTTCCAATATTCTTCTTCATCAACCTTCATCTTGCTCATCTGCAAAACAAAAATTATCATTTTGATTGCAATTGCAATGTAGCTATCTAGAGCACCACATTATTTATTATTTTATTATAGCCAATTTTTCAGAGAAAGATTTGGATATTCTCAAAACTATAATACATAGCCACTGAAACAAAAGTATCAATCTAACTAGTAGCTATGAATAACATACTAAGAGGCAGATCCAAGAAAAAAGTGACAGAATATCCTTCTACTGACATTGCTCCTATCCTATTCTACTGACATTGCCATTTTGATATACCACTTACATCCGCATAGTCTCCCCCACAGGATGACAGCTCTTGTACCAAGATAAACCAAAGTCAAAACTATCAAAATTATTTTTCAAAATACTTTAATATTCCCTTTTTAATAAATATTCAATGAAACATGGATCAACTGAAATGAACATAGCTATTAAATTGGTGCCACACATTTCCCTCATTATTTTTAAAAGATTCACTGGATTTGTAGCATAGCGTTTATTACTAACAAATACATTTTCTGAATACCATCTGTTAAGTAAGTAAATAAATAAATAAGTAAGTGTAGAACGAATTAGCACTCCAATTTTAAAGCAGTTGTTTTATTGGAGATTTAGTCATTTATCAGGGGGCCAAATGTCCTTGCATGGAAAATTGAGTTATATAAAGTTCTAAGGTACTTTACTATCTATACCTTTTGCAGCAGTTCAACAATGATAGATTTCATACATGTACCCTCGTCTATGTCTGTGATGAATTGGACAAAAAAGGCACAACTAGGGAACATTTTACTCTAAATATAAGGTGCACTAATATTCTGTGGAATCGTCAAAACACAGCTGCAAAATAAATTTCTACTGGATTTATTCCTGACGTTTAATCCATTCACCTTCTCCTTCTTAGGATCTTGGAGGGAAGGCCGACGTTTCCTTTCATCTTCATCCTCAACTGCAATTATGTTTTTAATAATATTTTAACAGCAGGGGGGAGGAAGGGGACAAAATTGCATTTGCCGGCGTTTTCCCCTTTTCTCCTCTGCCTGTCCCTAGCTTACATGGGGATGTGTGTGTGTGTTCCACCTACGCGGATTACACGGCATGATCCGTGGAGCTGCTCCTCTCGCCCGGAATCCAGTTTTTACCTTCTCGACCCTAAACTGATGGGAGGAAGCGGTATCCCCCCCCCAACCTATTAAGAAATGACGCCCCAAAAGAAACAAGCGGACCCAGGTACCCTCGAAAAAGCAGCCCAGACCACGAGAAACGAGAACGAGCGAACCGGCCAAGTCTCCGATCATGCGAGGCGGCGGTCCATGTTCAATAGCGAATCCGCCCTTTCCCCGGCGGAACGACTCGGTTGGGTCCCCGGCTCTCGGATACCGCCGTAGCCAGGGAGAGCAGGCTGCCTCCGAAAAGCATCACGGGAGTGATGTTTTCCAAGCTGTGGCTTCGCCTTTTGATATATCAAGAGGTTATTGCTGCTTAAGGAAACTACAAATCCCAGCACGTCCTCATATCTTGGTTTCCCGGGATGAAATGCCTTAAAAAAATCGAACTACAAGTTGAAATAGAATTTCCAAGAAGCCATACTTCCTTTTCCGCTTCCTGCTTTACTTCATGACTACGGAATCAGAGAGGAGTCAATATTCTTCAGCTGCGCGGCGCTGGAGTCAACTAGCTAAAGAGCCAAGAAGTGTTAAGCGATCAAGACCCGCTCAACATTGGCGGAACCACATAGCTGAGACCGTGGAGATACAGACATTATCATCTTCAGTAGAATCCAAAGACAAATTCTACGACGATCTGGCTGCTACTATCAAGAAAACCCCTGAGAAAGAACCACCGATTTTAATGCCAGAGTTGGAGCCGATTACAGCAAGGACAAACCTATGGAAAATAATGAACAAATGTCCACAAAGGGCAGGATTTTGAGTAAAAAAAAATAACTTTGGGTTTATGAATGAATGAATGAATGTGCATTACTTTAATTTGCTTGAGTCAAAACCCATACGTGAAATATAGCCACAAAAATAATATACATAGAACTTCAAAAAATGTGTACTTTAGGATGATCCCATCGAAAGCCTTATATACTAAAAAGGACGACTTTGCTATATGTGTCACCTTTAAATTTCTGTTAGCCAAAGGATAATACATGTGAAATCGTCTATGGTCGTGCTTTTAGGGCTGTGAGAGCCTTGGAACAGAACTGGTATTAGAAAATCATTTTCTTTTCCTAATACAGGTAGTCCTCGACTTACAACAGTCCATTTAGTGACCATTCAAAGTTACAACAGCACTGGAAAAGGTGACTTATGACCATTTTTCACACTTATGACCATTGCAGCATCCCCATGGTCACATGACTTACGTTCAAATGCTTGACTAGTGACTCACACTTATGACGGTTGTACTGTCCCGGGGTCATGCCATCCCAGGGCCGGATTTTCCTATAGGCTAACTAGGCTTCAGCCTAGGGCCTCAAGATCAAGAGGGGCCTACATTCAAATTGTTAGCAAAATTAAAATAATTAAAATTACACTTTCACTATAGGTGAAAGGGCCTCATAAGTGGAATAGCCTAGGGCCTCTTTTCATCTAAATCCGGCCCTGTGCCATCCCCTTTTGCGATCTTCTGACAAGCAAAGTCAATGGGGAAGCCAGATTCACTTAACAGCCGTATTACGAATTTAAAAACTGCCGTGAATCGCTTAACAAATGTGGGAAGAAAAGCCGTAAAAAACTCACATTTTTGAGAATATGTTGCTAAATGAGAAATTAACACATTTCTCACTTAGCAACATAAATGTTGGACTCAGTTGTGGTGTAAGTTGTGGACTACCTGTATCTCACGCACAGGCTGCCTTTCAAGAGGCTTCCTATGCTATCCCGCACCCTCCTTTTGGTCGCTGCTATGGGGGAGACTCCTCAGACTTTCCCCTTAGCTGTCTTTTTCTCCCCCCCCCCCCCCCCCCTCCAGAGATCCGCTCAGGTCGACCAGGCGCTGCCACCCGACTCAGCTGAGCAGCGCGAAAAGACTGGGAGAAATGGTTCCCGCGCCATCTGTCTGTTCAATGGAGCGGAGTTTTTGCACCACGGAGAAGCCCCAATCAAACGGCACGCGGGGGTGGGGGTGGGGGGGCAGTTAGAATGCCGAGTGTGGCAGCGCGTGTATTTCCCCGGCGCATTAAAAAAAAAAAAAAAAGCACCACCCTCCACTGCCGCTTTCGCCCCGCCCCTCCAGCGCCTCGCTCCATTTCTACGACTGCGGCCGCTCTCTCCCCCACGCCCCCTCTGTTTCTATGGCACTTCTATGGAGGGGAGAGGGAGAGGAGAGGAGAGGAGGGGACGGAAGGAAGCTCGGCCGGTGACGGAAGTCGGGAGGCGGCGCGGTACCGGCGCTTCTAGTAGCTTCCAGAGAGGCGAGGAGCAGGCGGCGCTCGGCTTGGACGGGAGCGAAGGCGGCGGTGGCGGGAGCTGCTTCTTCGGGGCGCCGATGGCCAAGTGGGGAGAAGGGGACCCGCGCTGGATCGTGGAGCAGCGCGCCGATGCAACCAACGTCAATAACTGGCACTGGTGGGTGAGAGACGGGGAGAGGACGCTGCGGGGCAGCCCGAAAGGGGCGGCTGCTTTCAGTCTCGGGCGCTGCTGCTGGTGCTGCCGTCGCCGCCTTGAGCTCCTCCACGTTCCTTTCTGCTCCCTCGGCGCCCCCCCCCCCCCCCCCCCCCCCCCCCCCGCCTGGCGTTTTTCTCCGCAGGAGCCTTGGCCGGGATCCGCGGGGACTCCTTTCCCAAGGACGGGCGCGATTTGCATGGGCTTTTGACAGTTAACCAGAAAAGCGAGAAATCGGGGCGGAGGGGGAAAAAAAAAAAACCCACCTGGCCGGGTATCTTTTTTTTTGCTGCCCTGAATTTCTCTTAGTCCAAAGCCAGAAATAAGCTTAACCCCCAAAGGTGCTTTTTTTTTTTTTTTTCTCTTCAGGAGGCCAACTGGACTTTTCTTGTTTTTTTTCTTTGAAGATGTTTCGCTTCTCATCCAAGAAGCTTCTTCAGCTCGGGATGGTGGGGTCAAGTGGCCTCAAAGTTTCCCTAAAAAGGATGCAAATGAGCAGCTGTCTGCAAGGACTATAGTAAATCTTTCCATTCCCCACCATCCAGTCAAAGCTGAAGAAGCTCCTTGGATGAGAAGCAAAACGTCTTCAAAGAAAAAAAACAAGAAAAGTCCAGTTGGCTTCCTGAAAAAAAGCGTCTTTGGGGACAACTACGACCTGGATGACTGAGAATCTCCATAGACAGAAATAGGCTGGTTTCTCAGAAGCCTGGAAAGTTCTTTTAGTACAATTTACCTGCACAAGCCGGTAGGTTTTTCCTGACATAGAAAGAAGTGCTGTTTTCAGATATATCAAGCCGCTATATCAATCAAGGAGAGCGGGACTAGCTGTGTGCATGTACAGTATATGTCTGTGTTGGCTACTGTATTGGGCATACAGATGCAGGTGTGCACTAAGTCCATTTTTCCTGTCTCCGGGGCTCATTTACAGCATGAAATATCAGCAGTGCCAAAGATAAGTTGTGGCAGAAATTTTAATAGTTTAGGTTCTGCAAATGTATGCAGCATGCCTTGTCTGGGTTTTATTTTCATGTCATACGGTATTTTGTTATCCCTGACCTTTCAAAATCATTTAGGCTATTACAGGTAGTCCTCAATTTACAACCGTTTGTTGAGTGACTGTTCGAAATTACAACAGCACTGAAAAAAGTGACATGACCAGTTTTCACACTTATGACCGTTACAGCATCCCCATGATCATGTGATCCACTTTTGTGATGTTCTGAAAAGTAAAGTCAATGGGGAAGCCGGATTCATTCAACAACCGTGTTACTCATTTAACAAGTGCAGTGATTCACTTAATTAGTGGGGCAAGAAAGGTCGTAAAATGGCAAAACTCACTTAACAAACGTTTCGCTTAGCAACAGAAATTTGGGGCTCAATTGAGTTCATAAGTCAAGGACAACCTGTATTTTGACAGTTTTGCTCACTTACTAGCCAGAAAGATAGTATTAAATGGATGGAGAGAAAGTATGCTTTCTATAGTTTTATCAGTTTTGTGTTATCTAGAGAAACAGTTTGAGAACAAGGAAAACATATTTGACATATTAATACGAAATTAATTACAAAATATAGAAAATGAAGAATTCTGTTTATGGCAAAAGCAGAAGACCAGTTCATTAAGGGATAGGCGCTTTGTATTTTTCTACCTTAGGACGTTTATGGATTTTTCTGTAAGAAAAGAATTTCCTTCCTAGATTATATTCATATAGTACAATATTCTGTGACCAGAAATTGCTGGGTTATACAAATCAAATTAATTTTATTGCAGATTAATCCATTGTTGATTGGACAATCTCCATAACTACGCAGAACCTCTTTGTACAATTATAGTCTATGTGCCAGGTTCCAGTAACAAAGAGAACAACTGTTATCATCATACTGTGTAAGTTTTGTCAAGAGCCACTTTTGGAGACAGAATATTGAATTATACGAATCTTGAATTAATTTTGATCTGGTTTAGGAAGGATATTCTTTTTTTGCCGAAAATAAAAATGTTTAAAAATTCTATAAATGTAGAATAGTTATTCACAATCAGTTGGCCTTGCACATTGATTTTCATGTCAGAAGTTCAGATTTTGATCTTTTCTTACAAGAGGTAGAAGCACCAAGCAAAACCTGACTGATCTTGGAAAAAGCTAGGCCATATTTATACTTGAAAGGTAGACCATAAAGAAATCTCATATGCATAGACTAAGCCCTAGAAAAAATCATTGGCAAATTCCTCATTGTTGCCAAGGAAACAACATTGCAGGTGTCCATGAGTCACTTAGAGTTAAGCTCAACTAAAGTGAGACTTTATGCTTACCTGCTCACATTGTAATCAAAATAATGACTATGCAAATTTGGCTCATTCAGGTATTCTTACTAATGGGAAAGGCTAAATCATGAAAAAGTTTACCTATAATAATATGCGAACCAAGAGTTCTGGCTTTTTCCCATTTTAGCAAGCAAGAGGCAAAATCTGTCATATTCCTTGGCTTTCAGTTCCTTCTTGTTTGAAGAAGACGGAATTGGTTTCCTGGTTTACAACATGCAATAAACTTCAGAAGAGGTTTCTGCAGTTTATTTAATGTGCCTACTAATAGAACAAAGACACATCTTTGAGCATAATGTACTATGAGAAAGAATTTTTGGAAAGCCCTTATTGTGACTTGCAGCACTTCCAACATGTAGTGAAAAATGAATTTTGAATAAGTTGGCAGATTCAGATAATCGTCTGATTATTGGCAAAAAACAAAATGTGCTATATTTTTTAAGGGTTGACATGCATTAGATTACTGGGTAAAAATGCTTTTTGTAATATAAAGCAACTATTATATTACACTATTAGGGACAGCAATAGTTATCAAAACAAGTTCAGTTCCATGCAAGCATGGCTATAGATGCTGGTTGCTTCTTGCCCCTGGGATAGCACATTAAATGCAGACTATAGTCCATCTTTGGATAACTAAAAACATGAGCACTATTAGTA